CTCACATATCTCATGTTGAGAACAAATGTAATAAGGTTATAAATCTGCTGAAGGGCATTGCTATATGAAACGTTGCCACTATCAAAGATTGACTGTGGCTGCCAAGATTTTTGTCTGCCTCAAAACTTCTTTCTCAACTTCACCGCATTAATTTTGTACTTGTGCATATGCGACTTCTCCAGTTTCACCCCCCAGGCTGGATGGGCAGATATGCCACTAGCCCTCCGTCGTGAACGTATGCCTCTCAAATATGTTATAACTCAAATCTAAAACCATCTATAATTCTGCTAATGATGTTGTTAGTTTAGTGACCGTGTTGAGGATGTGATTTGCGATTGGTCACGGGGAAAGGTCCTTTCGGATTGAGCATTCAGAAACTGGACACGCTGTGATAAGTTAATACAGGAATACTGTTAAAAGCGGCGTTAAACCCAACTAACTCACTCCTGCTTTGTTATGAGCTCGGATGAGTCCAAATGTCATAAAAGCCTTAGCTCAGGACTATAACTGAACATTATGCCACTTCGCGCACATGTTTACTGATGCCTCAAAGGAATTCGGGATTTTTTCATTTCAAGTGTGTTCAGGCTAAGAGACCATCTCTCAGTATTTTCTGCTGAACTTACAGCTATTCTTCAAGCTCTAAGGTGGGTTAATGGATATGATCACGAGGCGGTTATAATTACTGACTCCATGACGGCTGTTAAAGCAACTGAATACAGTATCAATGCTTCACAAAGTGACATTGTTTATGAAATATTAACGTTGGACACGTTGTTGAACTCAAAGTATATTACGTGTGATATTGTATGGACATGAGGCAGCAGACCAACTTGCGAAATCTGGCTTGCAATATCCCGAGGTAACAATATCCCAATTCAGACCCAAACCTAAATATTTCGACTTTTTTAAGCAAAATCAAGCTGGTAACAGTTGTGGTTGCTGGGACAACTTGCCGACATATCAATTCAATTTGTCCTTCTGTAAAAACAAATTGAACAATTCGCCGACGGTGGAAACGTGAGGAAGTCACAATTACTTGACTTACTTGGATTAAATGCTTACCGCAGTGTCATCGATAAAGAGGCTTCCTCTGTAGTATACACTGACGAAATCACGTCCGACACAGTGAAGCATTATTTATTTGAACGCCCAGGCCACATTCATTTCGGGTTAAATTTGTGACGTGCAGTACTTGAGAGAGAATGTTTATTTTCTCTTATTACGCTTTTGGGTTCTAACATTTTTTATGGTTCAATTCAGGCGGCAATATAAGTCTTCGTGACTGCATCAGGAAAACTTTATATATTGTAGAAATTGAATGTGTACATACATTGTGTAGTGACTTTTAAACCATTTTAACTGTTTTCCTTTTATTGTCTGATCTGGGGTTTTTTTATGGAATGAGTTCTTACTTTTCAGAAATGAAATAGTATTTACTTGCTGTTTTGATATATAAATTAGATCATGAAGCAGATTAGTTCATCATCTCATTACCATTACTCCGTACATTTAATATGTTGGGCGCAAATAGACCTTTAATGGCCCAAGTCGCATTAAAACCCAAATAGAGGCGACTAACGGATCAGGTAGTCAGGCTCGCTGACTTGGTTGATGCATGTCATCGTATCCCAATTGCGTGGATTGATGCTCACAATGTAGATCAGAGGATTGTCTGGCCCAGACTCGATTATTTACAGACCGCCGTCATATATAGTTGGAATATTGCTGAGTGCGGCGTGAAACAACAAACAAACAAACGAACCCAAATACCATACCACCATCACAAAACAAGCGCAGTGGTAGAAGCGGCAGTACAATATCAATATCAATCACAACTCTACCCAATGTCGTGGATTTCATAAATCGGTCCATTCACTTCGACCTTTGCAAGTTTAGCTCACCATAGTACTCTGAAAGGTTAAACATACACATCAAGGTGAACATTTACTTTAAATGAATACCTATAATACATGATTGCCTCTCAGACGTATTCATCTGCCCATTTGGCCTAAACAGGGATGTGTGCTTAGCCCATTACTATTTTCACTTTTTCAAGATCACTGTCGTGGACTCCTCATATGAGGAATGAATACTGCCTTACAGTCTAACAAGTACTTTGTGGTGTCTTTAAATCTTCAAACATGCTCAAGCCATTCAAGAGTTATTTTTTAAAATATCTGATGCTAAAATTAGCCCAATTTTATTTCACGGTTCGGAATATGGGGCGTTGAATTTTGAAACTGTTCACATGCTTGCATGAAATCGTTTTTGTGTGTTAAGCAGTTATGCTCAAACCGTGTAGTGAGAGGTGCGTGTAGAAGGTACACAGTGTATATTCACTTGTAAGAGGGATTTCAAATACAGGTGCAAAATTAGTAATATGCCACAATCCAGATTTGTTAGGAAAAACTATAATTTATTGTTATTAAATTGCAAAATTGGAAAGACTAATTGGGTTTTCAAAATTAAAAACAGTCTATTTTCTCTTGGATTTGGCTACATTTGGGAGCAGGAGTGTGTAAATAATGTTGCGAATTTTTTTTCGGAATTTCATTTTAGACTTAAGTGTTCATGTGAGCACTATCGCTATCATATATGCAGTTCAAAACCTCAATTGGCCTAGAAACGTATATTATAATATTGTCCATTTCCAATTTTAAGATGGCACTTGCTCAATTGAGATGCCACTCACACCAGCTCAGAATTGAGACTGGCAGACAAAGTAAAGACCCTAAAGTTGACAGATTGTGTTTAGTCTGCAAACGTTAATAAATCAAAGATGAATATCATTTTATTCTAACGTGCAATGTATATAATAATCTGAGATATAAGTACATACCTAAAATATTCTATGTAAATCACCCTAACATAAGTTTAACATGCTAATGTCTTCTTAGCCACTTATGTCTTCGCCTTGGATCTTCGTTTTAATGAACAACTTGTCTTGTTACACATATATCTCTCCCATTGTATACACTTTGATGTAGCATGGGACTTTGGCCTACACTACCTATTGACTTAACATTTGGAAAAGAAAATATGTTAACATGTATATCATTGGTTGATGCATGTCATCATATCTAAATTGGGTAGCTCGATGCTCATTATGTCAATCACTGGATTGTCTGGCCCTGACTCGATTATTTAATTTACAGACCGCCGTCATATAGCTGGAATATTGCCCGGCGTTAAACAAGAAACAAACATAAAAAATATGAAACACGTGTTTCCTGCTTGTGCGAAGCGGACATCGTGATGGCAATCTACCGTGTACACGATTTCATTGATTAAAAGACATAAAACTGAATAGGAAACGATATTATGTGTAAAGAAACCGGTTGTTGATGAGATAGACAATTGATTACATACACCTTCATGACATTCATGTATATACGATATATATAATCTCCTTATGTTATGAACGTGACATGGACGCGTGACAAAGACAAATGTTCAGCGTGACTCGGCCAAATTGGCGATGCGATGGCTGGCGAGTTAGTGAGTTGGGTTAAGCGCCACTTTGAGCAGTATTTGTTATATCACGCACGTTAGATTGTTGGGGAAGGACCGCCAAAGGCGCCAAAGACCGCCAATTACACTAAACGTGTTTATGTTATTTGGCAACAATCGTAACAGGTAGCGATGTCCTGTCCTAGACTGGTTTCATTGCCCAAGAACGCCTGCCCTCCTCGCCTGCTGCCGCAAGGAGGCGATGGGCGGGGAACAAGTCTAGCTCTGTCCGATCTATTTCCCCATACAGCATTTGGCTGCGGTGAAACGTTGACCGATTTCCGTGAAGCGGTTCTGTCTGTCGAGAAAGACGGGGACAGGCCCATAGCATATCGAATTGCGGGAAACGTTGACCCAGTTTCCGTGTGGCGAGATATTAGGACTTTTGGACAGTGTGAATAAATTTCAGGCTACACCAGTAAACATATTACCATCAGGGAGGTAACTCTCACAGAGAAATATATGGTTCGTGGTTAGAAATAACAAACGCACTCACATCGTTGTGGGTTTTAATGTTAAGAATATCTACATGTCTCCATGTGCAGATCTACTTCATTGTAAAACAACCCGTAAAGATCCGGGGTAGAATAGGTAGAAAAGGCGACTATGCTTGTCGTAAGGGGCAACTAACGGGATCGGGTGGTCAGGCTCTCTGACTTGGTTGGTGCATGTCATCGCTCCCAATTGCGTGGATCGATGCTCATGATGTCAATCACTGGATTGTCTGGTCCAAACTCGATTATTTACAGACCGCTGTCATATAGCTGGAATATTGCTGAGTACGGCTTTAAACAACAAACCAACCAACCAACCAATCATTGTAAAACAATATCACAACATTGTAGCTATTACTTTGAAAAGATTAATTTAAAAAATAGAAATAACTTGACCACTGTAGATATATCAATGTCAACAGTATCATGTATACCACTACAATTGTGTCAGCTTAATACCCATTGTTCCTTGAAAACAATAACAAATGTTTCAGGAAGAGATTGAGCCCAGAGACCATATGATAGATCTATTATATGGTCTCTGTTTAGGCGAAAACATTTTACTAGTTTTGTTTTCATAATATGTTTGTTTTCTACTATAATATTAAATAAATATTTAAACTGATATATCATGCTCTCATTCCTTATTCTGAAGGTACCACGTGCAAGTTACAATTTCTTTTATCTTCGGGGTTACACACGTGTGCTTTTATCACAGTATAGGTATTTGCATCAATAGGTAGGTATACAACAAAAAAACATTGCGCCGTGTTGATCCTCTTGATCAAGGCTATCCCGTGTATAGTGTATTTAAATATCGACCCTCTTCGTCTGTTCTGCTAATGGATACCGCATGTGTCAATCATCATATATAATAAAATGAAATAGGTATACCTCGGCATACTCGATGACATATGATATGACAACGTCAGGGTGATGTATTGACATGGACACATTGTTTAATCACAAGCTTGGTCTATTTCTAGCACACTACAGGCTTAAGACGGTGGAGGTAAGCGATGTCGTACTGGGGCTTATACCGAGTTCCTGTTTCCTGATGGGCTAAGTGGATGAACTCGGTGACGTCATCACAGTCGCTGTGAGCCGTGCAGATGTTTATAACGCCTACGGGTTTAAGTTCGCTAACTTATGTTCGTGGTCCGATGTCGGAGATAGAAGATGAATTTGAAATGAATTAGTACTGAGACCGTGTTTGAATGTACTGAAGGACAATTGCACAACCTTACAGAATTGTACGAAAACGATTTGTTATTTTAGGAATCGTTTCGTATGACAACGCGTGACATCAGTGACCTTAATCAAAATGGACAACATCACTCAGCGTTTAATGGAACAGAAGTTCGACCTTCAAGAAGACGACATCATCGATGACTATGGATCAAGTTACGACAGCACGACCAACACGTCCGACGGCGATAAACGCCGGTGTTCTTGTCTAACAGATCAACACAAGACATTATTTCGCGCCTTGATGGGGGAGCTGGTTGGGGTATGTTTCTATGTGTTTATCGGGTGTATGGCTACCCCCCACCCCGAAGGAGTGTACCCTGGAACTACACATCCGGGCGCCGGAGCTATACCAGTGGCGCTCGCCCATGGACTGGGTCTTGCATCCCTCAGCGCTGTGCTGTTAAAGATCAGGTGGAGTTGTTTTGCTCTTGAAACATGTTGTGCGATGTGCGAGAGAGGGTTTGTTGACAGGCTGAATGCATTACTATAGATAGTAAATTATACATTGTGTGTAAGCGATTGTCATAAGCGCGACAGAGAGTGTTATGCATTTGTGCGAGAGACTTCTCAGACTGTTGGTATAGAGAGTAATGTATTTGTGTGAGAGACTGACACAATGTCGGTATAGAGAGTAAGTTATGTATTTGTGTGAGAGACTGACACAACGACGGTATAGAGAGTTATGTATTTGTGTGATAGACTGACACAATGTCGGTATAGAGAGTAATGTATTTGTGTGAGAGACTGACACAATGTCGGTATAGAGAGTTATGTATTTGTGTGAGAGACTGACACAATGACGGTATAGAGAGTAATGTATTTGTGTGAGAGACTGACACAATGTCGGTATAGAGAGTTATGTATTTGTGTGAGAGACTGACACAATGTCGGTATAGAGAGTAATGTATTTGTGTGAGAGACTGACACAATGACGGTATAGAGAGTAAGTTATGTATTGTGTGAGATTGTCACGAGGGCGGTATAGAGAGTAATTTATGTACTCTGTGTGAGAGACTGCCACAATAGCGGTATAGAAAGTAAGTTATGCATTATGTGAGAAACTTTCCCAATGACGGTAAAGAGAGTAAGTTATGTATTTGTGTGAGAGACTGACACAATGGCGGTATAGAGAGTTATGTATTTGTGTGAGAGACTTTCCAAATGACGGTATAGAGAGTAATTTATGTACTCTGTGTGAGAGACTGACACAATGGCGGTATAGAAAGTAAGTTATGCATTATGTGTGAGAAATTGTCACACGGGCGGAATAGAGTAAGTTATGCATTGTGTGTGAAAGATTGACACAATGGCGGTTCAGAGAGTAAGTTATGCATTGTGTGTGAAAGATGGTCAGAAGGGCAGTACACAGAGTAAGTTATGCATTGTGTGTGATTGTCACGAAGGCGGTATAGAGAGAAAGATATGTACTCTGTGTGAGAGACACAATGGCGGTATAGACGGTAAGTTATGCATTGTTTGTAAGAGCTTGTGACAAGGGCGGGAGAGAGAGAGTAGGTTATGCATTGTGTGTGAAAGATTATCAGAAGAGCGGTCTAGAGAGGAAGCTATGCATTGTGTGAGATTGTTACAAGGGCGGTATAGAGTGAAAGTTATGCATTGTGTGTAAAATATTGTCACAAGGGCGGGAGAAAGAGAAAGTTATGCATTAAATCTGATTAAAATCAGATCTTTTTATCCCGATTCGAAACCTCTCCGTGTGAAGATCAACAGGTTAATTTTCTAAAACTCAATCAGCGTCGAGATTCTAAATTATGACCGTAAGTAGGCAGCTCACAAAGGTCCCATGTGGTGCATCATACTTACACCCTGTCGCTTCAAAGAGCCTTTTCAATCAAAAGGAATTTGTGTGAAGAAAAGGAACATTTGTATCCTGTCCGAGCTTTCTTTTTTCAAGACTGAAATTCCCGAGCCGAAGTGGTAAAAAGGGAGCCCCCAATTGGTATTTAACATATGTATTGCGTGAGAGATTGTCAGACAGGCCGTGTAGGAAGAAAGTTATGCAGTGTTTGAGAGTTTCTTCAGTCAGTATATAGTCGCAAAATGTTCGTCTTGTCACGCCGCATCTGACCTCGACCTTGTAAGCCTAACTTTAAGCAAATATGTAAAGGGATTATTATTTTAAAAATCAACCTTCTTGGTCTTATATAAAACAAATTATATTTTTCTCCATCGAAGCGTACGTACAAGAACATATATAAATCTGGAAGAGTCGGTGGGAGCCAATCTTTTATTGCACAGAAGCATATCTTCCTGATACTGATTTGGAATAGAGCTACCTTGACGTTTTATAATCTGGATTGGTTATGTTTTGATATAATACATATACTCCACAGTCTTGGTGCTGGACTAGGGGATACGTGTGATATGTCCCTGACGTTATTCCTGACCTCCGTGTTCCAGCGGTGCCCACCTCAACCCTGCCGTGACCTTGGGCGTGGTGCTGTGTGGGGAGATGGGCCTGGGTGCAGGGCTGGCGTATGTCGCCACCCAGACGGTGGCTGGGGTAATTGGAGCGGCACTCTGCAGGGTGAGGTTTAGTATAACCGTTGCCGTATCCCTCATCTGCTCAATCTGATAACAGTTTTTTCTGTCACCACTGGGGACGACAGATCGACCTTTCAGAAGAGCTTACCAATGTGCACTGTAAGATTTACACCGCACTTCTACATTTACTGGGCCCATTTCTGGTGTCCCCCGCCGTGATATTGCTGGAATATTGCTAAAAGCGGCGTAAACCCATACTCACTCACTCACTCTACATTTACTGGCTACAAATCATACAAAACATTTCATGAATATGATACCAATTACCAGAAAATACGTTTATACGTTTAAAAGATTAATATGCAAATTTTGCAAATATCTTCGTTAATCACTTCTATAATACGTATACTATATTTTATCGAAAGTGAACTTTGAAAAAAGGAATTTGAAAACAAAACAAAACTAGATTCGGTGGGTGACAGAATAACTGATATTTAACATGAAGGAGATTGTTGCCGCAGCTGAGGGTTGATAATATATAGTATGGCCGCTGGCCAGAATTTACTTGTTATGAATTACCTTGTCATCCTGTTACAAACTTATGATTGATGGTTTTTTTAGGAGAGACGCGTTTCTCTAGTTGACTAATGGCGCTGTGTATTGGTTGTTGTGTATGTCTAGTGTGAACTCCCTGAAGACAAAAGACGAACTATTGGGAGTTTTATAAGCTTTTGTGATTTAAAAATATACCGGCATGAGCCAAGGCCTTGATCGTGTTAACATATAAATGCTTTTGACAATCCAGAAAAGTCAATCTTTTTCACACAGATCAACCACACCTCTAGATATGTAGATATGTTTGATGTTGTCTGAAGTCCAAAACTTGTAAATGTTGAAAAGAAGTGTATGTTTTGATTCAACCAATCAATCCATCAATCATTGACTCGCCATCACTGACAGGCAATAGGCCATAGTCTACAGGCCATTGGTGGTGGTTCATTTGTTCACCGAGTTAATCACCAACCATCTCGAGGTGTGATGTACGCTGTGCCTATGAACACCGAGCCGTCAGGAGGAGTATTTGACTCACAAACAGGGTATATCACACTACATGCCCCGTGGGGTCGGTTGAAAACGAATTCATCTCACAGTCATTCATTCATACAGACCCGGAATATATATCGGAATATAGTAAAACGCTTTGATTCAGCCATTTTGACAGCTAGCAGACGACGCAAACGAACGAGTTATTTCCCTTTACCCAATGCATTCGTACAAACATCGGTCCATTTCAGCTCAACGACAGATTACTTTTGAGAGATAAGCAAGTTACCTACGATGTGTTCCGATTGATTTATCAGATTGATTGATTGTTACCGCTAAACAAAGATCTGAAGAGCTACCGCTAAACAAAGATCTGAAGAGCTACCGCTAAACAAAGATCTGAAGACATCCCATTACGGGTCATGTCAGAGCGATCTTTGTTTATCGGGAGCTAAGATCTAAGATCTGACTTTAATGAGACTGAGTTGAAATGACCCGATGTTTATTGTAATGCATTGGGTAAAAGGTTCGTTTGCGTCGTCTGCTACGAGTTTTGCAAATTCAGTGGAACTGCGGACACATATTTCGGACCTGTAAAAATGAATGTCGGTAAGATAAATTCGTTGTCTACCAATCCCTCGGGGCATATGGTGTGATGTACCCTGTGCAGTTTCACACCCAGGGTACATCACACCATGTACATCACATCACACCATGTACCCCGAGGGATCGGTTGACAACTTGTAATGTCACCCGAAGGGCAGGTGGACCACGAATCTACCTTACCTAACACCTAATCATATTGAAGGTTTGTCTTATACATTCATGCTTTGGTCCGATCGGTCAGAATACCATTTATAGCAGACGACAGAAAATCAAATTAGTTCTTCCACCGAGATCTATTTCATTCGGAAAATATCGTACATATTCGGAGAATGGCGTCTTAAAGTGTCGTAAATGGGCGAGGCTGGCCGAAAGATTTAATTCGAGACATTCGCGACTACCGTGTGCCATTTCGGGACAAGCCTTCTTGAAGGTAACGGAAAGACGCGAGTGGTGACGAATGTAATTCTGGATACAAAATTGCGGTTGGCATGTTGCAAATGTAATCGTCAATTCGAACGGGGAACCTAAAAGGTGTACCTTAGGAACATTGAAAATAATAGAATGGATCTCAGCCAATCAGAATCAGACATTCATGTGCACGGTAAGATAAGATTATACATAACATGAGTACTAGGAACACTCTCGATAATGTTCAGAATAGTTTCCGGAACTTTTAGACTAAGCTGAAATGAAATCCACCACAATAACATTAACATAATAATTTTTGTCCCTTATAATTCACAGGCCATTTTACCAGAGAATGTCTTTATCGGCATTAATGGCGGCGCTCACGTGCTGCACGTGGGGCCCGGGCCGGGTGTCGTCTGCGAGGCGCTGTTGACGTGTGTAGTCGTCCTCACTTACATCCTCGCTGTCATCGACCCCAACACGATGTCGGGAAGGGGGCCTATCGCCATCGGCTTCTCCGTCGTTGTCTGCACCCTCGCAGGGTGAGTATAGATCAACGAAGAGCGGGGTCGCCAAAATATATCACAGCTCTATGATATGATGTTACATACAGTGGCGGGTGGGTTGTCACTAAAATATGAATGAGTGATTTTTTAAAACATTATTCTGCTTAGAACTCTGATGTTTCTGGTGACTTTCAATCCGTATCTGTTCATTTGTTGCCCCAAGTGTGTCACATGTCACATGCGCTCACAACAGCAATAGACCCGTGAAGATCCGGGGTAGAATAGGTCTTCAGCAACCCATGCTTGACGTAAAAGGCGACAATGCTTGTCGTAAGAGGCGACTAACGGGATCGGGTGGTCAGGCACGCTGACTTGGTTTATACATGTCATCGGGGCGGTCGGGTAGCCTAGTGGTTAAAGCGTTCGCTCGTCACGCCGAAGGCCCGGGTTCGATTCCCGACATGGGTACAATGTGTGAAGCCCATTTCTGGTGCCCCCCGCAGTGATATTGCTGGAATATTGCTAAAAGCGGCGTAAAACCACACTCACCCACTCACTAATGCATGTGATCGTATCCCAATTTCGTGGCTCGATGCTCATGATATCAATCACTGGATTGTCGATTATTTACAGACCGCCGTCAAATAGCTGGAATATTGCTGAGTGCGGTGTAAAACAACAAACAAACAAACACACCAGCAACACATGTCAAAGTTAAAATAAGCGAGGCGCCGAGTTACACTTTCCTGCATCAACACTAAAGTAGAGTTCACATATATGTGATACCTGCATACATGTACGCAAGCAGAAAAGGTTACATTAGGTAATTACGCCGTATTGTTTAGCTATTAGCATAGAAATCAATTTAATGCGTATTTGCACACAAGCAACTTAAACTTAAGTGGGTTATGGTGATTGATCGTGCGTATTTATACATTCGGAAAAATAGGTGATCGGGTATACCAAACTGGAACGTAAAAATCACTCAATCATTTAGGATATATATATCTAACCAAATTTACCAAAACCCGAATTGCCAAATCATAGAAAGCACCCATCCTTTCTAAAAAACTGTATCCGTGCTTGTGCCGTGATGTGACTGCAATATTGTTCCATCGACATTAAAGCACATAGTCAAATCACTCTATGTTCAATGTTTAATGTCTATATTAAAATTTAGTTCCAATACCGTTGATAGTCCTAATAGCATGTATAACAAACAGGATAGAGTTCCCACTTCCGAACTTTAAAACAACGATGCCATGATTATCACATATACCAAAGCTTTAAAAGTAAATTGAGTATTTGTGACCCCAATCTGCGCCATATTCTTAATAAACTGCTGACGATACCCACGGAGGGTTCATGGCCAATGAAATGCACCGACGACTGAATAACGATATGCCAAAGATTGCTGACCTTCTAAGAGTGTCCTTGTCATTGTATGACCTTGACCTTGTATGACGTCATTGACCCAGAGCGGCCTTGTCACATATGAAGAGCCCCATTAACGGTAACACAGACGACTGTAGACTACCTCTGTCCTTAACCTTGTAGACAAAATTAGACGTGTTATTGTCTAACTGCGACTGTTTGTCCGAGTGGTGTTAGATTATAACCACTATCACTGACCTGCATTCAGGGTCGCTGCAACAGGTGGGTCTATGAATCCTGCCAGGAGTTTTGGATCAGCTGTCGCTGTTAGTGCCTTCAATGGGGACGTCTGGAAGTATCACTACATCTATTGGGCTGGACCAGTTTTCGGAGCTGCAATAGCCGTATTTTTTTACAGGTAGGTCTTCAGAACATTTCTCATTTCACAATGATCTTTTATATGAAATACTCACTTGGAGATTCCTTGTTAGAATTGGCTCACAACAATCTCATTAAAATCAGATCTTAGTTTTCGCTACCGCTAAACAATGATCTGAGGTCACCCTATAAGGGTCACGTCAGAACGACCTTTCGCAAACTTTGACCGCCCAATGAAATGACTGACAAGAAATTAGCCAATCATAAAGCAGCTTTCTCGAGTTTAACGACACTAGTTTCAAACTGGCGACCACGCTTCGAAACATATTTTGACGTATTCTCGATTAAATTTTTTAAAATTGATAAAAAGAACATTCTGAAATGGCTTATAGATGGCCTAGATCGTATTTATTGTATCACTAAAATCAGATGTAAATGCTAGCTCAAGTGTATGAGTGAGTGAGTTTTCAACGAAATTATCAGTATTCCAGCAATATCATATTAAGAATAGTCTCCAAATATGTACCCAGAAAGATATTCGAACTCGGGTCAGACCAAGAGGCGAACCCCATGTCCACAATTCAGGCCACTGTATACAGTCTAACGCTCTTAATCCGGTGGATAGTGTTCTTAGTGAAATCGTCCGGACAAACACACGAGTCATGTGCACCGTGTAATACCCTTATAATTGTGAAGTCCCGTGTGAAGTCCCGTGTGAAGATCCGGATGAGAATTGATCTTCATCAACCCATGCCTGTCGTAAGAAGCGACCAACGGGTTCGGGTGATCAAGCTCGATGACTTGGATAATGAATGTCATCATATCCGATTGCGTAGATCAATGCTCATGATGTCAATCAATTGGTTCTGGTCCAGACTCGATTATTTAAGTCAATCAGCAATATTCCAGCTACGTGACGATGGTCTGTAAATAGACCAGACAGTCCAGTGATTGACATCATGAGCACCGATCTACGGAATTGGGAAACGAAGACATGCATCAAACCAGTCAGCGAGTCTGACAACCCGATCCCGTTAGTCGCCTCTTACGACAAGCATAGTCACCTCTTACGACATGCATAGTCGCCTCTTACGACAAGCATAGTCATTTCTCTACCCAGATCTTCACTGGGAGCTAATATATACTGTATTCGCGAATGTTGGCACCAGTGATAACAAGGGTGATACTAAATTCTATCAAGGTAAGGTTATTTCTTTAACATGGTATGCTGACCTGACCAGTCCCCTTTTCATCCCCTTAATACCGAGTATCAGGCAGGGTAACAGCAAGTACCATCTATTATAACGTCTTTTGGTTTGACGCGGCCGGGGATCGAACCACCGACCTTCCGCTCTCCGGGCAGACGCTCTATCCCCTATTCTACAGAGGCGAATTACATTTACAGCTATGTTATAGAGAGGAGTTTGGAATACGTGGTCAGTGAGGGATGCTGTTTTCTAGAACATTGACAGAAGTACTCTGGAAAGAGAAGATTGCTATTTTTGCAAGGTTCATACAAACTTGAAAAGGCCTTGAATTTTAAGATACCTCTTGAAAAGCCTTTATTTTTAGTGTCAACCTTGAAAAGTCTTGAAATTCGCCAAAATTTGAACAAAATGGCATACATACACATGTACTTGTTAATAACAGTTTAAATGTGATCTATCACAGTGAATGATTTGTGTGCCAAAGACTATGGAGAATTCATGCCAAGACTTAATCTATTTTATTTGTTGGTTGTGAAATTAAAACCTGTAGGAAGATTTCTGATGTTCATACTGATTTGGGGTCTTACTTCTAATGTGGAGAATGCTGGATTTAAAGAAAATATTGACAGACTGTGGCTGATCTGACTAAAAAACTTGAAAAGGCCTTGAATATTATTGTTCCATATCTGTATGAAGCTTGAATTGGAAGTGGGCAGTCACTGGCCATGGGACAGCCGAAAACTCTTCACTGTCCCGACAGTTGTTTACTGCTTAGATCAATACTGACACGATCAACCACAACTGTTGTAATATAAATATCTTGGTCGTAAAACCCGATCAACTCACTCACTCGACAACCCGTGAAGATCCGGGTTAGAATACTTCTTCAGCAACCCATGCTTTTCCTAAGATGAAACTTACGGGATCCGGTGGTCAGGCTCGATGACCTGGTTGATGCATGTCATCGTATCCCAGTTGCGTGGATCGATGCTTATGATGTTAGTTACTGGATTGTCTGGTCCAGACTCGATTGTTAAGAGACCGCCGTCGTATAGCTAGAACAAACAAAGACTCACTCGACAAGGTGATCATTCAACCCTTTTGTAGTTTCATCTTTTGTGTGATATGCTTCAAGCCATTTTTGTGCATTGAAAAAAAGCTCAGTGTTCATTTGCTTTCTGTTTTTATTTGACAGGTTTGTGTTTGCAAGCCCGGAGAAACGACTCGTGGTGTGTGGATCCAAGGGCGATCAACGCAAGGCTGCTAAACTCTCTCAGATCACGAGTTTCCCTCAATCCGGACACATTAATTAATACAATAGTGATGTAGAGTTAAGCTCGAGGCACGAGATGCGTCAACAACATACGTAACAGCGTTGTCTTCCTGGTTTGGTCAAGAGCTTCTGGGATGATCATGTGCTGGCTGCAGGGGCGGAGGGTAGCCTAGTGGTTAAAGCGTTCGCTCGTCACGCCGAAGACCCGGGTTCGATTCCCGACATAGGTACAATGTGTGAAACCCATTTCACGTGTCCCCCGCCGTGATATTGCAGGAATAAATCTGAAAGAGGCCTAAAATCACACTCACTCACCGGCCACAATGATCAAGAGGCCTTTCAGTGCGAAACACGCATTAGTTGGAAGCGCTCTTAAAATGTACAACGATGAATATGAGGAGACCTGTTGGGAGTGGATTTTAACCAACGGTGACGGTTTCTCGTTGAATGTTTTCCTCACAATAATGTTGTTTCAGCATAGACTATTCTTTCGTGACCATTCGTGTTATTCCAGGATAAGCCGAATGGCGGTGCGCCTCAGTTCAAATTCGAATAGCTTCCCACGGCCTTCCGGGCCAGATTGGACGCGCTGGAACACACCTAAAACGGTTGGTAAAATATGCACAATGTGCCAGTCATGTGAAATAGGAAACGAACACCGTTCGATAGTCTCTCGATCCTTTGATCGTATTATACCTTACTGTTGTTGTGAAACAAATTCGAAACAACCTAAACTATCATGTATAATGGTATACGCGTCAGTACCTTAAGAACAGTATTGCTTGATTATAATGCTATGCTTCGGGCCTTCCCTAAAAACTTATCGATCCTACGTGAAAACTGTGTCCTATTTGCACGTTTTGTTATATACTGAAGTTAGTGATCATGAATATTGTTGGGGATATTTTATGACATTGTGTGCTCAGTTTTCTCAACAAAATGTATCCCCCAAAAGATTCATGATCCCTAATTATTTTTCAGTATATATTAAAAAATCATATTTAATCCAAATGATAATTGTAAATGAACTTGTACTTCATATGGTGCTGCAGGTGGCCTGAGACGCCATCAAAGTGCTGTACTTTCTGACCCGTAGAAATGTACCCCGGGGACGCCATCAAAGTGCTGTACTTTCTGACCCGTAGAAATGTACCCCGGGGACGCCATCAAAGTGCTGTACTTTCTGACCCGTAGAACTGTACCCCGGGGACGCCATCAAAGTGCTGTACTTTCTGACCCGTAGAAATGTACCCCGGGGACGCCATCAAAGTGCTGTACTTTCTGACCCGTAGAAATGTACCCCGGGGACGCCATCAAAGTGCTGTACATTCTGACCCGTAGAACTGTACCCCGGGGACGCCATCAAAGTGCTGTACTTTCTGACCCGTAGAAATGTACCCCGGGGACGCCATCAAAGTGCTGTACTTTCTGACCCGTAGAACTGTACCCCGGGGACGCCATCAAAGTGCTGTACTTTCTGACCCGTAGAACTGTACCCCGGGGACGCCATCAAAGTGCTGTACTTTCTGACCCGTAGAAATGTACCCCGGAGACGCCATCAAAGTGCTGTACTTTCTGACCCGTAGAACTGTACCCCGGGGACGCCATCGAAGTGCTGTACTTTCTGACCCGTAGAAATGTACCCCGGGGACGCCATCAAAGTGCTGTACTTTCTGACCCGTAGAACTGTACCCCGGGGACGCCATCAAAGTGCTGTACTTTCTGACCCGTAGAAATGTACCCCGGGGACGCCATCAAAGTGCTGTACTTTCTGACCCGTAGAAATGTACCCCGGGGAAATTTCTGGTTAGAATGGGTCCCCGGCAACCGTTGGATCGGGAGGTGGTTGACGTGTATTATCTTCACTGACGGCGTTAAGATCGTTGCTCATAATATCAACCACTGGTTTGTCTGGTCCAGACTCGATCATTTACAGGCTGCCATCATATAGATGGAATGTTGCCGAGTGTGGCTTTAAACAACAAACAAAGAAGGCAGCTTCGGTGGAGACGGTAAATATTACAAGTGTATCACGTTCAACGTAACAAATCTCAAAGGTCATTAGGTCATTAAATTGGGTGTGTCTTGGATATGTATATTCACAGCTAATAACATTCTAAATGTGTAACATGCCGATATATCAGTGTCGCTATAGCTTTACATACCTTTTCTGACAGTCGATGTTGGATTATAATATTATTAAACATATTAATCATTCTTATGTTATTTCATGTGGATTTCCGACACGCCCTGCGTTCCAGGTTCTACTTCATTATTAAATAATTCATCAATTTATATTTACCATACATATAAAATTAATTGTGTATCAGAAAACAGATAATACAAACTCGTGCTGATTTTAGTAATTAAATGGTTTAATTTCAGTAACATACATTTGATTAAACGCGTTTTGGAGCGGCAATGTTAATATGGGGAGGTGTAATTGGTGTAGAGTGTATATAAGAATAATTAGCTGTTACAGAACTTAATTATATCAGTTCACTCTCCTTTTATAGACTCCCTGGTGGAACTGAATTATCCAGAATTCACTGTAGGATTTGTGTCTTATGAGGCCCTGAAGTCTTTGGTTCTGGGAACGAATCCTGGTTCGGCCCGATTATGTTTCTAGGTTTGTGAGCAACACGTCCATGATCGTGGGTTAAACATCTATAAGCCCTGCATCACGTTGAGCTTTCCTCCCACATCAAGCTGACATGCCGTGGTATAACTGAACTATTTTAAAAACAGGGCGAACCGGGATTCGAACCCACAATCATAGGTTTCCGGCGTGCCTAAGGGACGCAAGTCAGCAACGCGAATTGCGGCGCCTTAGACGACTGGGCCACCCGTGCGCCCGAGAAACAAGTATTAAAGTGTATATAACTAGTGCTGTTAATCTCTTCGTTGCATTATACAACGCGATCATATTATCAAAAGCAATATAGTGTATATCGAATGATAGCCCCCCCCCCCCCCCCCCTACTCCCGCCTTTTACCGGCCATCTGTTGATATTAATATAGCAATTAAAACTGCATGCATGGCAACATATGTATTAAATTATGGTAATTGTAAACAGTAAAGTATTTTTTTCTAGAGACGGTTTGCTCAGAGCTATAATATATTTACATGTATAATAGGAAGTGTTTTTAAAATGGCATCAATGGTTTCATCTGGCCGTATACAATTGCATATGGATGTCTCTCGAGAACAATGTCAGTCAAACAGCATCGATCCTTGCAGTTATTTAATATGCATCATTTAATATATTTAAATTTAACTGTCACCTTTTTGAACTTTACTCGGATACAATACCTCTCTCCATGAAGATCTGAGGTCACCTTCAAACAAAGTCCCGTCAGGTGAACCCTGAAATTTCGGATATGTCGATTTTAACAATACAAAACCAACACAGGGAACATATTTAAACAATATTTATTTCCAGAAATGGAATCTGATTGGTGAACAGACAAAGACCAACTTGAACACCTCCCTACAAGGACATTTAACAGTTAATAAGACTAAATTGTACATTAAATTAGATTACAAGACCGCCTCCGTGGTCTAGTGGTAGAGCGTCCGCCCGGAGAGCGGAAGCCCGGGGTTCGATCCCCGACCGCGTCATACCAAAAGACGTTAAAAAGAGGTACTTGTTGTTACCCTGTCTGGCGCTCGGCATTAAGGGGTTAAACAAGGACCGGTCGGCTCGGAGTCAGTAAACTGTCTGAGTGGGGTATTCATGTTAAACTGCGGCATGTAATCTCAGTGAGCTAGCACTATAAATCGGCATCAGTCCGGACTAGAACAAGCAGCCACACAAACACACGTGCATGCACGTCGCTATATAAGTGCAATAATCTTTGACGCGACGTTAAACCCCATTTCACCTCACCTATTTACATAATACTACCTGCTGTTGCAATACCATGATGCTCAAGTAGGCAATAAACAAGTCACACATAAATTCACACATACAGCACATCACAAAACCGGTTCATCAATGCAAATGTATATACGCTTGTCGACCTCTATATACCTCATATGTACCAGCGTACCCAACTCTTAGATTGATGTAGTTGTAAAGAAGACAAATAATTAAAATTTAAATCTTTTGGACTTTACAATAAACAAATGAACAGATTGTATAATAGCAAGGTTAATATCAGTAGAAGTCGCATTTCCATACAATACTGAATCCAAGTCATATCCTTTCATGCGGTAGTACATATCATTACGAAGACTGCAATAGTTGGGACATGAAAAGTGGTAATGTGAAGGGTCCTCATACTGGTTTCCACAAGAGTGAGTGAGTGAGTGAGTATGGTTGTACGCCGCTTTTAGCAATATTCCAGCAATATCACGGCGGGGGACACGTGAAATGGGCTTCACACATTGTATCCATGTCGGGAATCGAACCCGGGTCTTCGGCGTGACGAGCGAACGCTTTAACCACTAGGCTACCCTCCGCCCATGTATCCACAAGAGCAGATAGTAGACTCATGACCTTGTCTGTGATATTTGTGTGCATTTAAATCACTGCATCTTAACCTGAGGCGGAGTGGGTAATTTGACATATTCGTTCGATGGTACTCCCGTTTGGGTGTTCATGCCATTGCACCAGACACGGCAGTGTTTACTAACCTTTTATTAGCCGCATTCGGAACTGGCCGATTAAATTCGTTTTAGAGATGCAGAAATCATATAATTATACTGGTTTGAAAAACCTCAACCATTCATTTAGAAGCCTCGACATCAAATTGGCTCATTAGAAAGTTCACTTGACATGCATGGTGGTGCCCACAGATGTTCTCGCTGAACGGTGTCGTATCGGAGATCTGGTTTTTATGATCGTGAGGATCATTCTTGTAAGTTATACACGCAGTTTCCGTCATTTCAAACATCTTAATTCCGGAATGTTTAATCGCATCACTTATTTTCGGGTCCATTCTTATCATTTTCACCGCTACTTAGACCTTTACTCCAAATGGAGGGGCTACGAGTGGTCCAGTCGTCTAAGGCGCCGCGATTCGCTGTGCAGAGTTGCGTCCCTTGGGCAAGCCAGAAACCTATGATTGTGGGTTCGAATCCCGGTTTGCCCCGATTATGTTTCTAGGTTTGTCAGCACCATACCCGTGCTCGTGGGTTTCACCGAAGTGGTAAACGTCTAAGACCCGCATCTCTTCGGGCTGGGAAAACTGTTAAAAGCGGCGTTAAACCAAACTCACTCACTCCAAATGGAGATTGGATTGGATAGAAGATTGGATTACATCGCCAAAACGCACCGTTTGGTAATTTATTGACATTTAAAAGGGACTTTTCGAAATTGTCACACAAACCTGCATGCACTTTCCACGTGGTTATGGGGGAAATAAGGGATAGGGATGTTAGGTAAAAAAAGGTTGGAATTCTTTCGGTCAACTGTCTACTGTTGCTTGAACTGTAAGTAATTTTGACATGTCACGACTAGACCCTGCAACTATAAAGAACGCCATCGGACGTAGAGAGGCTGGAGAATCTCAGTCGTCAGATGCCGGTCATTTTAACGTCCACCACAGCACATTTCCACGTCTTTGGGATTTTCAAGAGATCTCCCAAGATCTGGCAGATCAAGGAACACATCTACAGCTCAGGACAGGTTCATCCTGGCCTTATGTCTACGTCATCGGACCATTACAGCGACAGACACTGCCTCCAATGTGCCTTGTCTGCATAGGGTATCGGCTCAAACAATACGTAATACTCTTCGTGAGTTTTGCGGTGCTATTCTATGACACCAGCACCGACGTTTACGGGTTCGATGGTGTGTAAAAATCCAGGCATGGAATCTTAGACACTTACGTAGGGTTTGGTTCAGTGATGAATCGTGTTTCCTGCAACATCGAGATTGGAGAACACATGTCTACAGACGTTGAAATGAACGTTTTGTTCGAAACTGTGTTGTCGAAGTGGATAGATTCAGAGGTGGCAGTGTCATGATGTGGGCGGTAATATCCTACACCCTTAGACCCAACATGGTGCACGTGCGTGGCAATTTGACAGCATTACGTTACCGAAATTCCCCAAAGTCACCTGTTTCACGTTATCGATCCTCAACGAGAGATATTTCACCAGGACAACACCCGATTATATGTTGCACGTGTTAATACTGATTTCCTTCAGAATCATAATTCGGCGAGGGGCGGTCGGGTGGCCAAGGGGTTAAAGCGTTCGCTCGTCACGCCGAAGACCCTGGTTCGTTTCCCGACATGGGTACAATGTGTGAAGCCCATGTCTGGTGACCCCCGTCGTGATAATGCTGGAATGTTGCTTAAAGGGGCGTAAGACTATACGAACTCATAATTCTGTGCTTCTATGGTCTTCAAAATGGCCCGACTTAAAGCCAATTGAATATTATAGGATGAACTCGGTCGCCATGTCCAACAAGGACAACCACCTCCCCAAAAGCTTCCGCAACTTTGCCAGACATTACATGATGAATGGTTGACATGGCACGCTGGGTTAACGTTAGTGTATGCTTCGGTTCAGAAATATCATTTGAAATAAAGACGACGTATGTAAATAGTGTTTCACCTGTGCATTTGTTTAAATGTCGATTTAGGCTGGACTCGCGTTCATGTAAAGGGTCATTGATGGCTGCAGGAGAAATTCTGTGCCGAGTAAGTGAGCGATGGATCGATGGATCGATGACGTCACTTCCAAAACGATGCTAGCAAATTGGTCCAGGGTAAATATAATCGAACCGAGATAAAATAACAACTGCTAATCGAGGATGGCTATATCGCGCCGTGATTTCATCAATCGATTCTTGGGCCCCTGAAGATCCGGGGTAGAATAGGCCTTCAGCAACCCAAATTTGCCGTAAAAGATGACTATGCTTGACGTAAGAGGCGACTAACGGGATCAGGTGGTCAGGCTCGCTGACTTTGTTGATGCACACACACACACACGCACACACACACACAGATCACATGTTTATGACTGTCGCAACACTTTTATCCCAAGTGAACTGAAGGGTGTGCATATAAATAGGAGATCGATTAAACACTTTAACATAAGGTCGTATCTATCTACCTAGCCTTTCTTGGTGTGTAATTTAAAATACAAAAATACAGACGATCCTGTCACTATTTAACCGAGATTCCTGGTTAGATTTGGTCCCCAGCAACCTATTCTGGTCGTCAGTGGGGATCTTAATAGACTCACCGAATTGTCTGGTCCAGACTCGATTTTCTTATCCAGTCCGCCCTCATATAAAAAGATCCGGGATAGAATAGGTCTTCAGCAACCCATGCTTGTCGTAAAAGGCGACTATGCTAGTCGTAAGAGGCGACTAACGGGATCGGTTGGTCAGGCTCGCTGACATGGTTGATGCATGCCCTCCCAATTGCATGGATCGATGCTCATGATGTCAATCACTGGATTGTCTGGTCCAGACTCGATTATTTACAGACCTACAGACATAGAGCTGGAATATTGCTGAGTAGGGCGTTAAACAACAAACAAACAATCAATCATATAAACAACAAACAATTAAAAGCCTGTGTCAGATTAGTGTGTTAGGAAGGCTCCTACTATTGGTATCGTGCTGAACAATGATCATAAGCAGGGCAAATCTGGGACTCGAACCCACAACAGCGGATCCCGGAAATGACAAGGGACGTAACTCTTCACAACGACTTGATCCTTTGACAACCGAGTCAGCCTTGTAACTTCAGAATGTGTATAAACAGCATGTAGCTTTGAAATATATAAATTAAATAATCTTCGACTGTTTATGATTTAAAAATAATGCCATACTGGAGCGTTGGGTATAAATGATAATGCATATTTTATCGCTACTGTCTGTGTAGTCATTTGTGAGTCTAACATTGAAATAATTAAGGTTCCAGCTGTTCAACAGTAAATGTCATTTTTTCGGCGGATGACTCAGGCACCAATGACGTTTGATTGGACGTCAGAATACAAATGATATACACCCTCGTATATGTTTACCTACATAATTACTTTCATAAATGCCACTTCATGGTAAGCAATCCTCCAGTATTAACCTGAACAGGAGAGTATGTTTGAGACTAGGTCGAGGAGACACCTGTGTTCAAAACCAACCTTATCTTCAACAGCTGGTGGAAAATCGTTTACAGCACATCCTGACCGCAACTGTCGTGTAGAATGTATGTATCCGTGCACCATGTGAAACGTTGAATTATCGAATTTCACAACGGGGTGTATCTCTCGAACCCAGATGGCTTGCCTTGGGGACCCAGAGAGCGACAAGATGGCGGAAGAGAGGGATGCGTTTTGGAGAGTCTTTGAGGCAATCATGCAAGCATGTGCCGCGGAGTTTCTAGGAACGGCGATTTACGTGCTAATCGCTTGTCTGGTATCCTCGGGGGTGAAGGGCATTGGGATTCTTCCGCCTGAGCACATGCCAATGATCGTGCCTATAGCACTGTGTGCCGGGTTCACTGTGGCTGCATTGATGGCCACATTTGGAAAAATGAGGTACGTGTTTAATGTCTTGCAAAATAAATCTTTTAATATTAATAAATTTTAAAAACAGTGGGGATGAATATGTTTGGTTCCATGTAGGTTTTGTCTGTTTTGATAACATGTCACAAGCAGGGATGTCACGTTAGAGCTAAAAGGTCTTCAAAAATAAAATTTATAAAACATCACCCCCAGAGAATAATCAGTCTCCATTGTCTACCGAAACCATTCCATTTGGCGTAAAAGACAAAATAGAAGTGAAAAATTATGTGAATGTGTCTCTCAAAATCAGTGATGACACCAGGTGTTCGCGAAAAGATGAAGCAATAGAGTAGAGTACTTCAGACAACCTATATTATTGAATGTAAATCAAGGCTGTGTATTGAATTAAAGCGACCTTTGATTCAACAACAGTTAATCATAACGTCTGAAAAGTAAAGATTATTTGCTTTTGTTGGAAAAAAAATGAAGAATTCAATTCAGATGAGAAAAGCAAATTGTCATGTATAATACCGAGTCAATATTTTACACGTGACAAAGGCCTCTCTCGGTTGATGGTTTCACATTTTCTGTCAAAATGTCAGATGTACATATTTTAAGTAGATTTAATTTAATTATATTTATTTAATTAGATTGTCAGCATTGTAGCTTCATGGCCAATACGTGAAATATACCGTGACTCTGAAATATATTAGTCTTTATTTATGGACTGAATCTTCCGTGGCTGGACGAACACATTGAGTGTGTTAGTATCATTATGTATAGGATACGTATTATAAATCAGCAGAATAATAGTATCGATACTTAAATCGGGTAAATTCTTATCAGTATGATATTGCTGAAGAGGGCATACAAAAAGAAAAACAAATATATTTATATGATTTGGGCAATGTCTGGGACAATCCAGAATTAATTATTCACGATTTCGTTGAGATGTAGTGATATTGACAATCAAGCATAGTAAAATTGGATTTCTATAGAATGATTAAAGTTGGTGTTACTTATGAAATGTATTTATCTCCAATGTGTGATAATTAACGCTTATCGCATCCCTTTATGTCAATTTCGGTGCTCAACACACACTCTTATGATTGAATTTGGATTTACGAATGAATTCCTCGTTTGTGAAAGACTTTGTCCTCTTGACATTGCCCGTGTGACGAAAGATATACTTGCTTTTGATGCATGTTAATAACGAAGCGCCCCGCTTCACAAAACCGGTAGGGTGAGACGATCTTAATTCCCATACTTTAACATAGACTTTCAGCAGTTGTATCATATCTGAGACCCGTTTCACAAAGCGATGTTAGCGTTAAAGCGATCATAATTCCCATACTTTAACATAGACTTTCAACAGTTGTATCATATCTGAGACCCGTTTCACAAAGCGATGTTAGCGTTAAAGCGATCATAATTCCCATACTTTAATATAGACTTTCAACAGTTGTATCATATCTGAGCTCCGTTTCACAAAGCGGTCTTAGCGTTAAAGCGATCATAATTCCCATACTTTAATATAGACTTTCAACAGTTGTATCATATCTGAGCTCCGTTTCACAAAGCGATCTTAGCGTTAAAGCGATCATAATTCCCATACTTTAACATAGACTTTCAACAGTTGTATCATATCTGAGCTCCGTTTCACAAAGCGGTCTTAGCGTTAAAGCGATCTAAATTCACATAATTTTACACAGACTTTCAACAGTTGTATCATATCTTGGATCCGTTTCACAAAGCGGTCTTAGCGTTAAAGCGATCATAATTCCCATACTTTAACATAGACTTTCAACAGTTGTATCATATCTGAGCTCCGTTTCACAAAATGGTCTTAGCGTTAAAGCGATCTTTATTCACATTTTTTAACATAGACTTTCAACAGTTGTATCATATCTGAGCTCCGTTTCACAAAATGGTCTTAGCGTTAAAGCGATCACAATTCCCATACTTTAACATAGACTTTCAACAGTTGTATCATATCTGAGCTCCGTTTCACAAAGCGATCTTAGCGTTAAAGCGATCTTAATTCACATACTTTAACATAGACTTTCAACAGTTGTATCATATCTGAGGTCCGTTTCACAAAGCGATAGTAGCGTTAAAGCGATCTTAATTGATTTCACATACTTTAACATAGGCTTTCAACAGTTGTATCATATCTGAGGTCCGTTCCACCAAGCGGTATTCGCGTCAAAGCGATCATAATTCCCATACTTTAACATAGACTTTCAACAGTTGTATCATATCTGTGATCCGTTTCACCAAGCGGTCTTAGCGTTAAACGATCATAATTCCCATACTTTAACATAGACTTTCAACAGTTGTATCATATCTGAGATCCGTTTCACCAAGCGGTCTTAGCGTTAAACGATCATAATTCCCATACTTTAACATAGACTTTCAACAGTTGTATCATATCTGAGACCCGTTTCACAAAGCGGTCTTAGCGTTAAAGCGATCATAATTCCCATACTTTAATAAGACTTTCAACAGTTGTATCATATCTGAGCTCCGTTTCACAAAGCGATCTTAGCGTTAAAGCGATCATAATTCCCATACTTTAACATAGGCTTTCAACAGTTGTATCATATCTGAGCTCCGTTTCACAAAGCGGTCTTAGCGTTAAAGCGATCTTAATTCACATATTTTAACACAGACTTTCAACAGTTGTATCATATCTGGGATCCGTTTCACCAAGCGTTCTTAGCGTTAAAGCGATAATATTTCCATACTTTAATATAGACTTTCAACAGTTGTATCATATCTGAGGTCCGTTTCACAAAGCGATCAAGCACCAAGGCGATCTCAACTACCGTACTTAGTTTAAACATATTTTATCGTCAATGGGATGCGGCACAAGTGCAACACTTATTGCTGCCTTTTCCCCACATACAGTGAAACATTATTTTACAAAATAAAAATGAACAAATTACAATTTAAGAATGACACTGAGGAAATACCATACACTACTGATGTGAGGGGTATTACAATGTGCTAAAAGTGAAAAAATACATATTTATACATATATTTGACAGTAATAAATAATTACATTTTTAAAATAATAATAATATGCCAACTACTGAATCTGTCAGGTTTTTTTCAAACGCTGTGACCAGACAAGAATGTATTTATATAGGTTTGGGTTTCCAAATGAAAAACGGTGTAATGCTGTTTGGGCTCCAAGACAATCAGTATTTGATAATAATGTCTTCCTAAGTCATCATATAAAGTGTACTTGAAAGAAGTAGAAATAGGGAGGTTTTCACTAGGCGCGCCGCGTTTACAGGAAATAGTATCAGATAAGATAACAAGAAACAGGTCGAAATTTAGCCTGTTACAATTGTGTCCTAATCTACTAGTAATCTTGTGTGCAAAATGTTTGTGGATTTGGTACCGCAATTATAGAACACAAGTGGTGATGCTCACTGATGCTACAGCTTTAAAAGAAGATATTGATGAAACCATCCCTTACTTCTGATGGTAGATAATTCCATTTGCTTACTGTATTATTTAAATGTTCGAGAAAATGGTCCAAAATCATGGCGGTTTCTGAGATTATAACTGGCACACATACTTCAACTTAAGATGGCTGTCGTGTTCTTTGAGTGCAAGAAAAACAGAAAAAGCCAGTTCTCCAACTTTTATAATATTAAATTAATGTAAAAAAATAAGCTTATTCGTAATGGACCTGGACCTCGTTCCATAAAGGGATTTTAGCACTACGAATATCGTAACTCTGTGTTAAAGTATTGTTACGATGATCTTAGCGCTCAGGGACCCGTTCCATAAAGGGATCTTAGCACTACGAATATCGTAACTCTGTGTTAAAGTATTGTTACGATGATCTTAGCGCTCAGGGACCCGTTCCATAAAGGGATCTTAGCACTACGAATATCGTAACTCTGTGTTAAAGTATTGTTACGATGATCTTAGCGCTCAGGGACCCGTTCCATAAAGGGATCTTAGCACTACGAATATCGTAACTCTGTGTTAAAGTATTGTTACGATGATCTTAGCGCTCAGGGACCCGTTCCATAAAGGGATCTTAGCACTACGAATATCGTAACTCTGTGTTAAAGTATTGTTACGATGATCTTAGCGCTCAGGGACCCGTTCCATAAAGGGATCTTAGCACTACGAATATCGTAACTCTGTGTTAAAGTATTGTTACGATGATCTTAGCGCTCAGGGACCCGTTCCACAAAGAGATCTTAGCGCTAAGTGGATCGTAACTCCCATACTTTAACATAGACTTACGGCAGTCGTAGCGCTAAGATCGCTTTGCAGGAGCGGGCCCAGAAGACCATGTGCCAGGATAAGACGTTCACAAACACGTACACTGATACGCCGTAACGATGCATGTTACGTCCTCACGTTTGTCAGCACGGTCAACGAAGACGGTGGCCGTGTGTAGGAATATGTGCACTATATATGTTTCGTCGAGGAGTACTTGACCGCATATTTAGTCATTATACGCATGGGAGGTTGTCACATTAGTTAATTTTAATGATTCTTGTGTCAAATCATAGCTACGTTTTAGAATCATATCAAGCATTCAACTGTGCTGAAAAACAAGGGGATCATATTCTTTTGTTTATAGATCTATACTTTTGGAGAGAGAGAGAGAGAGAGAGAGAGAGAGAGAGAGAGAGAGAGAGAGAGAGACTATTTTCAGTTATCCATTCATATACTTTTCACCGCTATTTTGTCTTTTATGCCAAATGAATTCGGGAAATAATCGAGACTGATCGTATCCTGGCGTTGACGTTGTATATTAAAGACGTTTGGGTTTAAAACGTTTTAGTGCGCAATATCAGGGAGTCAGAGATTAACTAAAATTGATATTTAAGGGTAAAAATCCCCACAGAGACATTAATACTCATATCAGCTGTAGTTTAGACATGTTTCAAACCAGTGAATGCGTGAGGGAGGTTAGTTTTATTGTTCGAAACATTATAACGGCAATGTCATGGTGGGGACCCCAAAGAATGGCTTCAAGATATTTACACATGTGTGGGAATCGACCACCGATCGTTGGCGTGACAATCAAACATTTTGATAACTCTGCCAAACAATTTAACTGAACTTATATTCACTAAATCTTTATAGGTAAAAATCCCCACAGGAACAGTTATATGAGCCGTTTGTACCGTAAAGTTATGATCGTGAACCCGAATCCCCTGTTTCTAGGTTAAACTTGTGTCCGCTCGTTGGTAACCACCTACACGTTTGTTTGTTTGTTTGTTGTTTAACGCTGCACTCAGCAATATTCCAGCTGTATGACGGCGATCTGTAAATAATCGAGTCTGGACCAGACAATCCAGTGACTGACATCATGAGCATCGTAGTGTGAACCTGTTCAAATGATGATACAGACATGACGTTGTCGGTCGCATTTGGGTAACTAAGATGAAGCAAACATTAGCCACCCAAATCCAAGATGGCCACCATTCTACCAATATGGCCGTCACTTTTCCTGCAAACGTCCATATTTTGCCAATATCCAGACGATATAACAATGCGAACATCAATTTATATTGATCAATTTGGTGACAGTGAGGTGACGATACTGAAGTAGTTAAGTTTATGAAGCTCTTTTTGTAAAGGAAGCAAGTTTTTGTTTCTTTTCTTACATTTTTCTGCTTGCGGCAATCTCATTCAAATCACGTGTTCCGTTATTTTGCCTCTTGCGCGTGCGTGCGTGGGTGCGTGCGTGGGTGCGTGCGTGCGTGCGTGCGTGCGTGTTCCACGGAGGCGGTTCCGCAAACGTACCGGAGTGCTTTCGCAAAACATTTGCAGAATTACTGCGGTACTTTTGCAAAATAACTACATCTTACCGCTGAGGTTAGACAAAGAAAACGCGAGAATCGAACAAAGGAGATAAGTATACTTGTGATCAGTAGTGTATATGACAATAATATAGATACCACATTTTGATATAAGTAACGTATCAATGCGTGATCATTGCAAGTAACATTTCAAGTTCAGCATACACAGTGTCCATGGCGTATGGCCGGACGTATGGCGTTGGGTGACAAGCACCAGCCATAAAAAATGATAAATTAATATAAAAAGATTATGATGTTCATTTGAAATAGGTCAAAACACGTCCTCAGCATTGACAATACATGGGTAAACCACCTGTTGCTATCTCAGGCCCATTGAAATGGACGCAATTATAACAGTAAACAGCTGGAGATGATAATCTTACAGCAACGAGCTATTCATTGTGTAGTAGGTTATTGACATATCTCCCACTTGGTGGAAGCCCTGATATTTATAAATGAAGTATACAGTAGAAAACGTTAAGCCCTTTAATAATATACCACGCCATCATTGCTGCACAGCTGCAGTTTAAGCTCCTTACAGCGAAAGGGCGCAACCTATAATGTATACAACTAAAAACATTATATGATAAATTATTTCCTTTTGATATTTCAGCGGTGGTCACTTCAACCCTGCTGTGAGTCTAGCGGTGTGTGTGTCTGGGGGTCTGAAGCCTCTCCTACTGCCCGCCTACGTCCTTGTGCAGATTTTCGGAGGGGTCGCTGGAGCCGGCCTCGCCATGGTGAGTGCGTGCGTGTGTGCGTGCGTGCAAGCGTGCGAAAGCTTAGTTTAACGCCATTTATAACAGTATTTCAGTTACATCACGACGTGTCAGTTCAATATGGGAGGAAAACTCCAAGTGGTGCAGGTATTTGCAGTTTGTTGCTTAACGTCGCACTCAGCAATATTCCAGCCATATATAGGCGGTCTGTAAATAATCGATGGAAATCATAAGTATCGATCTGCGCAATTGGGATACGATGACATGCATCAACCAAGTCAGCGAGCCTGACCACCCGATCTCGTTAGTCGCCTCTTACAACAAGCACAGTCGCTTCTTACGGCAGGTTGGGTAGCTGAAGACCTTTTCTACCCCGCATCTTCACGGGTCCTTTTGGTCAGAGATGTCGCGAGATCCGAGTTGTACGCAACCCGCCGTCGTGGGAATGCCGAGTTCGTATAACTAATAACATACAAGTTGCACAACTAGTTCTAGTACCCGGTGAATGCTCCTTTAGCGCTACGACTATCGTAAGCCTATGTGAAAGTGGACCATGTAATTGATAAAAATAATAAATTATATAAACAAACTCGCAAAAAACTCTGCGAGAATGTCTTTTATTGTCTGTTACATGGTCCTGGGCACTATTCCACAAAGCGATCTTAGCGCTACGACTATCGCAAGCCAGTGTTAAAGTATGGGAGTTACGATCACCTTAGCGCTTAGATGGCTTTGTGGAACAGGGCCCTGTTGATCATTTCAGCGCTAAAATGGGACGGGGCTCAGGTTAAGACGCCATTGAAATACAGGGCACACAACCTTTTCCCCATATTGTCAATTTCAACACTTTTATATAATTATGTTGAAGTTAGAACTTGTTAATTTCAACACTTGTATATTTCGGACTTCCAACTACACAAAATGCAGATAAAAGGTTTTATCATATAATGGGTACTAGGTTTTCCGGCAGTATAAAGCCAACGGATAAATACAATATCCGTTTTGGGTCATATGCGGATAAAGATTCAAGTATCAAAGAACAAGTAGTATAGGGACTACTTTCAGTGTTTACAAACAAACATGGCGTCGTCCTTGCATTCGGCGCTCGAGTCAGAATTAACTATCCGGATCTGGACAAACTATTATATTGAAAATCAGTGTCTAACTGTGACGTAGCTAAGGCATTTTACAAGTTTTGACAACTTCGGAGATATAAATTGCGAAACAATTTAGCGAAAAACACTAGCCAAGACGGCAAGATAGATCAGTTTCCATATCTCTGCTTGCAGACCTCTGCAGCTTGGAACCTTTTCCCCAATTTAAAACAGTTTTCATTTGGTCGATATATGTCCAAAGTGTCACCTTAATTGTTTCGTTTTGTTGCTGTGTGTACATCTGACAGCACTTCGTAACGTTATGACAGGACAGGCAGACACTGTCAACAAACGTTAAAACACAGACTAGAGTTAGAGTAGCTTCCCTTTGATAAAGGGAAAGGCTAGTAGAAGCAATTTCTGTAGGCAATTGTTGTTTTGCCTATATGTAGTTACGCCACTATACTGACTGCTGTCACTGTTCGAAAACACATCATTTACCTTCTGACGTAATAATATCAATGCGCACATACCCAGGAAAACTTGCAATGTTGGTGTGATGTTTGTGAGAGATCGGAAGATATTTTATGAATGACATGGACGCTTGCTTGTGTGTGTGTGTGTGTGTGTGTGTGTGTGTGTGTGTGTGTGGTGTTTGGGGTTTGTACCATGGCGAAACACAATCGCGTGATAACCTCTATAAACCAAGTAAAGAATTGATTGTATGTTTCGAAGATCTTTCTAACATGTCAACACGCACAAGCCGCTGCATCAAGCTGACGTTCATGTTATGAAACAGTAGTTTTGGGTCGCGATCTTCATCATTGTCACATCTTTCCCCAGGGGGCATGAAATTGATCTTTTCACTCATTTTTGTTTTACGTCCGGATTGGATGTTTTAAATCCTAAAAATGTGTTTTGAAGAAAACAATGTGCGATTCCCTACAAGATGTTCAAATTTCAGTTTCTAGTGGACCATATGCCTCGTCCGTTCAGTACTGTTTTCATCGTTACGGTAGCAAAATTGTCAATGAGATGTAACATTTCAACTCTGCATTGTACAAAAAACATTATCGTAGAGCGACTTTTAGCTGCCCAAATCTGCCGACCACTGCCCAAATCAGCCGATCACAAGGTCGATTGCCCACAACATCTAGGTTTTGTAACTCATAATTGTTGCATCATATGAACGTCCAAGGGTGAGTTTGTACAAAACGATTATATTACTAGGGTGACCGTAACTCCCATACCATAAAAATACTAAGAGCTAAAGTACTGTACAACGGCACCGAGGTTGTTATCCAGAACGATGCTTTTATTCGTGGAGATAACATTTTGACGAGGCTTGTTAATCTGCTATTCTACAAATGTGACCACCGTTTGAAACGATGTTGTAACACCCCTTCATTGTTCCGTAGGTTGTAGAACCAGATGAGCTGTTCACCAAGGTGTTAACTGATGATGGTGTTGAGATGGCGGTGGGACCAGGTCGGGCTATTGCCTGCGAATTTTTGCTGACTTCGTTTGTGATAGTTGCTGTGTTGCTGACCACGTTGGAGGAGAAGACGAAGTCGCATGCCGCACCAACTGCAGTGGGCTTCGCGTATGTCGTCGGCATTCTCTCGGGGTGCGTAGGGAGGAGAAAGACGCACGGCATATATTTTTATGTTATTTGTTTAACGCCGCATTCGGCAAAATTAAATGATGACGGATGGTAAATAATCAAGACAAGGCAATCCAGTGATTGACATCATGAGCACCAATCTCTGCAATTTGGATACAATGACGTACATCAAGCATGTCCCCCGATCCCGTTAGTTCCCTTACGACAAGCACTAATTTTATGTGGACATGCTTGCTTGTTTGTTTGGTATTTAACCCAACACTCAGCAATAGTCCAGCTGTATGGCGGCGGGTGTACAAAGAATCGAGGCTGGACGAGAGAAACCACTGATTGAGATTATGAGCAACGATCCACGCCGTCGGGGATCAGTGACACACGAACAACCACGAGTCTTACCGCCGACAGGCATAGGTTGCTGGGACAGAATGATCACCATTTCCCTATGCCTGTCGTAAGAGCCGACTAAAATTAAGATAAGGACCGTGTTACACAAGGGATCTTAGTGCTAAGACGATCACGAGTTAAAAGTAAAGGCAATTGTTACTCCCATACTTTAACACAGATCTACGACACTCATCCTTGGCCCACTTGCAGAAAGGGGTCTTAGCGCTAAGATGATCGTAACTCCCATACTTTAGCACACGTCAGGCTTACAATAGTCTTAGCGCTAATATCGCTTTGTGCAAGTGGGCCCTGGGTGGTTACAGCAATTCCAACGGACCCAATCAATGTTCGCGCCATGTACCGGCAGTCCTGATATTAGCGGGTATATCGCCGTAAAACAACATTCAATCAGCCGATCGAATGACCAGCTAGCTACATCTTTCAACTATAAATCAACAGCCTGTATAAATCGATCTTTCGATGTGTTTTCAAAAGTTATAAGTGCCACTTCAGTTTGAGTATTTGTTTTTATTTGCAGTATTCGGATAACCGGCACTAGTCTGAATCCTGCACGCAGTTTTGGTTCAGCAGTTGTGCTCAGTCTCTACTCAAAGAAAGCCTGGACTCTCCAGTATGTTTTCTGGGTTGGGCCGCTTCTGGCAGCTGTTGTCACAGCAATATTTTACAGGTAAGCTCTGAGTATCCATCGTCCTTGTCAAGAACAGAGTCACCCGTATTGTACGTCCTTGTCAGGAACAGAATCACCCGTATCGTACGTCCTTGTCAGGAACGGTATCACCCGTATCGTACGTCCTTGTCAGGAACAGTATCACCCTTATCGTAGTCCTTGTCAGGAACAGTATCAACCGTATCGTACGTCCTTGTCAGAAACAGTATCAACCGTATCGTATGTCCTTGTCAGGAACAGTATCACCCTTACCGTACGTGCTTGTCAGAAACAGTATCAACCGTATCGTATGTCCTTGTCAGGAACAGTATCACCCGTATCGTACGTCCCTGTCAGGAACAGTATTACCCGTATCGTACGTCCTTGTCAGGAACAGTAACACCCTTATCGTACGTCCTTGTCAGGAACAGTTACAACCGTATCGTACGTCCTTGTCAGGAACAGTATCGCCCTTATCGTAGTCCTTGTCAGAAACAGTATCAACCGTATCGTATGTCTTTGTCAGGAACAGTATCACCCGTACCGTACGTCCTTGTCAGAAACAGTATCAAACGTATCGTATGTCCTTGTCAGGAACAGTATCATCCGTACGTCCTTGTCAGGAACAGTATCACCCATACGTCCTTGTCAGGAACAGTATCATCTGTATCGTACGTCCTTGTCAGGAACAGTATCATCCGTACGTCTCGTCAGGAACAGTGTCACCCATACGTCCTTGTCAGGACTAGTATCATCTGTATCGTACGTCCTTGTCAGGAATTGTATCATCCGTACGTCCTTGTCAGGAACAGTATCATCCGTATCGTACGTCCTTGTCAGGAACAGTATCACCCGTACGTCCTTGTCAGGAACAGTATCACCCGTATCGTACGTTCCCTAAATCCTTTTCAGGAACAGTATCAGTAACATATTGTCCTGGTTATCTGTTAAAACACCGAGCCGGACAGCAACCATTAAGAAATAAGTTGTTTAATAACGCACCCATAATTGAACAGTTACTTCCTCATATACCTTCATGGCATTTCAGATACGTGCTTTTCCGACGGAAGACATCCTCCAAGGACAAATACAAATACTCACATCTCATGACAGATCCAAATCAAAACGACTGATATAACAGAAGCATACAACAAAACACACATCAGTCATTGATACATTTGCCATACTGCAATGCTCGCCAATGAAAACACATTAATACATCCTACTCGGGACAATGACTCCTAAAAGATATTGATACCAATCAAAACGATTACTATCGGACATGATGAACACTAAAGCTCTGTGTGGAGGAAGTGTTGAAACTTTTCATTTTCAATGAATATTCCACATCGCCACGTCTTTACTAATGCGGTGGGGGTAACTCAGGCGGACTTGGTGGAGGTGTCCCCCTTTGACTTTGCATGACGGGTAATTGTCTAACACCACCAAACCCTGGAGGAGTAGGCGGGCCTAATATCCCAGGAGGTAGACGCAATGGATGAGGAAGCTCTGGAGGTTCCATGGGTGGACCAGAAAACTCCAGAGGAAGACCGGATGGATCAGAAAACTCCAGAGGAAAACCGGGTGGATCTGAAAACTCCATAGGGTCCGAATACTCGAGAGGTGGACTGGGTCGGCCATGTCTTGGTGAGTCTAAAGGTCTGGCATTATTGACGTATTCAGCTGATGCTTTGGGAGGAGATATGGACTGAGACAGTCTGCGGGGTGAAATGGATGCCCGGCGAGAGGGGGACAACGAGCCTGAGGAACGATGCGACACGGACCATCTTCTTTCTGGAGACATGTCTTGGTCATCATCAACCATGGCACCAGGTATTGGCGATCTGCGAGGTGGTGATGGCGATGAGCGTTTTTGTACTCTGGAACTGCTGCAGAAGATAAAAATACATCATTTCTCAAACATTATGTTTGTATTTGTACATTTCTTAACATTCAAGTGATACTATTGACAGTTCTCCAGGTGATACCAGGATGGACCACCATCATTGTTCTCATCAGCATCGCTAAAAGACAAATCAATCACAAATGTTGGAAAAAGGTAAACTTCAGAGTCAATGCCTGGATTGGTGTTTACCTGCTGTTCCTTCTTGCAGAGGAATTAACGTCATGAAGTGATGAGCCTGGTTGGGGAACTGACGGAACTCGACGAAATGAATCTGTTTTAACATGTCCTGGGGAGGGTTCCGGGGAGTGTCTTGATGACGCACTATGACAAATGAAGCAAATTGTAGGCGTCCAAATGCAATAAGCGATTACAGTTTATCATTTAAGGAAGATTTGCAAGATGAGTCGTATTGATAAGACAGCTTTGAGTAAGTGAGTGAGTGGGTGGTTTTAACACTGCCTTGAACAGTATTCCTGTTATATCACGGTGTGTCAGCTTAATTTGGGAGGAAAGCCCGAAGTGACGCATGTCTCAGACGTTTACTTTGTTTGTTTAACGTCGCACTCAGCAATATTCCAGCTATATGGCGGCGGTCTGTAAATCGAGTCTGGACCGGACAATCCAGGGATAGACATGATGAGCATCGACCTACGTAATTAGGAGAGGATGATATGCATTAACCAAGTCAGCGAGCCGGACCACCCGATCCCGTTAGTCACAAGCATGGTCGCCTTTTACGGCAAGCATGGGATGCTGAAGACCATTTCTAACCCGGATCTCCAGGGTCTCAGACGTTTACCACTTTGGTTAAAATCACGAGCACAGGTATGGTGATGACAAATCTGGGATTCGAACCCACGATCATAGGTTTCTGGCATGCCCTTGGGACACAACTCTGCACAGTGAGACCGCTTTGAACTTATTTCAGTTCATGTGGCGGTGTGTCAGCGTAATTTGGGATGAAAGCCAAGGAAATGCAGGTTTGAGAGGTTAACCAAGTTCGTGAAATCAACATTAACTGGTTCAGTGCTGAAAAACCAAGGGGCATGATTAGCTAACGTGCTATTCGATCTCACTATAATCTCTTCCTGGCAAGACAAAGGGGCGCAACCCTGCCTCAGCAAACGAGAAACACGTATCCCCATATCGTTGAGTGAATGAATAAATTTATATCATCATGGTTGTTGCATTTCGACATAAAAAAATATGGCACTCCATCCATCATACAGGAGGCATAAAATCGTCAGTTGCGTTGCCGCTGTTTGTAATTGCAATATTACGAAAGTAAGTAACATTTGGCCATCATCGTTATACAGACAAGAATGTTTTATCAAAGCAACCTACTCTCTGAGGTTATTGAGGCTGACCATTGATGATATGAGTTCCAGGACCTTGTCTTTGTTTTCCTCGATCAACCTTGCTGCGACCTGACTCCCCAGTTGATGCATTCGCTCAGTCGCTGGAATGTGTAAGAGTGAGTGAGTGAGTGAGTGAGTTGGATTTAACGCCGCTTTTAACAGTATTCCAGTTATATCGCGGCGTGTCAGCTTAATTTGGGAGGAAAGCCCGAAGTGATGCAGGTCTCAGACGTTTACCACTTCGGTGAAACCCACGAGCACTGGTATGGTGCTGACAAACCTAGAAACATTATCGGGGCGAACCGGGATTCGAACCCACAATCATAGGTCCTGGCGTGCCCAAGGGACGCAACTCTGGACAGTGAATCGCGGCGCCTCAGACGGCCTGGGCCACCCGTGCCCCCGGAGTTTGTGAGAAACCAACTTAAATCACGACACATTCTTTACTGTTTAGACCGGATTTTCCACGAAACAGATGTGCTGCTTTGACACTGGCCAAACATATAGCCCTGTCATAACCAGGCTCCAGATAATCAGGTTTGGTTTGGTTGATTTGTTGACTAACGCCACACTCAGCAATATTCCAGCTACATGACCGCGGTCTGTAAATCTGTGTACACTATACTCAAGAAAATACGCTGCTTGAAATCACAATAAATTTGGGAAATACGTCTATAAATGAATGCTAGTCCGTACATGTATGCTGTGATGCGTATCTGATACGTTTTCTAAATTATCCGCCACTGTATCGTGCATATTTTCTCCGTACAAACGCCGATATGGGCCTTTATCTAGAGCCCTGTATAACGATACCCATTCTCCTACCGGTCATACTGGTAGTACCTCTATCATATGTTTCTTCATCTAAACTGCCAGGCAAAAGAAAGTATACACCCATGTTTGATGGTGGCTTAAAATGAAACAAAACAACCCAAGAAATGGTTATTCGTTAGTCTCACTGTCGCAGTTGTTGTACCATATGTTAATAATTGTGGAAAAACAATCTGTTAATCACACTGACATGCTTCAACTTGGCCCGACTGCGCGTTCGTCTACAATCAAGGAAAATGTCGGTCATGATATGTAATTTAGCTTGTGGCAGTGGTGTAATGCTAAGTCTGTACTGCGATGGAGTGTGAACGATACCTACCATCCACATCCTGTTGTTTTTCATCCTCATCATCGGAGAATTCTATGTCTTTGACGTCATACAATATCTCCTCATCCGGTTCATCCATAGCACTGACGATGGTTGCGTCCTCGCCCTCATCCTCTTCTTGGATGACCGACATGTTCGTCAGTTCCACCAGGTCCGGCTTATTTAAGCTGTTGTGGATGTCCTCTAGGATTTGGGCCTTGTCGTCTGTTGAGCCGGTGGCCATTTTTTTTCTATTGAGAAAATATATGTTGATTATTTTGTATTTATGACCAATCTAGTTTGCTGCTAACGCCATCCATATCATTGCGTGTGTTTCTTATGTCCATGCTCAGCTTCATAGATACCATAGATAGATCTAGATACTTTGGTTGAGAACACATCATAGTCAGTTGTGCCTGAATAATTCATTTTCTCATGTTTTATCATTATTGTACTATATCCGAACACTCTCCTCCCAGAGTTCCTTGGGTCAACCGCCTCCGTGGTTTAGAGGTAGAAGGAAGAGCGGAAGGTTCGGAGTTCGATCCCCGGCCGCGTTATACTAAAAGACGTTATAATATGGTACTTGTTACCCTGTCTGGGTCTCAGCATTAAGGGGCTAAAACAAGGACTAGTCGGCTCGGAATCAGTATACTGTGTCTGAGTGGGGTATTCAGGTTAAACTGCGGCATGGTATCTCAGTGTGCTAGCACTATAAATCGGTATCAGTCCGGACTAGTACAAGCAGCCACACACACACACATACGTGCATATGCACGTCACTATATACGAGTAAGTGCAATAATTTTGGACGCGACGTTAAACCCCATTTCACCTCACCACACCTCCTTGGGTCAACCTAGTACCTCTGCCACAGGCCAGAGAGATGTGACGATTCGATATTTTTCAGTCCATTCAGCTAATGGCATTTGTTACATCTATTTCGTTTTTGAAAAGTCTACACGTTTCGACAAACATATGTAATGAAATGGTTAACTGTCATTCAGAAAATGTCCTAAAACGTGAAAAAGCTATAATTACAGTTTGCGTATTTATCTTTTGTAATAGTTGAACGGCTCCATGTGCAGACAGTTGAAAGTTAGCGATACGGTCATTTTAATGTGTAAAGATAGATTGTAAAAAATCCTAACTGTATCCCTTGTAATAGTATATCTTTATTATTAGTGATATTCGAAACGCAGCGGTTAAGGACTGGTCATTAAGGGGTGTGGGCCGGGGATGTTTGTGGGTGAGGTGACTTTTATTTTTTAAAATATAAGATTCAGAGATTTAAATATTATTTAGAGGCGGCGGCAAAGTGTGATACAGTCATAAGACCAGTTCCTTGGTGTATCGGTGCTGAGAGCTCTAAAGACATAACAATGTGGACTTTATCTAAGGGAAATAAACAACTCAATAAAAAGCGTCAGTTTCCTCCTTTGAATGTCCTTCCGCTAAAATACAACACGAATTCGTTTACGAAATGGAAGTTCGTAATTCTTTTCCATGGCTTGATAATTTATTTTCAAGCTGGTGGGTTGGTATAAAACATTTGTTTACATTTTTTTAGCGGGACGGACCGGCAGATATAAGAAGTACTGATGTTCTTAGTACACATTACATATTTTTACATGTTACAATGTTTGCATGAAGTTTTACAGAAAATAATAACTTGTTCAATGTCATGATGGATGTCTTAAAAATATGTTATGTGAATCATTTTTTCAGCTTCTTCTTTCAAAGAAAGAGGGAGGTCGGGTAGCCTAGTGGTTAAAGCGTTCGCTCGTCACGCCGAAGACCCGGGTTCGATTCCCGACATGGGTACAATGTGTGAAGCCAATTTCTGGTGTCCTCCGCCCGTGATATTGCTGGAACATAGCTAAAAGCGGCGTAAAACCATACTCACTCACTCACTCAAAGAAAGAAATGATTGTCATGAAGCAGCTACAGAAATATTCTGTCCTCCCATCCCAAGAATATTAAATTGTTGGTCCTAGTATGTATGGTTTGTTATAACTCCATACATAAGCGATTGTAAACCAGTCAGTGTACATGCGATAAGAGACTAGCTACACCTTGACGTACATTGCATCCTTCTTGACAAGAAGCGCCGCGGCGATGAAGATAAAGACGACGATGACGATAAGAACTATGATGATTGTCCATTCTGGCGTCACCTTGAGAACTGCCAATAGCAACGTTTGGTTAGGTTGCAGAATGATACCAATGTGCAAATGCACACAGCTTTTGAGAATTCATATTCTGCAAATGAGACTTTAAGTCAGAATAACGTCTCATTTAAATGAGAGATATGTTAATTTGGATAAAGAAATAATCTTGCACTTAGTATCACCCCAGTTATCACTGGTGCTAACATTCGCGAATTCAGTTTATATTTGATCTTGAAAATTCTCTGACTTTGAGTTGTTTGTTTTTCACACGATTATGTTAAAAAAAACAATTGACACCAGAAATACTTTCTTACCGAGTGACTCGTTACTTCGGGTTATAGCAAATGCATGTGTTATGAGAAGGCGGCCATCTTGGTTCACCACGCATGCGTACAGACCTTGTGTGTGGCTTTCTGGCATTAGAGTAACTGAGCTCTCATTCTGAAGACCAGGCAGCTATAACAAAAGATATAACAAAATATCACGTGTGAACTCGTCTTTTTTAAACAGTTAAATTTACAAATACCACATTTAAGAACCGGTATATATGCCGTTTTCATTTGGTCCCATAAGGCGGGGAAACGGACGTTCAGAAGCATAACTAAACACGAACGTACTACAATCTAGCGTTCACTCTGTGAAGGTTCCCACTTCAAAGAACTCTCACAAAGCGAAAGCCATTTCTATGATATGCGTGAGCACAGGTAGCCTAGCAATGTTGTCCAAGGCGCCACTGGGCAGAGTTGCGTCCCTTGGGCACACCAGAACCAGGCAAGAAACATATATGATCGTGGGTTCGAATCCCGGTTCGCCCTGATCATGTTTCTAGGTTTGTCAGCACCATAGCCGTGACCTTTGGTTTCACCAAACTTGTAAACGTCTGAGATCTACATCACGACTGTCATTCCTCCCACATCAAGCTGACACGCCGCCATATAACTGGATTCATGTTAATTGGGCATTAAACTCATCTCATGCGAGCTCTCATTCTGAAGCCCATTAAACGACCAGCTTGTTACAGTAGCTCTCTGATCAAGGTGAGACAAAGTATGTCATGTGATAATGCATGAATCCAAACTTCGGCATGAATTCATTCAAAATATCAGAGATCAATATAGTGTCCTTCAGTAAATCCTCGATTATACACTCTATTGTATATCCATTTTATTACGAAATAATACCTTGGACCCATTCGGCACAATGGCTTCGATTTCAACAAAAATATTCATCCAATCAAATTACAACGAGCTAGAGAAATACAGTGCAAAGTTAGAGATGGGGGTGATAGAGGCGGTGAATTCGGTGACCATCTATGGTCCATGGTATTTATCCAAAAAGAGAAAAATGTAGACTATATTATACATCCGATAATCGCGTATGCAGAAACAGTGTTCACGGGACTCTGTTATAACAGTGAGATAACATTCACACGATAATCGAAGATGCCTTTAGCGTAGCTGTCTGCTTTGCACAGAAACAACGTTTACACAATTACCCTTTGTCTGATATGAACTCCGTGTGTCGAGTTGAGGAGCCTGTCTTCAAGCAACCACTGTGCTTTTGCATCATGGTCTCCAGTGGTGAAGCTTGTGAAGTCGCATCGAAGTGTCACCTTGCTTGTTGAATGTTCGATGACATTGCTCACGTGTGCTGCACAAACACGGATCATTGTATGTTACGTATCCTGTCAAAAAGCGATATAAGTACTAAGTCGGTCTTAACTATCTATACTTTAACACAGACTTCGACAGTCGCAGCGCTATGATCGTTTTGGGTCCCTGGGCGGTTTCTCCCATTTTGACTATTCCCATTATGACTACTAAAAAATGAAGGGGGGTAAATGACCCTACCTTGTATAGAATAATGGACCACTCCAGTCGTGATCTGTACTCTGCTCATATATACATGAACAATGTTGGGTGGTCGGGTAGCCAAGTGGTTAAAGTGTTCTCTCGTCACGCTGGGTTCGATTCCCGACATGGGTACAAAGTGTGAAGCCCATTTCTGGTGTCCCCCCGCCGTGATATTGCTGGAATATTGCTAGAAGTGGCGTAAAACCATACTAACTAAAGAGAGATTATATTCTTTATTTTTAATCACAGAGAATACCTTACCGAGGAACATGTTCGGTATTCACAATAGCAATAACAATGTCAGTGGAAAATTCAAAATGCAACAAAAGCTACGTTTGCATTATTTAAGCACATCTTCCCGAGGCAAGGGAGTTAACTGACTCTAAAAGTCCAGTTTCCACTTTTATAGTCAGTTAACTCCCCTGCCTCGGTAAGAGGAAGAAAGCCATCTGACACAATGATTGCCCCGATTGTAATGTACGGTTCTGATATTTGGGGATTGGAAAATACAAACTGTATTCAAAGAGTACATTTAATATTTCTGAAAACTGCAGCCTATCTTTGTTACTCAGCACCAAAGGTTATGTTCTGCGGTGAATTTAGAAAACCACTTTGTATTAAAATGCATTATCATAGTTTGGCAAAAAAAGTGCAACAAATAAGGAAATCCTAAGGTTAACAATTATTTTACAACAGTTTATCCTTAATGGACCCCAGAATACAATTGATGAAAAACGCCCAATGATTTATTCAATGAAATAAATACATGATTGTGGACGTTCTGAATTGTTTGATAACCCGTTTATATGTTCTGCACAATGGCTGGCTTCAAAGGCAGAGGAAATATTTAAAGATCATTATCTGCATAACTGATGCAGCTCTATTTTGGAAAGTTCAAAGGGTTTGTACAACAACAAAATTGAAAGAAACTTTATCGTTTGAAAAGTATCTCTTTTCACCCAAAACTGTGTATTACCTTGTTCTCAAATAAACTAATAAATCAAATGAAAAATACAGAGTATCTGTTTTATCTTTTCCCATTTGACTACTCCGTATAGTATCCCACTTCACCAAGAAACATACATAGCGAATACTACACTCATTCTCGTTAGATACCATTTTTACGAAACGAGTGCACTTTCTATGGTATCGTAAAAATGGTATCTAACGAGAATGGGTTTGGTATTTTATTTATTACCCACGTTAAATATATATTTAAGTGTAAATACAACACCTTTCGTTCGTTGACAGACCAAACTGAAACCGGTTTCAAAATCTGTTTGCGCATGAATATTGATATATGCCAAATATGGGCATTGTTGACATTTCTATGCCATTCGTGACCAACTCGTGTTATTCCGGGACAAGCTTCTTACAGGTTACGGAAAGGGGCGAGTGGTGACGAATGGTTTCTATGCATACTTATTAACAACATGCGCCTGCAGTTGTGTTTGCAAACATAACAGCACCGACGCTCGGGATTCTTTAGGAAGAATTTCCTCAACTTATGGTAATTCAAGCGCCACGTTGTTTGTACGCAGGACACCTGTAAGAAACTTTTAAAAGTCACATTAGCGCTGTCGCACTGCACTGCCAGAGTCCCGTCTGTGCATTCAAAATGTTTCGGTTTCCTTGGTCTGTCAGCTGAATTTATATCATGGGCCACCTGATCAGAAATCAGGCACACGTCAATGGAGTTTTCGAATGATTTGTATCGGAAATGTTCACTTTGAGTGATCTGGTCCCGAACAAACAACTCCCGAAACAGTGCCACAAAATACGCTTCGAAGGGGACGCTGATGGCACAACCGGATTATCCCAAGTAAGTCTAGATATCTGACCAGATAGTTTAAACTGACTTCATTTCAGCACGCCTATCCTTTGACGTTTAATCAAATTGAAAGTTGCGAAAGTGGTCGGGTGCGTCACGCTCATGGGGACCCTCGATCTATTTATCGGTAGTCGTGCATTGTAAATGGATACAGCTCGATTATATAATACCTGTAGAAGCTCTATGCATAACTTATATAGAATGCAAACCGAATTTGATCCGTGTGACTATCTTGTTTGTAAATACCTCTCTCATGAGATTGCTTCAGTTCTGCCTTGTGGTTGCAAAAATGAATGACGTCTCTTGATTTTTTTATGAATGAAAAAAGTAGCCCCGGTGTGACAGAGGTCACGGTTATCCAATCAAGACGAATAAAACAAGGTTAACCTTCTACGACACACGTGTGACGTACGGATTTAGTATCCTGCCCCCTGAATCTTCACAACGTGGATAATAAATAGCATTGTCCCCTGTGCAATAACAGTGTTGTGGAAGACCAGGCGCATGTTTTGATGTCTTGTCCGATTTATGACGATATACGTTTTATACCTTTTTCAACATGATGCGTTCATAAACGCATTATTTTTTAGTTATGTCCAGATTATATATAATTTTTATATGTTATATGCCCACTCCTTTTTTTTATATTTTACAACGTCGTAGAAAATTCTGATCTTGCTAACGTTGTACAGTTCACATATCATTCCATATGAAATAGCTTACATAATATGTTTTACGAAACTCGTGTAATATTTCAATTTTACAAGAACTCTGACGCTCGTTTCGTAAAATCAGTTTGACACACATGCTTGTATAACAATCTCAATATATGTACTGTAAATACAAATGATTGCATAAGGTGAGACCCTTATAAAATATGTCTGTCAGTTTGTCTGTCTGTATGGATGAGGTAGGTAGTACGGTAATAAGCAGCTTCTGAACCATGAAGTGTGTGTAGTAAAACAGTAGTCATAATGGGAAGACTAACCCCGAGTCCACTTGCACATGTCATATTTTGCGCTCATATTATCGTAAGTCTAGATGAACGTAAAAGCTGTTGTCAGAAATGTAATTCACATATCTTCTGAATAAATATTCAGAACTAATAGAACGCTAGGAAGCTTTAAACATCATTCACGACAACAGAGGGGCGTGAAAAGACATCACTTGCTTTTTGGTAAGGTGAACTAAAGTGTAAATATTCATCTCAATCATAGCCGGACTTGTTGAAATATTATACTTCTTTGTCAAACAGTTAAGTAGTTAATCTAAAGGGTTATACTCGAGAAGGAATATCCCATGGAGTTGATGGTCCCAGCTGTATCAAACAGTGCACCACGCCTGAAGGAGAACGTCTCATCGTTGACGACCACTTTGTCCACGTTGCCATCGAATCCCTTTCTGACACCTGTCCGGTTGGTGATGAGCGCCCATATGTGTGGAGGGGCGCCACCTATGAAGACCTCTTTCTGAGGACGGTAGTTTCTTCCAACACAGGATAGTTGCATGGCCTCTCCTTTGTCCAGCCTTAACACGGAGCCATTGCCTTCAGCCTCTATTGTCAAATAGTACCAAGTTCGAGTCTGCAAAATACGACAGTACCACTGCTTTATAATATCATTGAGTTAACACATTAAATTGTACATACAATTGATTTCTTTTACATTTAGTATGAGCTGAACGAAGAAACAGACTTAGTTTAGTTTTGTTAAGGTGGTCAAACATAATGTCGTGACAAATACTACATTCAAGCTTGATTTCCTTCCAAGTTAAAAAAATTAGCCGTCCCTTCAATATTAATTGAAGTAATTCAAACTAACGTGATTGTCTGAAAGTTCACTGCAAGAGGTATAAATTGTGCGTTTTGGGGCCCACTAGATATGCATTAAGAAATAAGGAACAACTGAAGAAATTAATACATGGCCATGAGAAAAGTACTTTGTTGAACACCTGCATGTTCTTGACTCATATCATTACCAAATGTAGAACAAAGTCTGGAAGCTTTTCCTACTATTTAAACAAAAAAAGTTACGGAGCATGCATATTAAATATTTTTTGGGATGTGTTTTAGTTGAGACTAAGCACAGAATTTCCTTAAATATATCCCCAAAATGAATTTACGTTGGTTTTTTTATCACATTGTTTCGAGATTGCTGAAAGCCCCACACTTATGACTTACATTCTTCTAACACCATATGCCTGGCGAATCCTATTGCGTTACAGTTCACACTACGAGTGATGCTGAGCTCTCAAGTCGCCCCCTTACAGTGGTTGGTTGGTTGGCTGGTTTGTTGTTTGACGCCGCTCTCAGCAATATTCCAGCTATATGACGGTGGTCTGTAAATAATCGAGTCTGGACCACACAATCCAGTGATTGACATCATGAGCATCGATCCACGCAATTGGGATCGATGACATGCATCAACCAAGTCAGCGATCCTGGCCACCCGATCCCGTTAGTCGCCTCTTACGACAAGCATAGTCGCCTTTTACGGCAAGCATGGGTTGCTGAAGACCTATTCTACCCCGTATCTTCACGGGTCCTCTACACACTAATTTTCAGCAGCTTAGACCACAGAACACCCATGCCCCCTGTACATGGTAGAAAGAAAAAAGGATAATGTCTATCATGAGAAGATCCCTGAGGACTTCCATAACAAAGACAATGTTGTAAGTTATGGAACCCACAAGTATAAAATTTGTGGTGCACACAAATCATCCCCTAAAAAAACCAATAAAATGTTACTTACTTGGAATATAAATGTTTTTTGACAAAATATGTCTTTCTTGTTACAGGCAAAGCAGAGTTTCAGTGCGCCTTGTTCGGAAAACAGGGCGATGAGGGATCCAGGCACTACGCCCTCGTTATATAAGATGAAGCCATTAGATTTGCGCATGCGCACTGTCATCACAATCTTTAACATCCGGTCATGTCGGAAGCTTAATCGAGCGTAATGGCGGCCTCGGAAGTCAGGGTAGTTGACATCAACGTCTGAAACATGGATTCAGATTTGAATCAAATTCCATTTGTGCATGAGGGTTTACATGTTGTGGAAAATGGTTAAGTGAACCGGTAATGGTAGTGAAACTTGTGTCCAGGGGCCCGTTCCGGTCAGCGCTGTGGTGATTGTAGCTCTCACCCTTTAACATAGACTTACAGCTGCCGGAGCGCTACGATCGCTTTATGGAAACGGGGTCCTGCCATAAGAACTACACGCCATTAGAGTGAGTTAAATCGAAATGTCGCATCGGCATTATTTCGGCCGTATGGCGACGTAAGAAGACCGCTTTCGTGGTTAAGTGGATAGAGCGTCTGCCTAGAGAGCGGATGGTCGATGGTCAATCACCGACCGAGTTATACCAGAAGACGTTAAAAGATGGTACTTGTTGTTACCCTGCCTGGCGCTCGGCATTAAGGGGCTAAAACAAGGACTTGTCGGCTCGGAGTCATAATATCAGTCTGAATAGGGGTATCCATGTTAAACTGCGGCATGGCACATTTTGTATCTCTGGGCGAGCATTACTGAACCTGGATTAGTCAGAGTGGTACAAGTGGACGCACAACCACACACTCACATACGTGCATATGACACGATGCCATATACCTGCAGTCATCTTTAAGGCGACGTTAAACCCCATTTCACCTCTCCTAAATATTTAAGCTTCATTCGATTGACCAATTATAAACTACAGCATGTGATCAAGGATCCTTTATTTGGTATTGTTATACCTCTATTAAGAATCTTTCAATTCCATTGGTTAATCCGTACAAAGTGACGAAACATTTCAATATAGACCCCAAATCATATGACTGACACTGACCTCGAACAATGACTCGTCACATGATCAGTACTGACCTGTCACGTGATGAATATTGACTCGTCTGCCAGCAAACAAGATGGCGTCTGGTATACTTACATTTTATGGTTCGCAACTAAGTTACCGTAATGATACAGGTGACGTTTTAGAGGCTTTATAAACTTTCAAGTGAATTTTGGTATAACCACACGAATGAGTACTCTTGACGAGGCCAATATGCGTAAACAAGGACCGTCGGACCCGACCTCTTCAGCGGTCAGACCACCCCAGGCGTCGGTTCCTCGTGTCCTTGTTTTCGCAATTTTCGTCAAGAGCAATTATTTGTAAATTTCTATTTGTGTATTTTTGCTCATTTGAATACATGCTTTTGTCACAGATTATGTCTTTTATTTGAACACATATATTGTCACATTCACAGGTTCATCATGACACATGATATGATCCAAGCTAGAAGAAGAAGATATGGCCACTGTTTAAACCTGTAACTGTAGTTTCGGCTTTAAGTTCAGAGGACAGGGAGGCATGAGCTCACCTGATAGCTGTTTCTCAATGAACTCTTCTTTGTCAGGTGCTCCTATCCCTAACCAGAAGGGCGACTGGTAAAGAGCGATGTCCTTGAAATTAATACGTAGTATGGAGATCACGCCGTGGAAACCTGCAACAAATTGAAACCTGTTACAAATACAATCTTGTTTCAGACAATTTACGATTCTTATAGGACTAACGACAGCGCTACAATCCCTTTGTGAAAAGTGACACAGGGCCCCGTTCCACAAAACGATCTTAGCGCTACGACTGCCTTTGGTCTATGTTGAAGTATGCATATGGGAGCTGCAATCGTCTTAGCGCTGAGATACCTTTGTGGAACGAGGCCCTGAATATGCAAGCGTTAAGTAGAGTATTTTTTCTCGTCCCTATATGACAATTTAACTTGACATGTTCCTTATTTCTTAAATATTCCTTTCCCGCAAAGCGACTTTTGTGAAATGCCAATGTTAAAGATGGGAGTTACGATCATCTTAGTGCTAAGATAGCTCTGTCAATTTTGAGGATCCCAGATAATGAAACTGATATAGGACCATTCATTTTGAGCACCGTTGGACCGCTGCAAGTCTTACTGTGCGGCATAAAACACTATTCATCCACTCATTTACTCAAGCTCCAGATGTAGAAACCAACAGTTTTAGTCTACTCGTCCTCATAACGACAACATATGGCAAAACCCTTAAAATGGCAATTTTTTACTGGTCCTTATGATAGATACCTTAACTGTTGGGCAGTTTGACAAGGACTATAGGACCAGTGCCAATTTCTAACGCTGACGCTGCTCTATGCCCACTTGCCAGTATATGTCTACTGTCCCTATATTGTTGCAACCAAATCTATCATTTTTCCACATTACACCGACGGCGTGGATTTTCGCTCATAATATCAATCACAATTACGTTAAATAAAGTACCGTATTCGACGTAATAAGCGCCCACGGCGATATTTACATATATATTGGCTAGTGAACAATCACAATTAGCACCCCTTCCGATTGATCAATGTACACAAGACTTATTTATTCGTGTATGATAATTATTGGCAATTTAATTCTCGAAAATATATCTATCGTGTATAATATGCACAGATTCTTCTTTTATATCATTTCAGGCTGTTAGCATAAACCACAAAATCTTTCAACTGTTTTTTATCTCACCAAAATTATATTCTTATAAGAGCCCCTTATTTTTAATTTTGAGAGCGCCCTGTGCGCTCATTACGTTATTAATGCACAATAAACATGCATTGGAAGTAAGTTAGTCACTGGGAGGTCTGTAACTACGAATTCTACTTACCGTCATTACCGGTCTCTCCAGTGCCGACCCTCATGGAACCATCTAGATTCATTTCTTCCAAAAACGGGGAATCGGGGATAAATGTAGTATGTTCGCCGTCATTTACACGGATGTAGCTTTTGACACGTGACACAAACACAAGCAAGTCATTCCATTCCGATGCCTAGATGAAAGGAAATATCTTGGAGATAATCATGCATAGTGTGTCAGTAATCATATCTTAACATATTACAACTAAACAGAGGTTGCGTTTCCTTAAACTTCGCCCCTGTCGGAATAAAACAATGGCATTGTTATGTGTAGCTTACATTACAAGAGAGAAAAATGGTGAATTTACGTTTCAAACATTATACGAGGCCTTATTTTCTGATTATATATTGTTCCTAAAACCATTAGGTCGGTCATTGAAATGAAAATATAATTGAAAAAAATAATTACTATAAAGTGACAAAGGTCTGGGAAAGTTTAGACCCGAAAATGAAAACTTGTTTTTAGGAATTGGAACGGTATATCTTTCCCTTACTGGACGTTTTTTGGAAACGGGGTAATAAAGAACAAAGTCGTGGAATTTTAGTTTTATGAGGCAGCTCAATCCAAACAGATCCTACCTTTCAAACAGATGTTTCGTTCCACAAATTTAGTGCCAAAGCTATTGTAAGTGTATGATGAAGCATGGGCGTAACGGTCATCTTTGCACTAAAATCGCTTTGTGGAACTGGGCCCTGGTACTAATCACAATATAGCAAGATACTTGGGTCAGTGTATTCCAATAATATATAGAAATATTGCACTTATATTAACCGCCGGGCAAAAGAAAGTATACACTTGAAAATTGGATTTGACCAAGAAATCACAAACGTTACCAGGCTGAAAACAATTGCTGAAACAATCCAAACATCTTTTTTTTTTCTTTTTTTTTTCCATTTGAACTTTTTATTCTCAGGATAGTTAACAATCCAAACTTAAGGTCCAAAACACAACCTTGATACCCATATCAAACACATTACCATCGAATAACCATTTCTTGTTTGTTAAATTTTTAGCCACCATCAAACATGGGGTATACCTTCTTTTTTCCCTGCAGTTTAGTTGAAATGCTGCGGGAGACAAAACGTTAGCATCCTCTGGTTACAGCAATCTCATTAAAATCAGATCTTAGGACATCCCATTACGGGTCACGTCAGACCGACCTTGCGCGAACTTTGACCGACCAATGGAATGACCAATCAGAAGGCAGCTTTCTCGTGCTTTACGGCACTAATTTCAAATTGGCGACTACGCTTCGAAACATATTTTGACAAATTCTCGATTACAAATTTGAAACCTGAACAAAAGAACATTCTGGAATGGCTAATAGATGGTCTAGATTGTATGGATTCAGTCGTTAAACCCGTAACTATCGTTCGGAGTTAAAGTTTTCGAGGTTGCATGATTAGAAATTACATTCCGACTGTCACTTTCATAATCTTGTAAGCGATGCTCTGATTGGTCGGATGAAAGGTCGTTCTGACGTGACCCCTAATGGGATGTTCTCAGATCTTTGTTTAGTGGTAGCGAGAACTGAGGTTGCTGGTTACAGCGATGTTTAACTCCTACCTTAACTGAAGTTTTGGCTAATAACTCAATGTCCCGTCCATCAATCGTCAGCCCTAAAAATGGGCGATAATTTTTGAGACTAAGAACGAGATTGTGGTCGCAGTCAAACGTTCCTTCCATGCATCCTCGATGACGATAGACTAGCGTTCCGGACGGAGACAGTGGCTTCAAGCGGAGATATATCAACAGATACCGGATTGGTTTAGAATGGGGACTGTACGTCAAATAACTGTTTTTGTTGAACTTCACAGCCGCTTCGTTTCCTGGAAGTACATGCGGCGGTTACAATAACATGAGACACAAAATGTGCATATAGACATTGGGGATTATCTGCACCCGAGTGGATAACTTGTGTAATAATTAATCACGAGGAATAGATGTATACTGAACAATTAAATTAAGGATCATGAATATGTTTGTGGATATTTTTTAGAGTGAAGACTGAGCATACCATTTCATAAAATAACTCTTTTGTTCAATATACGCGATTCCTCATAGCTTATTATATACACTATTACAGTATATATAGAATACTAACCGAGCTCCTGTGTAATACCAATTTTATGAAACGAGTGACAAGTTCTGTTATCCAACGAGCGAAAGCGAGTCAGATACCACAACTATTCACGAATTTCATAAAATTGGTTTTACACGGGAGCGAGTTTAGTATTTTATTTATTACTTGCCTTTTATAACGTTTTTAGAATTATACTGTTGAGACTGTGAATAGGCTGACACCTACACGATCCACGGCATAATCCAATTGAGTTTACCAGAATAATACTTCAAACACGTCAAAAGTTCAAACGTATGAATTTAATACCATACAACGGTCCAACTTTAGAATTCAGGCGTCCGTTCCACAAAATTATCGTAGCGCTAAGGTTATCGCAGTTCACATACTTAGAGTAACGACTGTCGTGCTACACCAGTCGTTGCGCTACAACACCATCGCCTTGTGGAACAGGGCCTTGCACCTCACAGTTTACAATCACGTCACTTGACTTAATTTGTGGAATTTCGTTCCAAGATGCATCAGCGAAACAATGCCATGTGACGTCAGCCTAGCAACAAGGTTGCTGGGGTCATCGAGTGAACATAAGCTCCTCTCAATGATCTATCATTTCCACACGCAATGTCGTGAATAAGCCAAGGGATGTTGACAGTTTTCAATATTTGTTCGGGAACGTGTTCCGACAGTACATAAGCACGCGTTTTGGTATTACACAATGTGTAATACAGCTGTATGTTTATCAAACGGGTGACCTCATCGCGGACAAGTAATAAATATATTTATCATATATACGTGTTTTATAAGAAAACGTGTGGACATAATTTCGCCAATGTATTGTTGGAATGACGTCATAAATTCGTCTGTGACGTAATGAACAATGGATGGCGTCATCCTTAATCATTTGCAGCTCTTGACAAACAATGGAAACAATGGGACAATTGGCGCGAACACGTCCTTCATGAGTCAGTTGAATTGCCTCACAATGTTTTGCAGACATTGCAAACCGTATTTTTATACTTCACTCGACATCGTATTTGAGAAAAAGCATAAAATAGTTTTCATGTATTTAGCTCGCCAAGGCTCTTTAAATACAATGTCTATTCCAAATACAGGATATTTACCATCCCATTGTGTATGCATTCGTACAGATCGCCTACCTTGACAGGGTCGGTTGTAGCAGTAGGTCGATTCAGTCCCGGGTCCACGACATATTTTACCGTTATTGAATGGCGCGGGGTCCGTGCACGTGCGGTCACGGAAGTTGTGTCCAAGGCCACATTCTTTGCTGCAAGGCGCCCACTGACCCCATGCTCCCCACTTGCCGGTCACTTGGTATGGACAGGATACATGTCAGTAGTATAAATTGCATAACTGGCATTTATTTACCGAATATCAAAATATTACAAGCAGACTAACCATACAAGTTTGATACAAACACACTAACCATACAACAAGGTTCACAGAAGCACACTTACATGACAATACGTTTCAAACAAACAGACTAACCAGACATGTTTGATAAACGCTGACTAACAAGACAGGTTTGATACAAGCAGGCTAACAAATTTAATACAAGAGTACAAGACAACAAGTTTAACACAAGCAGGCTAAACAATTGATACAAGCAGGCTAACAAGACAACAACATCTACCTGGACACGCGTGGAGGTTGCACAGCGCCTTCATATCCTCCTTCTTCTCCTCCCCATCGCCTCTCCATTGTCTAACTCGTTTAGTATGTCCCTGACCACAGGTTTTGTCACAGCTTGACCATGTACTCCAGCGTGACCAGTGGTCATCTGGCTCTGTAAAGTATGAAAGTACATAACCATTCTCTGCACTCGGCCTCTCTGTTCTATGTCCCTATACATGACCACTAGTTTCCCCTTTTATAGGGTGGACGGGGCTTGGGTTGCAGTGTTGCGCTGAACAATGTCACTGATACGTAATGATTTGATATAGCTGTCTGCATTTTTTGTGTTATTGACAAAATAAGCAGTCTGTTAAGTTACTGTGGTTAATGTGAACCTTTATTTAAATAATTGAACAATTATCTATAAGAAATGACTTCAGAGTGTGTTTTGTTGGGTTTATGGGGTTTATGAACGTTTGTTTGTTGTTTAGCGCCGCACTCAGGAACAGTACCACCCGTATCGTTCGTCCTTGTCAGGAACAGTACCACCCGTATCGTTCGTCCTTGTCAGGAACAGTACCACCCGTATCGTAAGTCCTTGTCAGGAACAGTATCACCCGTATCGTATGTCCTTGTCAGGAACAGTACCACCCGTATCATATGTCCTTGTCAGGAACAGTATCACCCGTATCGTATGTCCTTGTCAGGAACAGTATCACCCGTATCTTATGTCCTTGTCAGGAACAGTACCACCCGTATCGTATGTCCTTGTCAGGAACAGTACCACCCGTATCGTATGTCCTTGTCGGGAACAGTATCACCCGTATCGTACGTCCTTGTCAGGAACACTATCACCCGCACGTCCTTGTCAGGAACATTATCACCCGTATCATATGTCCTTTGTCAGGAACAGAATCACCCGTATCTTACGTCCTTGGCTTGTGTTGTTCCTTTACGCCGCACTCAGCAATGTTCCAGCTATAAGACGCAGGTCTGTAAATAATCGAGACTCGACCAGACAATCCAGTGATTGACATCATGAACATCGATCTACGCAATTGGTTGATGACATGCATCAACCAAGTCAGCGAGCCTGTCCATCCATTCCGCTTGTCGCCTCTTAGACAAGCATTGGTTGCTGAAGACAATTCCAGTTCCAGATTTTCACGGCTTTCCATGTTGGTAATAATTTTAAGACACAATTTAATGGATAACATCTTCTTTATTTTACTGTGATGGCGACGTTTTGGTACAGATCCGTATACCGTTGACAAGCAAGGTCTAATAAAGAACATGGTACAGAAATATATATGGTAGGTGGAGGATTAAGAGTAACAACAATTGCATACATAAGAGATTAACATGAGTAGGTTGATATAATAATAATAATAACAACAGAAGGATGATACTTAACAACATAATGGACATGATCTCTCATATTTGTTTTTACTGTTAATCCTCCACCTACCATATATATCCAGGGTAGCATAGGTCTTCAGTAACCAATACTTGCAGTAAAAGGCGACTATGCATGTCGTGAGAGGCGACTAACGGGATCGGGGTGGTCAGGCTCGCTGACTTGGTTGATACATGTCTGGGCCTATATTTTCGAAACGATCTTAGCCAAGATAAATCTTAACAACTTACGTTCAAAGATAAGATATCTTAAGGTTAAGATAAGATAGATTTTCGAAACTATCGTAAACCTGTCGCAGATCGTTCAGAGTTACGATACCTATCGTAACTCTGACAAGGAACTCATTTGTGTCAGGGATTGAAAAAGCGAGGTGTTTCCCAATGACGTCACGGGGATTTCCCAGCTGCTGACAATAACAACAACATAGATAAGTGACACGGAATTCATGATCACATTGTCAGGTCACATTGTTTAACATGCACATATTTGAGTGAATATTCTGTACAATCCTACATATGTCCTACATGTAGACGTGTTGTTCTTATGATAAAAGATGCCATGACTAACCGAACACAAAAAGCATTCGTGTGCCATGCAATAGCATTTTTTAAAGCCAAAAAATGTTATAATCAATAAGTATATAGTACCACACTTTAGCTATTAGAATGGAAATAATGTGCCAAAAGATACTTCACAATTTTCCCTTCAAATGGTCCTCTCGTGACCGCGCAGAACTTTATGATACAAACACATCGCGTACAAAGTCAAGGACGAAAGTAAGGGACGTTATTCTAAATGACAATGACGAGACCTTGGATCGAACAGCAAATGCGTTCAGCATTTAACATACGCGTTCAAGTCTGATGTTAAGTGATGTATACTGTATATGTTTGTGTTTATGTCAAAAGTCAAGTTTATATTAGTGTAAACACCAACATTATACGTGGAAACACTCAAAACAAAAATTGTTCAGGAAGCTGCGCACCCACAAGCAAGATTTTATGACAATCTAAGCTTGTTAAGTTTGTTTTGTTATTTATATATCCAATATATTTCACGAATTAACCAAGGACTTAAATACAATATCAAGCTATAAGTATTTAGATGATGAAATTATTTTTTATCTATATAGATCCATAATTCTTTTCAAAATTTATAAGTGACACTAATTTTCGTTCGCAAAGAGAGATAATTTCGGAATTGTCAAGTTATGTTGTCTCATGGAACACGCCACAAGTTAACGTAAACATACATATAATGTAGTCATTTTCTATCCTTTTAAATTAAGTAGAGCTAATAAACTGATTTGTCTGATTTCATTTAAATCTGACTAAGGAGCGAAATACTTTGTAATGTGTCAAATCTATTCCAGAACGTAGTTCAATGATGTTTGGCTTGTCTGACAGCATTGCTGAGGATCATTTACTAGTATTTGTCCGTTGACCCTAAACGTGACAACGATTTTATTGTTTGAATGGTCTCAAGTATATCTATATATTTTTTAAACATAAAACGGGAAGATGTAGACTTAAATATTAAAAACACCAAAATATTTTAAAACCGGTTTATTGAATGCAAAGATTATTGTGTTGAAAATGTGTATTTTATATTGATCAGTATATTTCATTCAATAAACTTTTTTTTCTGCGAACATATACCGTATTCGACGTAATAAGCGCCCCGCTCTAATAAGCGCCCACGGCGATATTTGCTAATATATTGGCAAGTAAACAATCCCAATTAGCATCCCTTCCGACTGATCAATGTACACAAGACTTATTTATTCGTGTATAATACGCACTCGTGTTATATGCACCCTTAATTATGGGCAATTATATTCTGGAAAAATATGTCTGTCGTATATAAACAGTTCAGACCGTCAGCATAAACCACGAAATTTATCTTTCAACTCTGTTTTTTGCCAACTAAAATACTATTCTAATAAGAGCCCCCTATTTCTAATTTTGAGACCGCCCTGGGCGCTTATTACGTCGAATACGGTATTGGAATTTGCAAACCATGCTACATTTTGACGAGAACCAGAACGAGCATTGGAACCCATTTTTTATTTGATTTGTCGATACGAAAATCTGTGTCAAAATTTCAGTAAATTGTTATAATTACTTGAATACATCTATATGCCGTTAATCAATGTTTTTAAAGAATGCAATTGTTCAACAGACGGTTTTTAATCATTTTTTTTCCAAATATTTGTCTTTCAAGATGATAGAGATAACATAGGTATTGAATTTAAAACGAAACAAATTACAATTACTTTTGCAAGAAAAATATTAGATATTGAAAACAAGTATTTGATCACATGTATTTCCTTGTTAAGTCAATAAATACTACACTGTATAGTTAAAATTCAATTATTAAAACCACCCGTCCCACACGATTTTAGATGTAAAAACTTATGCGAAACCTTTATGGTTTTTTTTACATATGTAGATTGATATAATTTTATCAAATGCGAAAATAAAGACTAAAGCATTGACACAAATGCGATCCAGAAAATATAACAGTGGAACTCTGCGCTTTATGAAAACTGTACCATTGAGCAAGGTGTCCCGGGCGAGTACAAAGGGAAACCACTCTCAACTAGAGTTTGAACTAAGATTAGCTCCCCCTGAGTTATCAATGAGGTCACGGTCATTACTGTAGCCTGCCGACACCTTCCCTTTTTATCCCTCCCAAATTATCGAAAAGGTATGTTGTTTCACACTTCTTCTGCATGGACTCGGATAGAAATATATTGTAAACTATTGACTCCACAGTTATGTGGATCGCTGTCGCGATTGAGAACATTTTTGACGCGAAATCCATGATGCGTTCTTTTTGTTTTCGAAGTGTCAATTTGAATCACTCAGTTTTACAAAATGAAATGTCAATGTTTGAACGTAAAGCAGACTTATTGTTTGGCAAAATATCTATGGAAAAGTATGCCGCCATCTTGGATGAAGATAAAATAAACTTACGACAGGTATAGGGCTATCTTAGATTTACGACAAACTTAAGATATCTTAGGGCTACGATAGTTTCGAAAATAGGCTACGATAGCCTACGATTTCCTTACGATAACTTTACGATAATCTTAGGGCTATGATCGTTTCGAAAATCTAGGCCCTGGTCCAGACTCGATTATTTACAGACATCCGTCAGAGTGCGGCGTCAAACAATAACAAACAAAAATTATTCAGCCTTGCTTGACAACGGTATAAGGATCTGTACCAAAATGTCGCCATTACAGTAAAGAAAAGAAATTGTTATACAGTAAAGTACGTTTATAACGAACACGCTTATAACGAACTGATTTTTTGTCCCGACTATTTGCTATTGTTATACTGTATATATGCTTATAACATACTACGGTTATAACGAACTAAAGTTAGTGGTCCCTTTGAGTTCGTTATAACCGTAATTTACTGTATATAAATTGTGTCTACTTTGCCATTCGCCAAATACTAAGAAATGTCCCCCATACATCTACAGGTACAGTCATCCACCTTCTGTATGTTATGGGGCATTCACACGGTACAACTAGGTGTATACAATTTGTTGCATGCAACACATAACATCGTCTAAACAGGCAAGTCGGTCCAACGTTTGACGTAGTACGAAATAGGGCATGCTCTATTTTCACAAGACAAGTTGTATGAACGCAGCCAATTAAAACGCGTATGAAAATCACGTGACATTTACACGTCAATTTGTAAACAAAAATGGCGACTCCGATTCACGTCGGTAACTTCTGCTTTTCGGTATCCGAAGTGTCACCAGTCAATAAAGTAGGTACATAGGATAAACCTTAAAAAATTATATACTTTGACATTTGCATCGGTCTTATTCTCTGGGTAAAACTGTTCATAGTGTTATTTGAAACGACAGGCAATGTGACTGAACACTGTAGTGTTGACCAAGATGAGACTAGGTCAATAATTCGTTTCTAAAACTTAAAATACATCATTCACCAAAATACACGTCACAGTTTTGGATTCTGGGGGAAGGCATCTATCATGTGATGCCATTAACAACTAGTTTAGGCAAAGCATATGAACAAAAAACGACATCTGAAAATAGTGTACATCGAAAATATAACCATTTCCGCATTTTACCAATTCCCCGTTTTAAATATCATTTATTCAAATAATATAGCTACATGAGAAGTTCAATTACAAAGCTCTTTGTCCAAAACACCAATGAGCATTCGGAAAAGACTCCAATAACCCTATATTCGAAACGTAAAGACTCTTGAGCCGAACCTCGAACGATGGATAGTGTTGCAAAATCAGATTCTTTTCGCGTCAGTGGAGATGCCTGTCACATCACATGTATTTCACACTCAGCTACAATACATACATCCCTGAATTCATCAGACCATTAACAATCACTTGACATATTGCCCATGTCATTAATACAAACGGTCCAAATAAAATCAACCGAAATATTCATTGCATTCATATACTCAACAACAAAAGTTCCTGTGACACCAATATTTTAGTGTATTTTTCAAACAAGTAAAGTGTGGTTTTCAATATTGTAGTACATGTATGGAATCAAGTCACAAAACCACAACTGCTACAGAAAAGCATGCATTCCATGCAAAAGTTGACTCTTATGCAAGCCCCATGCATTTCACTACCCAAGAATGGGTATAAAAAACATGTGCGTTAACGGGATTCCATATGCATTGTTTGGCATCGTTCTGACAACAACCACTCAGAAAAACAACAAAATTACGCAATTATTCAATATTACGAAATGCCACGCCTGTCCGGAAATGAGCGTCTGCAAGACATTGGTATGCTTTAAGCAGGATCGAGTCAACGTGATGTTGCAAGACAATTTAACGTCCACAGAAACACCATTTGGTGTTTATGGCAACGTTGGCAAAAGACGAATGCAGTCAGAGACCATCCTCGGAGTGGCAGGCCACGCGTAACCAATTTTCGACAAGATAACTGGATTCGAACAACACGCCTACGAAATCGATTCCAGCCAGCAACAGTGACTGCAAAGAAACATCCCAAGCCTTCGACGAATATTTTCACAAACCGAACGTCGTCGCCTCATATGTGAGGGGATTGTCGCCAGAAGACCCGCCAGACGTCCCATTTTGGCAGGAAACCACCGCCAGGCACGTCTACAGTGGTGCAGACAGCCTCTACGCTGGACGGCCATGCAGTGGGGACAAGTTCTATTCACTGACGAGTCTCGTTTTCACCTCAACCACAGCGATGGACGGATTCTATTGTACCGACGTCGGGGTGAACGTTACGTCAATCATTGTGTCATGGAAGAAGACCGTTCGGGGGCGGCAGCGTTGTGGTATTGGGTGGGATTACAGAAAGACAGAAGACCCGTTTGATAGTGGTAGAGCGAAATCTCAATGGACAGCGCTACCGCGACGAGATCATCGGCCCTGTTGCTCTACCGTTTTTGCGTCGTCATGGCTCAGGCATTACCTTTCAACATGACAACGCCTGGCCTCATATTGCTTGACTTGTTCATGATTCTCTCCAACAAAACAACGTGAATGTCATCCCCTGGCCGGCTCGCTCCCCTGATCTCTCACCAATCGAGCACACGTGGGATGAGATGGGTCGGCACCTTCGACGTCAACCACGTGTTCCACAGACACTCCAGGAACTTCGAAACACTCTCCAGCAGATATGGACAGATATCCCACAGGACATTGTGCGACGCCTGGTCCATTCCATGAAACGAAGATGTGTTGCTTGCATCGCAACCAGAGGCGGACACACACGCTATTGATCTGTAAATTGACATTTTGGCATGTTCATGTGTTTTTTTTTATGAAATCACGCATTTTCTGAAGTCAGTAATGGCAAATTAAACCATTTGAACACTTACAGGAGTCTTTTATCTTTTGCAAACCGAAATTTGTTTCAGATTTGGTAAAAAACATAACTTTGCATTAAATCTTATTCAATGTCACAGGAACTTTTGTTGTTCAGTATATGTGAAACCAAACCCTGTGCTCTGAAACCTACCAGTGGGCCTTCTCATTTGAAAATGTAAGCAAAGCAAACTTCTAGTTTTACATGCTATAACATTTACTACTATTCGGAGAGATTCAGCCGTCAACATTTTGCATACATTAGCTCGGATTATTGGGAATATGCATCGGTTGATAATCGTTGGAAGAATTGAGGAATTACTAAATTATCGGTTTCAACTGGCGGCTCCCAACTGGCCATAGGACACTTTCAGGATTTTTATAGGTCATTCTTCTATTTTATCACAAAAAATAAAATTAGTCTTCAGAGTCCACTTGCATACAGCGATCTTAGCGCTACAATTATTGTAAATCCTAAGATCGCGATCTTAGGCTTCGGCTACAATCGCCATCCACTTGCACAAAGAGATTGTAGGCTGAGGTCATTGTAAGCTACAATCGAAACTTACAATTGGTCCGGACCAATCTTAAGTAGCTAAGATCGTTGTAGTCCCTGACAAAAGGGCGTGCAAGACAGGGCTTGTTTCACAATAATAATCTGCTTTCCGTTCAAACACTGCCTCTTTAATTTGTTCAATTTTATGATTCGAATCAACACTTCAACAACACGAGGACCGCACCACAGATGTAACGTCAGAAATATCGTTAATTGCGATAGTGAACCACATAACTATCGAGTCGATAGCTTAAAGTACTATTCCCACCCGTCTCAATGCTGAAGGAAGTCTGAAACAACATACCTTATCAAGGGAAAGATAAAACCTAAGTCGTCTGCAAGCGATTTGTAACGTCCGTGACCTTTCAGATAAATCAAGGGCAGCTAATCATAGTTTATACTCTAGATGGGAGTGGTTTCCCTTTGTATATGTATCGAAGAATCTACCTTGCCCAGTGTATTTATGTTGTAGAACCGCCGAGCTCCCCTTGTATCTCTTTTGGATCACATTCGAGTCAGTTATTTTGTCTTTAGTTTATCCTTAAATTAATCTACAAGTAAACACAAGTTGAAGTGCAAAATCATACGTTTTAAACTAAAATCGAGTGGGACGGGCACGAGCGGTTGTAATATCTGAATTTATAAGAAACTAATACAAATATTCATCAAACAAGCAAATACACATGATGAGACATTTGAAATTTGTGTAAAATATCCCATAAATAGCAGAAGTAAAATTCACACTTTTTAAAAAGTATAATTAATTCCCAGTGAATATATTTTAAACTGCTTTCTTGAAACATTATTCATTATTCTTATTTCCCGTACATGCATTCTTGAAATCTCCCGTCTTACTGTGTTTTGAAAAGATTAACATCCTTTGTAATAGCGGCAAAACTAAAACATGAAGGATATACATGTATTTAGGATTTTACGGAAAGCTCCCCCCAATAGATGACGATCATACATTTACCTGTTATGTTATGAGGACATATTATTATTTTCTATTTTTATTTTCATAATAAGTATGTCACTAAATCTATATGCAAATATTCTAGTTATAGTTTCCTTAAAATAATTGGGACCTTTCAACTGTGCAAGGTGCGATGGAGGGAGGTACATGTTGTGTGTACCGGTTCCACACGTTGAATGCGCAGCAAGATTTGCGCGCTTGCAGACAACCGTAGACAGGAGTCTAGTTTAAGATATTTATACCTCAACCATTGAAGATTTCAATCTTAGTTAAGTTCAATCAAAGCCGTCTTACAATCGCGTTAAGATGGGTTTGTGCAAGTGGAATGGGACAACTGTATGGTAATAGTAAAGTTGATTGTAGCCGCTTAAGATCGATTGTAACTAAGATTGTTCTGTGCAAGTGGACCCTGGACAGTTTGGATGACAATCATTTTATGTCCGAGAAAAAGGAACGGATGTCGAGAGCTGTGTGCATGGGAACTTTGTAGATACACACAAACAAAAAATATACTAGAATGGATTGTCCTGAGCCATAGCATTGCTCACCGCCGACATTACAGCGGCTTACAGTTGACCTTTTTGTCTTTGCACATGAAGACCTCTCCCTCGTTTTTTGCCATCATTGCGCAAACTTGTTTTTTGCCACATACAACAAGTTTTTAACATTTTAAAAAAAGCATGCGTCTGAAAATAAACCAGGATTCCAGAGGCAATGTAGTGAATCACAAGGTTTTGATCTCGCGAGATCCGAGTTTTATGCAACTCGCCAACTTCAGTTCGTACAACTAATTGCATACAACAAGTTGCACCGTGTGAACGCCCCTTCAAACAACTGGGAGTTCAACTTTACCACAGGGCTCTGTACTGACAAGTGACCAACCTTGACAAGGAGCATTCCTGCAGTATCTTACAGCGCCATTTTCTCCTATACAAGGACCACCATTGGCAGGTAATGGGTTATCACAACGACGAAAACGACGGCGGGATCCTGGGCCACATGTCACGTCACAGGTTGACCATTGCATCCAGTCACTCCAACCACCCTTCACTGTTGAAACAATATAACGTGTATATATTAGCTGCAGTTACTGTATCGCCTCATGCGTCTATTAGCAGCTTTACTATATGTCACTAGAGGGGGTTATAAATATACCTTTTGAATTGTGTCAATGTGCGCGGTTACAATTTTTGGAAAACAAGATGGCGATCCACAAAAAAGTTTAATTCCGACTTTTCGTTTCGATCTGGATTCCTTATCCAGCATTAACTTTCGTTGAATTGAAGAATATGTATTTGGAGGAGAGTGAATAATGAACAAAACTTATGCAGGTTTCATTTTTTCAAATTGATTTGAAGCCAATCGGAGATGTAGAAGTGAACTATAAATATCCACAGCGCACAATGGTACATTTATCCAGCGGGGTGATCCGTGGCGCAAAGAGGGGCCGATATTTAACGGCTAAAGGTTAACTGACTATAAATGTACAGTGGAAATTGGACTTTTATAGTCAGTTAACGCCCATGCCTCGGGAAGATGGCTGAAGGTATATCGTAATTTACTTACAGCATGTAATCACTGTGGTAAGTTTCAGAGAGGTTGAAACGAATAAACAAATTTAGACATATAGATATGAAAGTTTAAACACTGTAATGATTAGAGAGAAAAAAACGAACTATGAGGCGATGTGGAGTGGGGTTTAACGTCGCGTCCAAGATTATTGTACTTATAGCGACGTGCATGCACGTGTGTGTGCGTGTGTGTGTACGTGTGGCTGCTTGTATTAGTCCGAGCTGATGCCGATTCATAGCGCTAGCCAACTGAGATACCGCGCCGCAGTTTTACATGAATACCCCACTCAGAGTACACTGACTCCGAGCTGACCAGTCCTTGTTTTAGCGCCTGTATTCTTAAAACGTCTTTAAAATGAGGAATGTGTAACTTGATTTAAAATCTGATCATGTACATCACGTGACAATGTTAATATCAGATCTGCATTGTACTATGGGCCTTGATGCCTAAAATACTGAATAAACTGTCTTTATGCCGAGCTCCAGACAGGGTAACAACAAGTACAATCTTTTCACGTCTTTTGGTATGACGCGGCCGGGGATCGAACCCACGACCTTCCGCTCCCCCGGGTGGACGCTCTACCACTAGACCACGGAGGCGGTCTCGAACTATTCGGAATTACGGATTATCTGTTCCGAGTGTTTGTTTCTTTATTTATTTGTTGTTTAACGCTGCACTCAGCAATATTCCAGCTGTTTGACGGCAGTCTGTAAATATTCAAGTCTGGACCAGACAATCCAGTGATTGACATCTTGACCATCGATCCACGCAATAGGGATACGATGACATGCATCAACCAAGTAAGCGAGCCTGACCACCCCATCCCGTTAGTCGCCTCTTACGACAAGCATAGTCGTCTTTTACGGCAAGCATGGGTTGCCAAAGACCTATTCTACCCCGGGTCTTCACGGGTCCTGTTCCGTGTGAAGGAATGGTACTAGTGCCGAGCCTTTGGCGCTATATGTAATATCTATAATAAAATATTGTTACTGTACAAACCGTTAACTAACAAAGAGTTGACCGTTTATATTTCCCAGAGAAGGGTTTCAGGAAGAAATGCGCTAGGTGGACAATACATATATTTTTTTCCAGAGTATTCTAAATTAAATGCTTGAGTAAACATATACTGAACCAAAACCAAATTAAAAACTTCACAATCCTAAAATTTTAACATTTTGACCAGTTATCATTGTGGGCCCTTATTGTGTATTTAGACAGGAATGGCCACGTATTGTCTTCAGATAACACCCGTTTTTGTGCAGGTGAATCGATCAAAATCATGTGCACAGCACTATAGTGGAAAAAGTGGTTTTTCACGTGCAACTGGTCACGTGGCCATAATACCGCACGTGTTTTCAGCCATACTTGTTAGCAGTCATTAACAAAAAAAGAAAAACACAAGAAAACAAGTCTTTACGGCCATTTGTCATGCCACGCCTTTCAAAAGTGCAACGGGAACGTGCCATCGGCATGTTGCAGTCGGGAACGTCCGTAGCTGAAGTCGCAAGGACGATTGGTTGTAGTCGACGGACTGTTTATGATTTACAGACACGTCTACAGCAAACGGGTACCACCGCTGATCGCCCTCGGTCCGGTCGACCACGTGTTACGTCACATGCAGAGGATCGTCAGATTGTCTTACGTCACCTCCGTAACCGATTTTTGACGGCTACATCAACCAGAAATGAATTGTTTAGGGGTAGACTGAGTGCGCAAACTGTTCGAAACCGTCTGAGAACTGCTCACCTTCAAGCACGACGGCCATACTGCAGGCCGATTCTGACTAAATTACACAGACGTCAACGTCAATTGTGGGCACAGCTGCACTTACGAGCGACACTTACGATGAGGAATTGGAATCAAGTCGTCTTCAGTGATGAATCCCGATTTAATCTTCGATTTGCAAATGGTAGGGTGAGGGTGTGGAGGCGCCGTCATGAACGTTACGCCCAGTGTTGTGTACAGGAAGTTGACAGATTTCGAGGCGGAAGTGTCATGGTGTGGGGTGTTTTCTGTGGCAATGCACGTTCCAGGCTTCTTGTCATCCGTGGCAACCTCAACGCTGCTGCTTACCGCGACCAGGTACTGGCACCAGAACTTCTGCCTTTTATGGCAGCACATGGACCCGGTTTGATCTTCCAACACGACAATGCCAAACCCCACACAGCAATTTTGACAAGGAATTTCCTTCAGAATGCGGGAGTCAACGTCATGGACTGGCCGTCAAGGTCTCCCGACCTCAATCCCATCGAACACGTCTGGGATGCTCTTGGCAGAAGTCTGCGCACTCTCCAGAACCAACCACAGAATTCGCAAGATCTTGGCACCATTTTGCAGCAACAATGGCGTCGTCTTCCCAATTATGTGTTCACAAGCATCACAAGGTCCATGCGGAGGCGTTGTGTGGCAGTTGTCAACGCACATGGTGGCCATACACGCTAATGAACTTGTGTGCCATCAGATTTTCGTGCTTGGGACTTATTATTTAAACTGTTGATGTTATTACCGAATACCGTAGGTGCTTGGAACAAATTATGGTTACCACCGTTAATGAAAATCCTTCTTTTGACATTAATGATTAAAAATTACCTTCTCCGATACATTTATCCGTTGTATATCATATATGGGATTAGTTTTAAAAATGTGAAGTTTTTAATTTGACTCAGTATACTTATTTCAGAAATTATGTTTCAGCTTCCGTCAAAGGCTTTAACAAAGTTAGCTCAACAAATCATACTTGTCTGGGCTCTTTTGTGGGAATATTTTCACAAAAAGTTTGATATCTGGTAGTGATACCGTATCCGACGTAATAACCGCCCAGGGCGCTCTCAAAATTAGAACTAGGGGGCTTTTATTAGAATATAATTTTGGTGAAAGAGTTGAAAGATCGTAAAGTTCGTGGTTTATGCTGACAGCCTGAAATGATACAAAAGAAAAGTCTGTGCGTATTATACACGAAAGATATATTTTTCCAGAATTTAATTGCCCGTAATTAAGGGTGCATATAAGACACGAGTGCGTATTATACACGAATAAATAAGTCTTGTGTACATTGATCAATCCGAAGGGTGCTAATTGGGATTGTTAACTAGCCAATATATTAACAAATTTGGCCTCGGGCACTTAATAGAGCGGGGCGCTTATTACGTCGAATACGGTAATTTGTGTTGAACAATACCGACTTCAAAAGCCGCTCTCCGAATGTACCTGGGCATTGGGCGATGTTACAGAACTGTATCTGCCTGATTTCCCCACAACACGTGGCATTGACGGTATATTCACATCCCCTGTCCCTCTTCCTGTAGCCCCCACCACAGGATCTGGAGCAGGTGGACCAATCTGACCACATCTGGTACTGGGACTCTCTTGACCTGTCATACGGCTGATTGTACGGGTCTCCCCACGCAGGCGTCACCTGGATGAAAATGACAGTGGGTTATAAACATCTTCCTCTCTGGACACTCAGTAGTTATCAGCGGTTAAACAAACATAAACTGAGGAGCAAAAGAAACTATACCTCTCAGTTGATATAATATAATATATATAAGATAGCTGCGCGATACATCGCAAAGAACAATGAAGAACAAAGCGTTTTATTTCAAGAAAAAACATTGTTCTATCATTTCTGGAGATTCGAACATGCGCTCGCAACTTGATGACATCGTATATATGACGACGTTATTTTTGAGAGGGGAGTGTCTAGAGAGTTGTTCCCCATAGATGTAGCTGGGCAACGCAGATAAACGCAATGAATGAATAATCGCATCCCAAAGCGGGAGAGATATGACAATCGGTATTGGGAGAAAAGGTACAGATTATCGAAGTGAGAATATCCGGGAAATACCCACCTGTGCACAAAATGGACTTGTCCGTCATTTCCGGGGTCGGATTCTAATGAGGGAGTCATCATTATTTAAATACGGGTAAATACGTTTAAATCTTGTACAATTTATCGTAAAGCTTATTTCTCTATATTTTTCATTGTTCCCTCATTCGTTTCCTTCAGTATATTTTAAGTTAGCGACAATATATACAAAAATGAACTGTACTAGCGCTTACTCACTCAAAGAATACTTATACATTTTTCAAAAATATAATTTGATTTAAAACTTTCAAAAAATAAAAAAGAAATCGCAAAACACACAACTGCTGATGGGTATCTTAGACTTCCTATCTTTGAAAATCAATAAACATTGTATGGAATTCATTCTTAGCCGAGCCTCCATTGAACCAATGTATTTTTACCCCAAATCACCCAAAATTCTTTTCACAAAATGTTGCAGGAATGAGTGATGGTTAGATATGATCAAATTTAATATCAGTTCTTTCAATTTCCAATTCCATGAAAAACAAGCTCGGGATACTTTCTTTTGCCCCTTTATTTTGTGGAACAGGTGTCCGATTAGTCAAAGACCCCACAGTCGCTATGCAGCGTTCCTGAGATTCAATAAACTTAAGGGATATACCAGCATCACTTCGGGCTTCCCCCCCAGCACCAAGCTGACACGCCGTGATGTAACTGAATTACTATTCAAAGGGGTACTGGACTCACTAAATCACTCCCTCACTTAACAATTAGTTGTTTGCTTGTTGTTTAACGCCGCACTCATCAATATTCCAGCTATATAAAAGCGGTCTATTAATAACCGGGTCTGGACCTGACAATACACGGATTGACATCATGAGCTTCTATCTACATAGATGGATACAGTGACATGCATCAACCATGTCAGCGGATCTGACTGGCCAATATCGTTAGTCGCCCCTTACGACAAGCATCGGTTGCTGAAGAACAATTCTAACCCAGATCTTCACAGGGGTATTCACAAAATACATGCACATGCAGATCCACCTGCAGATCCTGATTCCAGCGTTAGAAATTGGCACTCGTCCTGTAGTTCTTGCCAAACTGCCACAAAGTTAAGGTATCATAAGAACTAGTAGAAATGTGCCCTTTTAAAGGGTTTTGCTATATGTTATCATTGTTAAGGTCAAGCTAATATTGGACTTCAACTGTTAGCTTTTAGCAAATTAACATGCACAATGCTGAGTATGAATGAGGGTGATCCATCACTTGTTTCCTTGCCTTTCGAGGTTTTGCCGCTCGTAGTTGTGGTATTCCACCTGGTGTAGACTTGTCTGGAGAGAGAAATAATGATGTTTCAACTGTTCAGGTGAAAGTGATATACTATACCACCCGACCACAAATGGACCCATAGTCACCACCTCAGAGACAGAGAAGAAAATTATTATTCTATGCGCAAATAAAATTATTTAAGATCGTATTTACACTTACATAGGAATATTTACTTTTGAAATAAATCTCAGTCATTAGTATACTTATATAAGTAGGCAAGGGAGTGGTTGCAAAAATTAACCAATTCATATTCTATTATCAACATAGCATGATAAATGAAAAATATAAGGTTTGTTTACAATACAATTATAAATTGTTGACATAATCGATATACATAATTGTTAAGTGGGATGTACTTAAAAGAGGCAGTTCTATATGTTTACTTCTTAGATACTAGATCGTGGTATTTTGGACAAACTAATAGAAAGCGAAACTCATCTTCAATCACATTTGAATCACAAATTCTCAGTTCTGTAAACAGAAAACCTTGTGCTGTATTTTACTTACTTTGACGTGTACGCTGTGAACGCTTGCAGTCACTCGTATCAACCTCTGGGCCAAAACAGCCGCCCCCGCCGGAAGGATAGGGGTCAGCGCACATGCGCAGTCGCGTCTTCCTGCCTTCCCCACAGACGGCAGAACACACAGTCCATTCTGACCAATCCGACCAGCCGCCTTTTTCTGAAAAAGAAAAGTAAGTATACCTGTCACAGTTTAATTGAACTCTACAAGTCATAATCGCCTCAAGCTGTGCTCACTTTCCAATTACACCGAAGGATAAGCATGTAACTTCCGTATCTCGAAAACGCACGTAACTCGGCAGTTCCGAAAGATAAGAATAAAAGCAGCCCTAAAAGTGTTGTGAAATATCGTCTCGTTGATGAGACTGCGCAAAGCAGTGCCTACTAGGACACGGCCTGTTGATGTATCAAATTAAGAGATCTGGTTTGGATGTGATTGAGCACTGCTCCTTGTACTTACTAGGGCAAGCTCCCTGAAAACACGGCCTGCTGATGATGAGATTGTCCACTGTTTCCCCCCGGACAAGACACTTTTTCTTGAGAAGACACGACCTGCGAGTAACTTGAGTACCGTATGTCCCACAGGATACGGAACATGGGCTGAAGGCGGACCACTCAGAAAACACTGCCTTCTCATCCCCTGCAAATTGTCATCAGTATTTTTATGAATAAACCTTGATTCCATCTGTGTTATCTAAGTGTTCGACAAAAAAACTGATAATTCAAACAACATATATAAATAATTATATCAATGGGGTGTGGGTGACTAAATCCAACTGAACAATGTCTCCACTAACCTTTGATATGGTAACAGTTCTTCGCGACACACGATTTCTTCTCGTAGACCGGCCCCGGGCAGGCTTGACCCCCATTGATAGGATGAGGGGAGTCACAGGTACGATGCCGGTACAGATAACCATTGCCACATGGCACTGTGCATTCCGACCATACTCCCCACGCTGACCAGCCTCCATCAACTATGACACATGGAATAGACATAGAGAACCTTACCCGTGTGTCTTTTGACATCAACTCTGCCAACACCAGTCGATAAAAGTTCAAAACTCCGAGGCTTGCCGATATTTTGATATAATTTTGATGTCAAAAGACAGACGGTAGACATTCTATTTATCATTCAAATTCATTCTTCCAACTTATTCAGTTTGCAAACAGTAATAACTAGTGTCTAAAGAGTAAAAGGTGCAGTCGACCAGTTCCAGTGACAGAGACAAGTGATGTCATGTGGCGTCATGGCAACTGATGATATCACGACGGTCTACAAATAAATAGGATCAAATCAATGCATTTTCCCAACGATATCTCCCACTAGAGATCGCTTGATATCCATATATCTTTTAAAGTAAGTTTTGGATGATAAATATGTTCATGATATTAGTTCGTAATATCCGTAGTTCGTTAAAAGAATATGTACATCACATATATAGCAAATGGGCGGGACCCCAAAAAAGTTCGTTATTTCCACCAGTTCTTTATAAGCGTGTTCGTTATAACCGCAGTTCATGTATACGTGTTATGCATATAATAGCTTCTGACATGGCCTAGATATTGATATCCCATTAACGCCATCGTTAGGCCAATTGATACGATAAAATATGACAGTTGTATCCATTAATAACTATTTCAGGGATGTACCGTTGTAACGATATTATTCATAACTAAAAGGACACCGGTGAGGGTGATTAGCCTAGTGAGTCATGTGAGTCATGGGGCGGTCGGGTAAAGCGTTTGCTCATCACGCCGAAGGCCCGGGTTCGATTCCCGACATGGGTACAATGTGTGAAGCCCTTTTCTGGTGTCCCCACCCGTGATATTGCTGGAAATTGCTAAAAGCGAGTCAAGACACGTATCTGTATCCTCAACTTACCTGGACACGCCCTCTTATATTTAGCGCAGATCAGGTCAGACCAATATTTGTCCTGAAAACAAGTTATATGTTTAATTAATGAAATGACTCTTAGAAAATTTGTATCGTTGGTGTGGTCCTCGTCGCAAACAAGGAAAGCAATAGAGCGATTTGAACGCCTTCAAAATTGCAGTACATTATTCCTTTGATTGTTTGTTAGTTAGGTGTATACATAACGCCCCACTCAGCAATATTCCACCTACATGTATATGACGGGGGTCTGGAAATAATCCGGTCTGGACCAGACAATCCAGTGATTGACATCAGGAGCATCGATCCACGCAATTGGGATACGATGACATGCATTAACCAAGTCAGCGAGCCTGACCACCCGATCTCGTTAGTCGCCTCTTACGACAAGCATAGTCGCCTTTTACGGCAAGCATTGGTTGCTGAAAACCTATTCTACACCGGATCTTCACGATCCCCACGGTAGTAGAAAGCTCAGTGAGATAACTTCCCAGTATCTACACATATATTCAATAAGGATAAATAATCCGTAATTTCTCATTTTTATCTCGTTGATTATTCTTTAAATAATTTCTCAACATCAAGTTCACATGATATACGGCTTTTCCATTGGAAACAAGACGGTCACATGACCGCGAAATCAACATTCAGGATAACCACGACACATTTTACCTTGATATTGCCAACTTGTTCATTATCAGAATAAATCACGTTTTGAATTAAAATTAAACAGAGTCCGAAGAACAATAATGTAATTCAATTTGATTTACCGTATTCGACGTAATTAGCGCCCCGCTCTATTAAGCGCCCACGGCGATATTTGCTAATATATTGGCTAGTGAACAAACCCAATTAGCACCCCTTCCGATTGATCAATGTACACAAGACTTATTTATTCGCGTATAATACGCACTTGTGTGTTATATGCATCCTTTATGGGCAAATAAATTCTGGAAAAATATATCTGTCGTATATAAACATTTCAGGCTGTCAGCATACACCACGAACTTTATCTTTTAACTCTGTTTTGTTTTCACCAAAATAATATTCTAATAAGAGCCCCCCCCCCCCCCCCCATTTCTAATTTTGAGAGCGCCCTAGGCGCTTATTACGTCGAATACGGTAATTTATTTGGTGACCTTGTGAAACAGAAAGGGGTTTGTGTACATACTCGCATGGAGATGGGGAGGTACTTCTTGAGCGTTTCGTAGGTACAGTGACCATACATACACTCTATGCCGAGTTGAGGAATAGCCTTGTGGACCTCCTTCAGATGTTCTCCAGCCTCCTGCAGACCCGTCGCCATAGCAGCTGAACATCACACAACAGTTAACTTAAAGGCAGTCATCGAGTTATACTATAAAACCGGAAGACCTAAAGTAACACGTGGCCCCAGACCTTCGCGATGTAATTCCATGTTTCAGTACAATATTTTGATTAAATGTATCTAGCAAAACAAAACATTCATTCCAGTTATGATTGTACGCCTAAGCCTTTTCATGAAGTGACCGCTCGATGACTACCTCCGATGTCGGTTGAAACTACAGACAACAGTGAATGAATGTTGTTTTACAACGCTGCCAGAAATGTCTCAGCTTTATAACGGCAGCTTGTATGATATAGTCAATATAGTCATGACCTGATAAACGAGTGCTTGACAGCATGAACAGCTACCCAAGCCATCGGAAAACGATTGTAAGAAATCAGTGTTATATTTTAGAATACTCCGAAGTCACACAGGAAATAGTTGTGTCCACTCACTCCCCACGGGATGGGTATGGCTTTGCATCATGTAAATAAAACAATGGTGTAGAAGTTTAAATTTTTAAATGTTTTTTTAAACTATTTTTAATTTTCAAAGGGGGCATCTTCTTTAACCAATACATCCAAATGCATATTTTCTTGAAGGTAATTAGTTTGACTGGATTTCAGACAAGATTGAATAGAATGCGTTTCAATGTTATCTATTCAGATTGAAATCATACTCTTACAGTTAGTCCCCAACAGCTTCCCTTCATCTAGTACGCCATCTAAATCTAGAAGGGGCGGTCGGGTGGCCTAGTGGTTAAAGCGTTCGCTCGTCACGCCGAAGACCCGGGTTCGATACCCGACATGGGTACAATGTGTGGAGCCCATTTCTGGTGTCCCCCGCAGTGATATTGCTGGAATATTGCTAAAAGCGGCGTAAAACTATATTCACTCACTCACTAAATCTAGAACTGTGGATAACCCGCTGGAAAACTGCAAGTGATTCTGTGGCATTATTGGTTAAGCAAGCAAAATGGTTTGCCCTTCTGTTTCCATAATGAACTACTGTTTCCTGATGGGATGCATATGACAAAAGTGGCGTGTTGCACTATTGCGCTGAACGATGTTGCTGATTTCCTTTTTTTGTAAATAGTTTCTTGCGTATATATTTATAAAAAAAATGAATTCAATACGTTGTCTATAGTGTCTTGTCTGTTATGAATACATATTAGTCTGTGAAGTTATTTCTGTTGACGTATTTTTAAAAAAAGAATTGAATTCAATACGTTGTCTATAGCATCTTGCGTGTTAATGAAGAAATAAGTAGTCTGTGAAGTTATTACTGTTGATTTTTTTTATTTATAAAAATTGAATTTAATACATTTTGCGTTTATTGAGGTAAAAACAGGTATGCCCACTTTGCGTAAATCCGCTATTGAAGTCAATTTCGATGATCCGAAGGTCTTAGGACAAAGGACTTTTCAGCGACATTCATGCATATTCAATTCACAAACACTCTTTGGGCTGAAGGGTGGTTTGGTCCGTCCGAACTAACGCCCTATGGCTTGTACTCACAGTCGTTGCATTGGCCATTACAGTCTGCTTTTTCCAAAAATCGGCCAAAACACTTGAGGCCATGATTGGCTGGTAGAGGGTTGTTGCACTGCCTACCCCGCGTCCTGTTCCCCACACCCTGACACCCGGCGGAGCAGCCAGACCACTCCGCCCACAGACTCCACTGGCCGTCAACTGTAAACATAGTCGTTCAAGTTACGCAAAATTAACTGCAAGAAATTCCGTGGAAATTAACTTTGTTTGTTTGTTATTTAACACCGCAATCAGCAATATTCCAGCTGTGGACCAGACAATCCAGTGATTGACAGCATGAGTGAGTGAGTTGGGTTTAACGCTGCTTTTGACAGTATTCCAGTCATATCGCGGCGGCGTGTCAGCTTAATGTTGGAGTAAAGCCCGAAGTGATGCAGGTCTCAGACGTTTACCACTTCGGTGAAACCCACGAGCACGGGTATGATGCTGACAAACCTAGAAACATAATCGGGGCAAACCGGGATTCGAACCCACAATCATAGGTTTCTGGCTTACCCAAGGGACGCAACTCTGCACAGCGAATCGCGGCGCCTTAGACGACTTGGCCACCCGTGCCCCCTGACAGCATGAGAATCGATCCACGCTGTCGCAATTGCGATACGATGACCTGCATCAATTAAGTCAGCGATCCCGTTAGTCGCCTCTGACGACAATCATAGATTGCTGAATGGATTGCCATTCTAACCCGTATCTTCACAGGTTTTTTTGCTATTATGTGTTCATAAACCAAAAAATAAATAGGCCACGCCCACGATTGTCTGATAACAGAATGGGAGGGGCTTGTGTTGCTTTATTGCTACAAACGATGCCACTGATTTCGTACTGTTGTCTATAGTTTTTTGTGTGTAGGTGAAGTTATTATTGTTGACGTACTTATTTATATGAATTCTCTTTAATATTCTTTTGCGTCTATGCAGTTATAAAAAAGGGTGCACACTTTGGAAATACACACTATACACACTCTACGTTTATACCACCATAAACGCAAAAAACATACTGATCCCAATTCTTAAATAAACAACGGCTTTACTATTAAAAATCGCAGTTTAAACGGTCTAGTGTACAGGATTGAAATTTGACATTTGTAAACACCATTACTGTATTCGACGTAATAAGCGTATTCGACGTAATATATTGGCTAGTGAAAATCCCAATTAGCGCGCCTTCCGATTGATCAATGTACACAAGACTTATTTATTCGCGTATAATACGCACTCGTGTCTTATATGCACCCTTAATTATGGGCAATTAAATTCTGGAAAAATTTATCTGTCGTATATAAACATTTCAGGTTGTCAGCATAAACCACGAAATTTTACTCTTTCAACTCTGTCTTTTTCACCAAAATAATATTGTAATAAGAGAGAGCCCCCATATTTCTAATTTTGAGAGCGCCTTGGGCGCTTATTACGTTGATTGCGTTCCGTCTTTTCTTTTCGGAACATTCGATGTCTGTGAGGGAAAGTGATGAAACTGATACTAACTTGGACATAGCGTTATATCCGTTTTCAGGACGCATTTGTATGTTTGCCAAAAAACATCCTGAAAAAGAAAATGAAAGTAATTTGTGATAATGGTTAGAATATCAACTGATACATTTAAACAACAACTCCAAATTTAGCTGAATTTCTCGAAATTACCACACTATTTATGACATATTCACTTATTAATTTAATCACTGATCATGTCTATTCGTAACTAATGATGACCAACCTTTTCTGCCTTTGTGGTACCATCTTTCCAGTGGAAATATCCTGGTCTAGGGGCGAAGGCTTTGCTAGAGCAGATATGGCGGCGTAGGCAGAATTTTACGAAGCTGGTTTTGTTAGACAGGTGAACATAGGCGAGTGTGTCTAGCATGTGATGTGTCAAAGTGTCCTTATCTGTACAATGAAAATAAGCATTCTTTCATGATATATAATTCAACTCACCTTCTGTTTGCAACACACAGAGCACATGTCAAATTTCAATTTCTGCCCAATAGTTAAGGTGTCATAAGAACTAGCAGAGATTTTATAATTTAAAGGGTTTTGCTACATGTTATCACTTTAAGGACTAGTAGACTAAAAATGTTAGTTTCAATCGCTGCAAGAAAGGATTATAAAGGCCCGTCTGTTTCTGCATGTAACTTACTGGACGGTGGGGAATCTAAGTGGTTAAAGCGTTCGTTCATCACACTGAACGCACGGTTTCGATACCCCACATGGGTACATCGTGTGCAGCCCATTTATGGTGGCCCCTTATTTCTGTAATAGTGTTATAAGCGGCGTAAAACCACACTCACTCACGATGTAATTTACAACGTCTGAATATTTGCCAGACTGTCATTTGGTTAAGTGTCAGTGTGACATAAAACGTCACCATAATATTTATGCGTACTGTGTTGGTTCAAATATTTTCTATATTTTTTATATCGCAAAGCTTCATTGTTAGGATACAAATAACTGAAGTCAAAATGCACTTTCCCGATCCACAGGACTCTTTGGCGATTGCAGCGAAATCATGTACGTCGAGGAATAATTCTAGGATATGGGGCCTTGTGTTTTTAACCCATAAATTTGAAAAAAGGCCCACATTTTCAAATACAATGGGGCTGTAAGGGTAAGTGTGGTGTAGCTCTGGAATATATGAAATTTTCACAAAAAGCGATAAGAACTAACAGTTTTAGCCCCCTCGCCCTTAATAAGGGAAAATTTCTACTGGATAACTTAACTATTGGGCAGTTTGGCAAGGACTGTATGACTAGTGCCAATTTTTAACGCTGTATCAATAATGTGTTGTTTATTTAAACTTTATATCCGCCCTTTTGAAAGTACTGTAGTTATCAGTTGGATGGACCGGCAAAGTATTCGTCAGCCCAACCTAAATCTCATTAAAATCAGATCTTAGTTCTCGCTATCGCTATCGCTAAACATAACGGTAGCGAAAACTAAGATCTGATTTTAATGAGATTGGCTCAAACTGTTAGCAAAAACTATAATTTGGATTAAGAAAAGACATCTGAGATATTGACCATAAACGTCCACGATGAGTCTAAACATCTGACTGAAATGTTTCTCCGATTATCGTCGGAGATTATGCGGAGGGGAGGCAAGACTATGATGGACTTACTTGCCCGTGTGATGGCATCACACACCTGTGACAGACCAATGATAGCCAGAACTGCTCCCAGCACGTGCACCGCCTTCAACTGCAGGAGGTAGCACTCTTATTACACATTTCAACATTGATCCCACGTGAAGAAGGGTGTCACGCATATTTACCTGCACTTACACAAAGGTAGAATGTCTTTGACCGATCCCTATATTTATGCATTGCGATTTTACCTTATGACATGGCTTACGATACCTCTCGTATCATATACTGGGTAGCTGATGTATAAGAGTAGTAATCAGATATATTTTCACTGACAGCTTCCATTATATGGCCCACCATATAAGCCCCGCAACATTTTGTTAATCCTCGAATACGAACCTGCAACCTTTTCATTTCTAGTCCATCACGCTACCACCTGTGCTACATAGACTGTTGTCATCGCAGATGTCACTTTTCCTGCTCATCATTAATTTCGCTTGGTTCGTTTGTACATTATGTTGATATTGTACCATGTAGGGCAGACTAAAAAGATTGATAATCAGAATTATGGGTGATGTGAAGAAATTTTAACGATTATCGATGTGGAAATTGTGTCACCGATAATATCTTCCATAATATATTGTTTTTAACTTTTACTTCGCCGAAGCACTTGTTATGTCCATTACCAAAGATTGAAGGCAACTGATTTTGTTATATCTGAAATGTTCACAATGTAATCCATGCATAAATGTGTCACCACTGAACAGTGATGTTGTTTTGTCTCTGAGCTTTTTAGGGGCGGTCGGGTAGCCTAGTGGTTAAAGCGTTGGCTCGTCACGCCGAAGACCCGGTTCGATTCCCGACATGGGTACAATGTGTGAAGCCCATTTCTGGTGTCCCCCGCCATGATATTGCTGGAGTGTTTGCTAAAAGCGGCGTAAAACCATACTCACTCACTCTGAGCTTTTTAGCATATTTGCTCAGTTACATATCCGATATTTATCAATAATTGATCGCTATTTCGGAAAGTAATACACTATCGGCTGAAACTTGCCTCCGTGTATTTTATAGGGCTACATATTATAACAACATTCCATCGTCATTTCCACTACATTTTCAACCGACAGTGCAATCAAATATTGATCTATTGGATCAGTTCAATCATTTCAATATTTGTTTTTGAATAATGCAAAATCACAAAATCGTTAATTAAAAAATGGAATAAGGAGGTTTTAGAAACTGATATTAAAAGTTTAAAATCAATATCAGTGATGTCAATGGATATGTCTGTTTCAGATTATATTAAAAGAGAAACAATAGGGTGTTATAGTGACAAGCCTATGTAGATATATTTAAGCCAAGTATGTATTGGGAAAGTAGAGAAGAAATAATTGAAAACTATCTTAAATTGCGAAGCATAAAAAGAATGGACAATGAATGTTAGGTTTACAATACCTGTACATAGTATAGCAAGCCAATCTACACTGACCCATCCTAAACAGGACGATTTGTGTGGTATGTGTTTCGCAAAATATGATACAGTCTTAAGACCAATCCCATCGCCCCCATATTAAATGACCAGTCCCTAACAGAAGAGAAATATGTTCGTTCGCTCTTGCATATGGGAGATAACTAGGCACGGATTGCGTGCTAGTTTAGTAGAACTAGAGTGACGTCCCTTTTGTTTTCGAAATTCAAACCGAACGTTGATATGGACCCGCACAAAGGTTGTCATAGAATTTGTAACACAGCTGATCAATTAGGCAACTATTATACCCCCGTCTTTTAGTGACAACTCTGCAATAATAAATTAACCTTTCATTAGCCATGAGGTCTAGTTGTCATAAACATTCGCACTAGGCTTTGTCCTAATTCAAAAATGGCGGTCCAAATAAATGCAGTACAACGTATGATACGATTGTAATGGTGGTACATAACGTGTATTCAACGCCTGTCCCAATCAACGTCTATATAATCAGAATTTTAGCTTCAAGTTCACAAAAATATAGTCTAAAGTAACAACTAGTACCCTAGTGGTGGTAACACACGTGGCCTATAAATTTGGTAATCATTTCCGGCATATTCTGTAACCATGAAATGATCTAGTTCCATGACCTATATAAATATATGTATCGTATGTAACTTTATGAAACGTATGTAATACTAATAATATAGACAAGGTTTTCCCCGCTTTCGTCATGACGAAAATAGATCCAGTGTTTCACGGAACATCCGAAGGGGTGTGTCACTCGGATGTCGGTTACATTTCTGACTCTTCAAAATATTGTTTTAGATCGAGATAGGAATAATCATCACAGCTCTTTTCTAAACGGTGAAGGTTTGACAATATTTGGTTTTCCCCCATCACTTCTGTATCTACTTACCTTTGACAACATCACATATCCTGTTCATTTGATGTGTTTTTTTGTTCACATAAACTTGTTGCTCCTCTGTTTATGTGGTCCGTTTCAATCTGTATTCATAATGGCGGCAAAAACATTGTGATGTCATCGATGACGTCAGAGGATGCCACATATTGCCGCTTCCGGCATACAGAAGTCACCTGTTGCGAGTTGAGGCGAAAATCTTTTTCAGAAGCAATTATTGGGCGGAATAAATGACTTCCCATCCGTCTCGTCACCGAATGTCGATGAATGTGTGAGGCAATGGGAACTGTAAATGTGTCAATGAATAATACAGTTTGCATTGTTTAGGTTATATGACCAAAAGCTAGGAAATGTCAGTCAAGTATTTGATCTACTAGATCCCTTGTGTGAAAAGTGATAACGGTCTCAAGGATGATTTACAAAGTATTTGACACTTTCGTTTGATTTTTCTCTGGCCGGCTAAAACGACAAGAGTCTGGCGATGTTAATTTTTACTTAGGGACAGGAAGTACTTGCTTTGTTAATTTGTTCGAAGTTTGTTGTTATCTTTTGGTTAATGTGAAATGAGTTGTGTCTTTCGAGTCTGCTTATGAGAAAATATCAAGTATCTTTCATAAGACGCCATGAACTTCGCCACTTATGTAACTTAGACATTTCGCCACAATAACAAGGAGAATGTGTTTTCTTACAGCCACGCTAGGCAAGACAGTTTACGTACGCTTCAGTGACTTCAGTCTGATTGAACAACTTTCCTGATATATTAAAACTTCTACATGCATGGTTTTATAGTATCTTTTAATGTTGACATTTATTGTTTTAAAGTGAACCGTAATCTTATAGGCTAGACATCTCTTAATGTTAATGTATGTATTGTTGGCAACTTAATTTGCATGTAATAGATGTAATATGTGACACTTTAATATTCTCTTAAAAAAGAGAGAAACGCTTTACGGATGTTTTTGGCCATAAAAGCAATATAAGCGGACCAAAAGGTGCAAAATGAAGAGGTTTAATGTGTTATAGTGTCAGTGAAAAATTTCCCGGATCAAAATGATTCGAAAAAAACGCACCCAGTGCATGAACAAAAGGGCCATGGAGCTGCACGCAGTGCACATGCAGCAGCACTATGGTTGGTTGGTTTGTTTGTTTAACGCCGCACTCAGCAATATTCCAGCTATATGACGGCGGTCTGTAAATAATCGTGTCTGGACCAGACAATCCAGTGATTAATATCATGAGCATCGATCCACACAATTGGGATCGATGACATGCATCAACCAAGTCAGCGAGCCTGACCACCCGATCCCGTTAGTCGCCTTTTACGACAAGCATAGTCACCTTTTACGGCAAGCATGGGTTGCTGAAGACCTATTCTATCCAGCACGGATCACAAAAGCCTGTCTACACAACAACGTTAATGTTCTCCCCAGGCCCTCCAGATCCCCGGATTTGAACCCGATAGAGCACCCGAGGGGTGAATTGGATAGACGGTTACGCCGACCACAACCCCAGACGTTGTAGCAGTTGGCTTTTACTTTGCAGGCCCAGTGGGCTTCCATTCCCCAGGATGTCATTTGATGTGATTTGCATACTCGTCTCTTCCATGGGTCAGGCCGCTATCGATTCAAACAGGGTACATACGCGTTTTGATGGTAGCTGACCTTCTTCTTGGACTTTTCCTATGTACCGATAACTGAGATGACTACAATCACCAAGTTGTTCTCTCCGCAACATTTTGGCTCAATACCTAGCATGGTTCCTTGTATAAATGTATTTTCCTACCACACAGAAATCTGGCTTTGTGCGTTATATTCTTTTTTTTAAAGAGTTATTTCATTAGCTGACTCTAAGTTGGCTTAATCTTGAGCCGACTTACGGGATAGGGTGGTCATGCTCACAGACTTAGTTGATGCATGTCATCGTATCCCAAGTGCATGGATCGCTGATGTGGTGTCAATCACTGGATTATGTGGTCCAGACTCGACTATTTACAGACTGCTGTCATGTAGCTGGAATAAAGGACAAACAAAGGCAAACAAACAAGTGAATGGGCTCGTGCAATCCTGTGCATTATGCTTGTGACAAATGTAAGGAATGTAGCATTATGTGTTCAGAGGTTAGGGAGACCTCTTTTCGGCACCTTGAAGATCCGTGTGAGAATTGGTCCTCCCATGCTTGTAGTCAGAGGCGACGAACGGGATCTGGTGGTCAGGCTGGCTATCGTATCCCAAATGCCTGGATCGATGCTCATGATGTCAATCACTGGATTGTCTGGTCCAGACTCGATTATTTACAGACCGCAGTCATATAGCATTACTGGTAATATTGCTGAGTGCAGGGTTAAACAACAAACCAAACCAAACCAAAAAGATAGATGTTCATGGTGTCAATGACTGGATTGTCAGGTCCAGGCTTGAATATTTACAAGACTGCTTACTTATACCTGGAAAAAGACCCAAACTAATAATGATAAATGCTTTTACTGACTCGCCAGAAGCATTTGAGGAAAAAGAACTTGTGTAGAGTCAAATTACAAGAGCGCTTCTCAAATTCAAATATGTTTATTGATCAACTAGAGAAACATTCTAGTAAATAAATAATGAAAAAAAGAAGAGTTAAAACTAATTACAAATCAATATACAAATTACAAAACATCTTATATTTGAACCTCCAGTAAGTGGATCCGGAAAAACACCCACCATGTCAGATTTGGATGTTTGGAATCTACAGAAGTTTGTACAATTCAATACAGGTGAATCAGACATATAAGAAGGTGAAGAAAAACAAAAGAAGGGTCATCATTGAAAGGCTTTTCATGTGTCAGGCTTTTCAGGGATAATAACTCAAAGATGAAGTGTTATCTCAGGCATCCACTATGTACAAGCACTTAAAAGAGATTATAAATATTACAGTGCTCTTATTTTCCAGTTATATAATCCCCATCATGTAAGCTGTGTACAATAAAATCACTAACTTGCAATTTTCTTAATACAAATTGGTATATTATACACAATTACCATATCATAAATATCATATGTCGTATAAAATTATAATGTGGGGATTAATAATGTTCTTAACCACAAACATGAATCCATGTCCAGATATATTTCTGTCAGGTTGTAATTTGAACTAAGTAATAGCTATCATAAGCTGATTTGAAGTTTTGGCAGACTGTCATGGGAAAAAGTTGCCTAATTCTGTCAGAAAAAGTAAATAAATTGGATGGATATCAACCTCTCTGCTCCCGTAATATCTCAATTCATACAAAATGTTGTAACTTTGTTCTTCAAAGAAAATCTATAAATATAAATATTAACAAACAACAATAAATTAACAATAAACAACAGTAACAACAACATAACACACAATACTTGTAGTAATTATCCTGACATGTAGACTGCAAGTCTCTAAAATGTGCAGAAACATGATATGTCCTTGTGATCTAGGGCTGAAGGTGGCCCTCTGGGGAGTGTGGTCACTTGTTTACCCTGGTTCAGTTCTCTACAAGGGCAAGTATGAACCTATTCTGTGACCAAGCACATCCTCCCAAACATTGGTTAATGCTACAACTCTCACCCATGTCGTAATCAGCAGCATAATTGGAGCTGTTTTCTATATTGTCTTTCTCCCTTCCCAAGAATGCATGTGATATTGTTACCATATAAATCACAAAAATATTATTATCAATATTAAACCAGCTGTTTATTATTTTTCACGACCCTTTCGACTTGTGTTTTAGGTACTGTTACATTATGGACCACACTCTAGCTTTCTACCATATGGCTGCTTTATCTGATATTCATTGCTAGAAAATAATACCAAGCTATTTGCTAGGTGACTAGAATTTACGAGTGATTATATTGTTTCTTGTTCCACGACACTGCTAGTCATGTCCGTCCTTGGTATTTATCTGTACAAGATGTACACCAAGTATCAGTGAGTAATAGTAATGAATTTGTATACTCTTATTACACATGTGGAAGTGATGCAAGACATCATTATCTCATTATCATATGTTAAGATGTAAAATGTTTAAGGTGTAATATATGCACACTAGGGCTGGGACGAGTCCAAATTTACTACCCGGATACCATTCCCCCTAATACCCGACCCTACCCGGGTACCCACTGTAGGTCTCAGGAGATGTCTCAAAATGTCCGATTGGGAACAGCATAGCATAGCTCTGGCAAACCGTATTTAGATGCATGTATTAAACAATCTGGTCATTCAAACACTGAAGTTGAATTAAGTTATATCTTTATTCAAACATATGAAAAATCAGAAGTAATGGGTGCATAGTCAGAAAGAAATGCGAACATTAGTGACTTGTAGTTCTGGATAATTTGTCGGGTAGTCTTGTGGGTACCCGGGTCCTTGTCAGTACCCACCCGACCCGGGTACCCGAGTTACCCGTCCCAGCCCTAATGCACGCCTATCCTGAAAACGTTGATATTAGTTTCAAATACAATGTAACTAATAATTTCCCCTTTTAATTTATCTGGAATTATTTTTCTTGGGGAAATACCGTATTCGACGTAATAAGCGCCCAGGGCACTCTCAAAATAAGAAATAGGGGGCTCTTATTGGAATATTATTTTGGTGAAAAAAGAGAGTTGAAAGATAAATTTCGTGGTTTATGCTGACAGCCTAAAATGTTTATATTCAACAGATATATTTTTTCCAGAATTTCATTGCCCATAATTAAGGGTGCATATAACACACGAGTGCGTATTATACGCGAATAAATAAGTCTTTTGTACATTGATCAATCGAATTGGGATTGTTCACTAGCCAATTTATTAGCAAATATCGCCGTGGGCGCTTATTACATCGAATACGGTACATCATGTATTCTTTTATTCTAGTAACAAACCCCTGTACGGACATTTTGTCAAGCCATGTTCAAACATGTTCATTAAAGTCATGAAAAAACATAGTCCCCTTCGCATAACCATAGTCCAAGCTGAATGATCTGAGTGAGATCAGTCTTGTGTCAACAAGAGAATCACGTTTCACACCAGTATTTCAGGAATCAATTATACTGCGATTATGGCACCAATACAGATCCATTAAGTTAGCATAATAACTCCTAAAGCCCTATTATCCACCTGTCTCTGGATATTCCCCATCGACAACATTTACATCCTGTGAGTGAGTGAGTGAGTGAGTGAGTATGGTTTTACGCCGCTTTTAGCAATATTCCAGCAATATCACGGCGGGGGACACCATTTCATCCTGTGACTTCCACACAAAAAATACACACGCATAGAGACAGTTATATCTACATGTGGGACATCCATGTGTACTATTGGACAAGCTGCACAGTTACAGGACTACAAAGCCTTTGCAAGAACAAAATCTGTATATCTCTACATGACTAAGCTGACTAGATTTCCTGCATTTAAAGTAAATGGGCTAGATTAAGACTCCCAAGGTGGCGCAGTGTCTTGGTGCCTTGTATTGGTCATCCATTGAATATGTAACAGCTAATAGAAGCATTAGCTATGAAGTGACAATACCAATATACTTGCTGATGAGGACAATGTGCCTTGCATAAGTGTGTGAGCTTGTACAGCACCATCAGCAGCACGACCATCATAGGATGGAGGCTAATTCTGTTTAAAAGAGACACCAGTCATCAAGGTGTCATGGAATATAAATTTGTTCAAATATGGCTGCAATCAAATGCTGGAATGTGGAATGTGATCAATGCTCTTACTACAAGCTAACTGGAATACACTGGTAGTAACCCAACTCTACAGCCTGTTCAGATACATGGTATGTACATATGGAGTTATTGTGACACAAGCTATTGTGGTTACACTTCAATAGCTATATATAACTAACATCACAGTATGATTATTATCTAAGAATGAATGTCAAGGGGCCGTAACCCTAATGTTGAATATACATGTTTTAGGGTGTCCTAATTTTAAAAACAGGACCTATAATAATGTTAACACTGTATGTTATTCCTCGAAGCAGTTATGCATGTTCAATATATACCATATGTTGGACAAGGGTAAGTATGGATAAACAAGTTTCTGTTACAACTAAGATGTTTTCAGAGTAGATTCTAAAACATTTATCAAGCAAGTCATCACCCTGAATAGAATATACCCTGAAAATTAGCTCATTTGTAATAAAGAAGTTGTTCATGCATAAAACTTTTCCTTGTACATCACAACTTCTCAATGTCATTCAAAGACGTTGTACAATGTATAATGTCATGTCATGCAATAATAGCATATACTCAAGCAGATGTTTGTACATAAATCAGTAAATGAAACGTATAAACACAGTAACTGTGTCATATGAAGTAATGAGTGCCTGCATAGTGTGGTGATCATAAGTAGAGCACGTGGCAAGGCTGACAATGCTGCAAGAGTAGTGCCAGAGCACCTCAGCAAATGGAGTACAGAGGCGCTCCGCCTGATAACGCTACACAGACTACAGAGTTCCTCTGTTGGTGGAAGTGAAGTGCCAGGGCACTCATCACTGAGTACAGAGTTCCAAGGATAGACACGCCCACTGGTCTGTTTGTCCGACACAAGTGAAAATCTAGGACCAGTTTGTTTACTCCCAAAATCCACTTATTTTACATAACCACTAGTCCGAAATTAGCTGTGGACCAGCTGTGTTGGATATGACCAATGGTGTCATCGTTCCTGTGTTGTGGAAGTAGTGCCAGCGTATTCCTGTACACTTAGTACAGTTCCTATGCTGCCTGAACTCAACAGATCAACTCAAATGTGTGGCCATATCAAACGTGCAGGGTTGTGGCATTAGTGAGGGGCTGCAAGTGTCAGTGACGATTCAAATTTTCTCGATGTGCTTTCTGAAAAAATCAAAACAAACAAATTATAGCAAGTGAAGCATTCATATTTTTGACAGGTGAACAAGTGCAAATAAACTAGATTTCAATGGGTAAACATGCGAGTGGTACAAGGGTACAAGTGGTACAGAGGGAACTGGATAGTAGGGGTCTCCACAGTAGATCTTGGCTATTGAGGACCTCAGTGGTGGATCCTAAATAGTTGATCTTGGCTAGTGAGGGCCTTATCACTAGATCTTGCTTTTGATGACCTTATTAGTGGATTTTGGCTAGTGGAGACCTGATTAATAGATCTTGGTTTTGGGGGACCTCTGTGGTTTTTGGCTAGTGAAGACCTGATTAGTAGATCTTGGTTTTTGGGAACCTCTGTGGATTTTGGCTAGTGGAGACCTGATTAGTAGATCTTGGTTTTTGGGGACCTCTGTGGATTTTGGCTAGTGGAGACCTGATTAGTAGATCTTGGTTTTTGGGGACCTCTGTGGTTTTTGGCTAGTGAAGACCTGATTAGTAGATCTTGGTTTTGGGGACCTCTGTGGATTTTGGCTAGTGAAGACCTGATTAGTAGATCTTGGTTTTTGGGGGACCTCTGTGGATTTTGGCAAGTTGAGACCTTCAGGGTCTTCTTTATATGGATCTCTTTGGCTAAAGATACTTGGTAATATTTTGTTGAAAATAGAGATGGGAGAAAATGTTCATTACTACTCTATAATTGGTTTAACTGGGATGTATGAAGTTCCCTGTATACAACTGCATTGGTGACAAAAATGAAAATATAAATGGTAAAATCAACCAGTGATGCAGACAATGATTGAAAATTCAAATAAACATAAATTCTGTGACAGTGTATAAAAATATATTTAAAAACAAAAACAATTAAAGAGCAATCTCCATACACATAACGAGAACACCCAATGAATATATAACCAGTTTGTAAAGTACATCTATATCTAATCAAGTCTGTGTGAGTCCAGGTATATGGCTCGGTTAATTACACTGTAATTGCAGTTGGCATCGAGTTACCTGTTGTACCCATATATCTGACTTCTATAATAATGATATGCTGCAACAGATGTACACGTGACTGTAAAACAATCTACTTCTAGATTAAATCAATTTGTAAAACAGAGATGTCATTCCAGGCTTGGATACACTTTCTGATGGATTAGCCCAGTGAAGTTGGATTGCATAAGTAATCTATATATACTACACAAAAAATAGTTAAAAACACCCAATTCTTTCATATTTCAGACTAGTAATTCATTATTGGGGCACGGCGTTGGATTGGTCTTTGGACTATCATATTTAGCCCAGCCCAATACATGTAACAATTTTTAAAAGAACAGTGTAATTTTTGCCTGCCTGTTTGTTGTCATACATTTTGACATACACCCTCTGTCACTGTCCTTTTTTCATGACCCCGCTCCATCCAGTTGTGATAAATTTTGGCATCAGCCCTCTTTAGCTGTGTCATTTTTTCATGACCCCCCAAATCTAATAAATCCCTTCCTACAGTTGTGTGAAAGAACAGAGTACCCTTCACTTCTTTTGAGTAGTATATGTATAAATCAATAAAAGCAGCATGACATGGAATTAATAAGACTGCAGGATTCAGTAATGGCTTGAATATGTGAACATGAGTCATGGCGAATACGTCTCTAAATCATGCATATACCTGGAGTAGGATAGCACTAGATTTATCTATCAGCAGATGTGACTATAGTCATATTCATACTGATAAGGAATGATACATTATTATTGTAGTCATGAACTACTCTTGAAACAAAGAATGCTTCTTGCTTGAGAAATGCACATATTATCTAAAAACAATATAAAGACTTCGATCACTTTCTTGCCTTGCAAAGTTAATACCTTGAATAAATGAGATCATCAAAATAGCTCAACTTTGGTGTTAGAAAATTCTTGTTGCATCTAGCCAGACTTGCTGTTAATGCTGACATATTTTACACCAAATAGATGACGGAGACAGTGCCTGATGGTCAACAAATCTACCCCGAATTTGAGTATTTTGTAAATAACAATTTTTAAACTCATCTAATGGACCATAGTGACCATAGTGACCATCTCAGGCATAATTCACAACCCAAAAATATTTACAATATAAACACTATCTGAACACTGTTCTACTTATAGTGGGCACAGGTGGCCCAGTCGTCTAAGGCGCCACGATTCGCTGTGCAGAGTTGCATCGCTTGGGCACGCCAGAAACCTATGATTCTGGGTTCGAATTCCAGTTTGCCTGATTATGTTTCTAGGTTTGTCAGCACCATACCCGTGCTCATGGGTTTCACTGAAGTGGTAAACGTCTGAGACCTACATCACTTCGGGCTTTCCTCCCAGATTAAGCTGACACGCTGTGATATAACTGGAATAATGTTAAAAGTGGCGTTAAACCCAACTCACTCACTCACTCGAATGATGGGCTATAAAGCTTATAGCATATGGTTATGTCTGACATAGTGAAAATATCCCGTCATCCCAAAGGAGTGTAAAGTAGCACTGGCTGGCTTCATCCTTGGGAGAAGACTGACAACTGGTGTTGCATGAACTACTCTCTAATGACTCTTTAGTGGCATTAACAACCCTTTGATGGGTTTCTGGTAGAGAGATCCCCATTATGCCAGTTTGTTAGATGGAATAAATGGATAAGGGGTGGACACAATGGATACTGAGGGAGGACAGTAGCCACTTTGTAAGTCCAGTTCTCAGCTGTTACCTGGCTGGTTTAGCGTGTGATCATACCCTGACGACATGAACTGATCCCAACCCACTGACCATTGGTTTACCCACACAAGCTGACGTATGAGTAAGATGAGCGATTGATTCAATGAGCCCTTGTTCCAACCCTTCGATGGGGGGAGCCCAACAACACACTATATTTCTGAACACAAGCATGTTCTCTGAACAGTTTTTTTCCTGTAAAACCTGAGGCCAACTTATTTCAGGCAACTTGGAGGACAGATTATTTTTTTTGTAAACAAATCCACCCCAACCCCCGAGAATATCAAATGGTAAAAAGGAGTATCAAACGTAATTTCCTGGCGACCGACCTACACTTCCTCCACGAAATACATCACCCTCCATAACATGACAACCTAATCTACGCTGAAATTAACACGAGGACTGTCAGTATGCAGAGGAACATAATTCCCACAACACACCTCAAACTTAACAACGAACTGGTTGAAGATTCCGAACATGTCGCTTGTGTCCATCTTGTTGGGGTCCTCCCCGAAGTACTGCACCATCTCATGGAACGCCTCCATGGCGGTTGTCTGAAGTCGGGACATGGACTGCACCTCACTGGTGGCACGTCCGATGAATTTCTGTGGGAAACTCAGGAAAGATAGTGATAAAATGATTCTTTAAAAGTGCTTTAGGCCTGTGGCAGAAACAAATATCCCTACATGACAAAACTTTACTAAAAGGGCTGTTATTACAATAAAACAGACTATTTAAACCAAATGTAAACTAAAACATGAATAGACTAATTGATTTTGTAGCATCATATAAATATTACCAAAATTTGACTTAATTATCTCCCTTTGCTATGACATCATCGGTGACATCTGTATGAGCGCTAGTGCATCATTGCCCAATGTTTGTTAGAAGCAGCCTATATAATCTTTAGCAACACATGTTATCCCCATCTGAAGTCTTCATTAAGGGTACAAACAAATGATGCTATCTATTCCTAAGTTTGAAGTAGAAAATCCATCTAAACTATAAGCTCTTGTACATATTCTCTGGGCTTTCCACTGGTCGATACCAGTAAGAGTCACCTTCTTCTATGGGTATTTTAAAAATATAGCTGATCAGACATAACTGTCCAAATGAACAAGGTCAAGATAAAACCCCGGATAATTCTTACCGACAGGGCAGTACAATTATTCACATTGAAAGAAAAAGAAGCTGACATCATATGTTCCAAAATATATGTATTTGGACCAATTTTCAGGTTGATGCACATTATCTTTTTATTGTTGGTGTGATTGAAGGACAATGCCGAGCATGATATCAACAGTGAAGGATACACCAATGACTTCGTTGAATCTGTCCGTGAATCCGGCCGGTGCTGAGTGGCCTTTCATCTTCTCCAGGGTGCTGGAGATTTCCTGTAACAGGTGGTGCCAAGGATACATCAGTCAAACATCATGAACTTATACATACCCATGTGTTATCCATCACTATGTCTGTAGAAGGGGGAACATGATGACATACATCTGCTGAAACTCATTCACTGCTGGATTGATGTATTGACAGACACTGATCCATGCATGTATGTGTGTACCGGTAGTCTTTTAAGGTGTTGTATCGAGGAGAATTGATGCATGTATTTTGGCCAGACTTTTTCTTCTTACTTTCATGGATTTTTGGCCAATAGCACAGTAGTTCAGGATTTAAGAATAATATCTATTCCAATTTCAAATATTTTTTTCCATTTCCTTAAAAAGTATAATCAGTAGGTAGGGAAATATACTTTTTTTTAAAAATAACTAGAGACAAGTTTTGATTATAGTATTTTAAATAATTCATCTATATTAACAGTGATAGTAAATGAAGTTTTTTTTAAACATTTTACTTATTTCTGGTCAACGGAATAAAACAATTGATTTTGGGGGAGTCAACGGATTTGTAAATGAAGTTTAAAAAAAGTCTGGCCTTAAGACGTTCCCACACAAAAAAAACATCAAGAATATACATCACAGATATATTTGTCATTATAAACGCATTTGTTTCCCTGAGCAGTGACACTGTATTATTTCATGTTGTGATATTCAGCTTTAATTTGTTACAAGCAAATCCATGTTCCTTTGAGATGGGTAATATCTCATGATGACTGACTAAAATCTTATTATTGAAAAATCCCTTTAGGCATGGTCTCTAGTGACTGTTTATGTATTGTTACCTGGAGCTGGCTATAAACTATATTTGTATAGTATCCCGTCAGAATGGGTGGTTAGAGAGAGAGATATATATAGAGAGAGAGTATGGTTTTATGCCGCTTTTAGCAATATTCCAGCAATATCACGGCGGGGGACACCAGAAATGGGCTTCACACATAGTGCCCATGTAGGGAATCGAACCAGGGTCTTCGGCATGACGAGCGAACGCTTTAACCACTAGACTACCCGACCGCCCCTACAGAGAGAGAGAACAGTGCTGTACCTGTACTGCCTTTCTGAGATCCTGTAACTCCTGGTGAAGCAGAACGTTGGACACTGCAACAGGGATATATCACACATATAGCATACTCATTGTCTTGCGCAGTACTCTTGAAATGTTGAATGACAGTTTGAAATTATCAATGAACAGGTGTGTGAATGGCTGCTTGTACTAATCTGGACTTATGCCAGTTTTATAATGCTAGCCCACTGAGATACCACTGAGCCCACACAGTTTAACATGAATACCCCACTCAGATACAGTATACTGACTCTGAGCAAACATGCCAAAAAGGTCTGAAAGAAATCTAGATTTTTAACTTTGGCAATTGACATTATTGACAATAACAAGTCTGCTTCAGTAAATTAAAACTTTATTTCATCATAACAGTTTATGTAAATTATTATCAATGATGACAATTTCATATCAATAATCATTGATATTTCTTCTCATCATTGATAATTCTGATTATCGATCTTTTTTGCCAGCCCTACACCCATTTTATATTTGTTTGAAACAAACCAATTGATTAATATCACATACTATTTTAGAACATCCTAGCATGGCAAGTCAACGATTAATCTTTTGCAACACCTGGGAACAAATCCTTTGTTTCCAGCACGTTCAAGAACAGATTATCAAATCAAGTGACTAGTCCTTAAACACACATGAGCCGAGTCTCTCTTAATCCATCTTGAATATAAAATAAATCTGTCTATAAATAAAAGAGTCTGGACCAGACAATCCAGTGATTGACATCACAAGCATCGATTCACGCAATTAGGATATGATGACATGCACCAACCAAGTCAGCGAGCCTGACCACCGGATCCTGTTGGTGGCCTCTTGCAACAAGCATAGTCGCCTTTTATAGCAAGCATGGGCTGCTGAAGACGTATTCTACCCCAGATCTTCACGGGTCTCTGCATTATGTGAGAGTGAGAGCTGAAAGAAAAGATGACAAGGAGCACTACCTTTACTAGCTTTAGAAACTGCCTTTATTTCCTCGCTGAGTGTGATGAGCTCGGGGAACTTGGTCTTGATGGTGTCCACCAGGACATGGAGGAAGGTCAACTTGTTGTCGCTGGTCTTCGTAACGTCAAGCTAGGAGGTAAACACAACTACCATATACAACTGTGTCCATGTCAGCATACAAAACCAACTATGCTTCACTCATCGGTTGATCTGATCACATGAACACTTGGTTTAATATTGAAACATATTCATCGTATCCATGATGGTGATGATACCGGTAACTTCAACACGAGTAGAAACGGAAGCTGGTTCCATAGCCGAACATGTCTTTTAGATATCTACAAATTTCATTATAAATACTTGCATCTTCACTGTTTAGTTTTGACGACAACCCTTGAAAGACCCCTAATTCTAGGTACATAAACCTCGCCTTATACACAGCAATATACAGTACCAGTTTGGTAAAGCCCACTAGCATGCACATGATGCTGATAATACGAGCATCATAATCAGGGTGGATCAGGGACTCTAACTCTGCTGACCAAATGTGGCATGTTATACATCTGGCCCACTGATGCCCCAAGGTGCACACATTGACAGGGATGTGTGTTGTACTACCTGTGTGAGGAAGGTGACTCGGAAGCCCGCAGCCTCTCCCACCCTCTGGTTGCCCTTGTTCATGTAGTTCCCCATCGCCAGGATCAGCTGAAATAAAAACGTACCATGAGGTCATTGCTGATGTCAACAACATACCATGAGGTCATCACTCACTGATGTCAACAAAGTACCATGTGGTCATCGCTGATGTCAACAACATACCGTGTTGTTGAGAAGGCTGCTTTCTGATTGGCCAATATCAACTTCTTGTTAGTCATTTCATTGGTTGGTCAAAGTTCACGAAAGGTCGTTCTGACGTGACCCGTAACTGGATGTAATTGGATGTAATTGGATGTTCTCAGATCTTTGTTTAGCAGTAGTGAGATCTAAGATCTGATTTAAATGAGATTGGAATTCAGAGTTCCAGATAATGTTTTGAGCCATTAAGTATTTACTTAAACAAAAATCACCTAAAAATATATTTACATATAACTCTGTCACAACAATTTTGTTATTACACAGGATCTCACCTCCAAAATCTTGGCCAACTTCTTGCTTTCTTTCATTTCTAATGATGCTGTCTTGATGTAATGCAGATTCTGAAAACATATTCACGTGAATAGTTCAAATCATGAGAATGTCCACAGGCATACAACTGTTCTCAACTTTATGATAACAAAACTGAGAAACTAGAATCCCAGGTTGAGGATGTGTCCAGTTAGTTTGTGTTCAAGGTGATATAAATATTGTCTCTAATCAGCCGGAACAGCAAAATATTGATTTTACAAAGAGGACTCTTGCTGGGATTGTTTTGATGTAACTGGCTAATATACTAAACATTACAATAGCTAGTGAAGTTTTAACAAGACCGCTAAACGTTGACAGATAGCTAAAAATAACCTTCTTGTATTTTAGTTGTGTCCGATTAAGGTAGTGATTATGTATATTTGTTTATCTGTTTTATTTGTGGATCACTTAATTCCAATTGCACAAGGTGTCATTGTAGGAAAGATGTTTTTAAATAAATGTCAATTCAACAGTCCTTTGTTGCTGTGAATGTAATCCAATTATTGATCAACCAGGGAAGTATCAAAGGGAGATAACTTTGTACCTCCTTCATTTCGGTTATTTTCTCCTCAAAGTTTGTCTTGAATAGCATGGCCTGGAGTCGTTGATGGTAGCCTGGAATACGGCTCATCTAAAAGAAAAAACATGAAAGGTCATCACAAACTCAAATGACATAATACAAGAAATAACGGTCTCTGTGTTCTCAGGCAAATTAAATGATGTGTCAGCATAACAGATACAAAATAACCCTGCAAAGTGTGTTTCACTCAAGAAGTGGCAGCAGTGGTTGATAGCATGAGCATCCGTTACTCCCCTGGAGTGAGTGAGTGAGTTGGGTTAACACTTACTTTGAACAATGTTTCAGTTATTATCATGACATGACATTGATGAAACCCACAAGCTTATTGCTGACAATGTACTCTGGTACAGTGACACATTCAAATGGCCAAGTCACAGCAAGGAGTTGGTCCTTCAGCTTGTCACCAATATCAAGTTCTCAATATCCAACATATGCTGTGACTTATTAGTCCCCAAATAAGGTGTCTTTTGTGAGAAGCATGGGAACACTTGTGTACCCATCCTGCATGCCGTGACTGACAGATTTTATTGGTGCTTCGTTTATCTTGTCAGGCCATATCAAGCGTGTGTGGGCAAGCATGGTGGAGTTACCTCATATGTGAACTGGTCAGGTTTGCTAAGATCTTCAATGTCTCCCTTGAAATCACCATAGCTGGCCATCTGACAAAAGTGGGGTAAAATAAAATAATTATATGAATAATCCATTTGAATCTTAAAAAAAATGAAAAAAATGTTTACCTACACCACAAGGCTACTTGTAACATGAAAGTCAGGAACACTTTTCAACTTTCCCCACCAAGAATACCAGTAAACACAATTGGACTCACATTGAATTTGGCTATATAATACAATGTCACTTGTCAAGGATAGATAACACAGTGTACTTAACATCACATTGGAAATTTGAAAAAAAATAAATTGGTAATAAAAATGACGTGGCGTGCAGATGACGGAGAAACCTTTCCTGTTTTTAGCCTAATGTAAACCTGTCCTCTCGGGCAACCCAAGATACTTCCTCTGTCTTCGACAGTATTACCGCTTTCAAAATAAACTATATAAGTTGAATGGTTGATGATTTCAAGATCTTAACAATCCTTGACTGCATATATCCAGTCTGTTTCAGTGCATAACTTACCTTAACATTCCATGCATCTCACTATCTGTTATTTGCAGTGTGGGTGTATATGTGTCAATAATCATTCAGTGTCACCAAGTGTTAAAGCACTCCTTTGAATTTCAATGTTTCAGTGTCAGTCCACATGTTTCAGTATCAGTCCATTGTTTCAGTATCAGTCCATCGTTTCAGCGTCACAGTATCGGTCCACATGTTTCAATGTCAGTCCACATGTTCAGTGTCAGTCCATTGTTTCAGTATCAGTCCACATGTTCAGTGTCAGTCCACATGTTCAATGTCAGTACATGTTTCAGTGTCGGTCCACATGTTTCAGTATCAGTCCATTGTTTCAGTATCAGTCAACATGTTTCAATGTCAGTACATGTTTCAATGTCAGTCCATGTTTCAGTGTCAGTCCACATGTTCAGTGTCAGTCCACATGTTTCAGTGTCAGTCCACGTTTCAGTGTCAGTCCACATGTTTCAGTGTCAGTCCACATGTTTCAGTGTCAGTCCACATGTTCAGTGTTAGTCCACATGTTCAATATCAGTCTATTGTTTCAGTATCACTCCACATGTTCAATGTCAGTCCACATGTTCAATATCAGTCTATTGTTTCAGTATCACTCCACATGTTCAATGTCAGTCCACATGTTCAATATCAGTCTATTGTTTCAGTATCAGTCCACATGTTCAATATCAGTCTACTGTTTCAGTATTAGTCCACATGTTCAATGTCAGTCCACATGTTTCAGTATCAGTATATTGTTTCAGCGTCAAAGTGAACATGATTACATGGAAGTGCAGTTAACATAATGTCATCTAAAGAGGGACTATGTTCCATGGGCAGGTCATATTCCACTTCAGGTCTAAACATTCCAGTTTGTACTATTTGTGGCACCGAGACATTGTTTAGTGTATTTAAGGTACCAGTAATCACTGCTCGACTGAGACACATCATACAATTTTGCAGGCACATTAGTTTGAATTGTTTCAGTGTCAGTCCACATGTTCAGTGTCAGTCCACATGTTTCAGTGTCAGTCCACGTTTCAGTGTCAGTCCTAATGTTTCAGTGTCAGTCCACATGTTTCAGTGTCAGTCCACATGTTCAGTGTTAGTCCACATGTTCAATATCAGTCTATTGTTTCAGTATCACTCCACATGTTCAATGTCAGTCCACATGTTCAATATCAGTCTATTGTTTCAGTATCACTCCACATGTTCAATGTCAGTCCACATGTTCAATATCAGTCTATTGTTTCAGTATCAGTCCACATGTTCAATATCAGTCTACTGTTTCAGTATTAGTCCACATGTTCAATGTCAGTCCACATGTTTCAGTATCAGTATATTGTTTCAGCGTCAAAGTGAACATGATTACATGGAAGTGCAGTTAACATAATGTCATCTAAAGAGGGACTATGTTCCATGGGCAGGTCATATTCCACTTCAGGTCTAAACATTCCAGTTTGTACTATTTGTGGCACCGAGACATTGTTTAGTGTATTTAAGGTACCAGTAATCACTGCTCGACTGAGACACATCATACAATTTTGCAGGCACATTAGTTTGAATTACTGGAATCAAAATTGCTGGAATGCCAATTGGTTCTGAACATAGTCCTCCTTTAGGTTTGCTTTATATGTAACTTTCCTATACTAGACTTTCACACCAGAAATCAACACAATAATTCCATTCCTTTATAAGTATTTGCCAAGATGCTTGGGGTTACCTCCGTTCCACTGGGAGAGTAAGCCAGGAGTTGTTTAATGAGTTCTGGAGTCAAGATGTGCTCATCCATCCTGTACAGAGCCTCCTTCATCTGGGCTCCGGTCATCTTCAGGTGGCCCATCAGAATAGCTGCCAACAGAGAAGGGTACAGGAAGAGTGACATGGACAGAACCAGGTGCCAACAGAGAGAAGAGTACAGGAAGAGGGACATGGACAGAACCAGGTCTGCTGCCAACAGAGAGAAGAGTACAGGAAGAGTGACATGGACAGAACCAGGTCTGCTGCCAACAGAGAGAAGAGTACAGGAAGAGTGACATGGACAGAACCAGGTCTGCTGCCAACAGAGAGAGGAGTACAGGAAGAGGGACATGGACAGAACCAGGTCTGCTGCCAACAGAGAGAAGAGTACAGGAAGAGTGACATGGACAGAACCAGGTCTGCTGCCAACAGAGAGAAGAGTACAGGAAGAGGGACATGGACAGAACCAGGTCTGCTGCCAACAGAGAGAAGAGTACAGGAAGAGAGACATGGACAGAACCAGGCCTGCTGCCAACAGAGAGAGGAGTACAGAAAGAGAGACATGGACAGAACCAGGCCTGCTGCCAACAGAGAGAGGAGTACAGGAAGCAGGACATGGACAGAACCAGGTCTGCTGCCAACAGAGAGAAGAGTACAGGAAGCGGGACATGGACAGAACCAGCTGCCAACAGAGAGAAGAGTACAGGAAGAGGGACATGGACAGAACCAGGTCTGCTGCCAACAGAGAGAAGAGTACAGGAAGCGGGACATGGACAGAACCAGGTCTGCTGCCAACAGAGAGAGGAGTACAGGAAGCGGGACATGGACAGAACCAGGTCTGCTGCCAAGAGAGAGAAGAGTACAGGAAGAGTGACATGGACAGAACCAGGTCTGCTGCCAACAGAGAGAAGAGTACAGGAAGAGTCACATGGACAGAACCAAAGTCTGCTGCCAGCAGAGAGAGGAGTACAGGAAGCGGGACATGGACAGAACCAGGCCTGCTGCCAACAGAGAGAGAAGAGTACAGGAAGCGGGACATGGACAGAACCAGGTCTGCTGCCAACAGAGAGAAGAGTACAGGAAGCGGGACATGGACAGAACCAAGTCTGCTGCCAACAGAGAGAAGAGTACAGGAAGAGTGACATGGACAGAACCAGGTCTGCTGCCAACAGAGAGAGGAGTAGGTAGAGAGACATGGACAGAACCAGGTCTGCTGCCAACAGAGAGAAGAGTACAGGAAGAGGGACATGGACACAACCAGGTCTGCTGCCAACAGAGAGAGGAGTAGGTAGAGAGACATGGACAGAACCAGGTCTGCTGCCAACAGAGAGAAGAGTACAGGAAGAGGGACATGGACACAACCAGGTCTGCTGCCAACAGAGAGAAGAGTACAGGAAGAGAGACATGGACAGAACCAGGTCTGCTGCCAACAGAGAGAGGAGTACAGGAAGAGAGACATGGACAGAACCAGGTGCCAACAGAGAGAAGAGTACAGGAAGAGAGACATGGACAGAACCAGGTCTGCTGCCAACAGAGAGAAGAGTACAGGAAGAGTGACATGGACAGAACCAGGTCTGCTGCCAACAGAGAGAGGAGTACAGGAAGAGAGACATGGACAGAACCAGGTGCCAACAGAGAGAAGAGTACAGGAAGAGTGACATGGACAGAACCAGGTCTGCTGCCAACAGAGAGAGGAGTACAGGAAGCGGGACATGGACACAACCAGCTGCCAACAGAGAGAGGAGTACAGGAAGCGGGACATGGACACAACCAGGTGCCAACAGAGAGAAGAGTACAGGAAGGGAGACATGGACAGAACCAGGTCTGCTGCCAACAGAGAGAAGAGTACAGGAAGCGGGACATGGACAGAACCAGGTCAGCTGCCAACAGAGAGAGGAGTACAGGAAGCGGGACATGGACAGAACCAAGTCTGCTGCCAACAGAGAGAAGAGTACAGGAAGAGTCACATGGACAGAACCAGGTCTGCTGCCAACAGAGAGAAGAGTACAGGAAGAGTCACATGGACAGAACCAAAGTCTGCTGCCAGCAGAGAGAGGAGTACAGGAAGCGGGACATGGACAGAACCAGGCCTGCTGCCAACAGAGAGAGAAGAGTACAGGAAGCGGGACATGGACAGAACCAGGTCTGCTGCCAACAGAGAGAAGAGTACAGGAAGCGGGACATGGACAGAACCAAGTCTGCTGCCAAGAGAGAGAAGAGTACAGGAAGAGTGACATGGACAGAACCAGGTCTGCTGTCAACAGAGAGAAGAGTACAGAAAGAGAGACATGGACAGAACCAGGTCCGCTGCCAACAGAGAGAAGAGTACAGAAAGAGAGACATGGACAGAACCAGGTCTGCTGCCAACAGAGAGAAGAGTACAGAAAGAGAGACATGGACAGAACCAAGCCTGCTGCCAACAGAGAGAGGAGTACAGGAAGCGGGACATGGACAGAACCAAGTCTGCTGCCAAGAGAGAGAAGAGTACAGGAAGAGTGACATGGACAGAACCAGGTCTGCTGCCAACAGAGAGAAGAGTACAGGAAGAGTGACATGGACAGAACCAGGTCTGCTGCCAACAGAGAGAAGAGTACAGGAAGAGTGACATGGACAGAACCAGGTCTGCTGCCAACAGAGAGAGGAGTAGGTAGAGAGACATGGACAGAACCAGGTCTGCTGCCAACAGAGAGAAGAGTACAGGAAGAGGGACATGGACAGAACCAGGTCTGCTGCCAACAGAGAGAAGAGTACAGGAAGAGAGACATGGACAGAACCAGGTCTGCTGCCAACAGAGAGAGGAGTACAGGAAGAGAGACATGGACAGAACCAGGTGCCAACAGAGAGAAGAGTACAGGAAGAGAGACATGGACAGAACCAGGTCTGCTGCCAACAGAGAGAAGAGTACAGGAAGAGTGACATGGACAGAACCAGGTCTGCTGCCAACAGAGAGAGGAGTACAGGAAGAGAGACATGGACAGAACCAGGTCTGCTGCCAACAGAGAGAAGAGTACAGGAAGCGGGACATGGACAGAACCAGGTCTGCTGCCAACAGAGAGAGGAGTACAGGAAGAGAGACATGGACAGAACCAAGCCTGCTGCCAACAGAGAGAAGAGTACAGGAAGAGTGACATGGACAGAACCAGGTCTGCTGCCAACAGAGAGAAGAGTACAGGAAGAGAGACATGGACAGAACCAGGTCTGCTGCCAACAGAGAGAAGAGTACAGGAAGAGTGACATGGACAGAACCAGGTCTGCTGCCAACAGAGAGAGGAGTACAGGAAGAGAGACATGGACAGAACCAGGTGCCAACAGAGAGAAGAGTACAGGAAGAGTGACATGGACAGAACCAGGTCTGCTGCCAACAGAGAGAGGAGTACAGGAAGCGGGATATGGACACAACCAGCTGCCAACAGAGAGAGGAGTACAGGAAGCGGGACATGGACACAACCAGGTGCCAACAGAGAGAAGAGTACAGGAAGGGAGACATGGACAGAACCAGGCCTGCTGCCAACAGAGAGAGGAGTACAGGAAGCGGGACATGGACACAACCAGGTGCCAACAGAGAGAAGAGTACAGGAAGGGAGACATGGACAGAACCAGGTCTGCTGCCAACAGAGAGAGGAGTACAGGAAGAGGGACATGGACAGAACCAGGTCTGCTGCCAACAGAGAGAAGAGTACAGGAAGAGGGACATGGACAGAACCAGGTCTGCTGCCAACAGAGAGAGGAGTACAGGAAGAGAGACATGGACACAACCAGGTCTGCTGCCAACAGAGAGAAGAGTACAGGAAGAGGGACATGGACAGAACCAGGTCTGCTGCCAACAGAGAGAAGAGTACAGGAAGAGGGACATGGACAGAACCAGGTCTGCTGCCAACAGAGAGAAGAGTACAGGAAGAGGGACATGGACAGAACCAGGTCTGCTGCCAACAGAGAGAAGAGTACAGGAAGAGGGACATGGACAGAACCAGGTCTGCTGCCAACAGAGAGAAGAGTACAGGAAGAGGGACATGGACAGAACCAGGTCTGCTGCCAACAGAGAGAGGAGTACAGGAAGAGGGACATGGACAGAACCAGGTCTGCTGCCAACAGAGAGAGGAGTACAGGAAGAGGGACATGGACAGAACCAGGTCTGCTGCCAACAGAGAGAAGAGTACAGGAAGGGAGACATGGACAGAACCAGGTCTGCTGCCAACAGAGAGAAGAGTACAGGAAGAGTGACATGGACAGAACCAGGTCTGCTGCCAACAGAGAGAAGAGTACAGGAAGCGGGACATGGACAGAACCAGCTGCCAAAGATTAACCTGAGTCTATCTGTTCATGAGTTCTGGGAACTTTGAGTAAAGATGAACACGGTACCAGAAACAAACAAGGAGTGCCTGAAATTTGATTGTATTTCTGATTAGAAAGAAATATAGATATATTAATTTCAATGATTTACACAACCACATTCACTCGCCTTGGCCTTCATTTTCCATGTCCATTCACACTTTTTGTTGGTAGAAAAGTCCTTTAATTACATAACCTTATGGTAAATATCAGACATTCTCCAAAGGTTCGGATATACTTACACACATTGTATGCTTTCTTTGGATTTAGAATGCAGAGCTCCTGACGCTTCTCATGAAAATCTGAAATCCAAGAAAGGGAGAGACCTTGAGTTATGGACTTAAATGTGAATAATTTTGATGTTTACTTGTATATATATTATATTCATTGCCTTAAAGGTAGCACAAAATCCCTGTAATAATTTTTTTTTGAATCTTAGAATTAAATTTACCTTGCTTCCATAGGGAGGAACCATCTATTCATCATGGTGTGTTTTCTTTGCGGTAGAACAGGTACATGTCAGCCACAAGTATTGATGATGATGCATACAAGGAACAATCTGTGCTGCTAATCAGCTAGTTCCATTGATACCTCATCCCACAGACTATGAGATGAGGTCCAGCTTCTAATGCTGATCTTACTACCAATCTTTGCTTTCATAGGTAACAAAGAAGTCCTCTAGATGTAATCTGAGTCTGACTCACGTGTTTTCTGCATCTTGGTACTAAACTGGTTTTCCAGCTCCATATGCTTCACCATCTTTTCCAAGGAAGCGTTGTCTTTCTGAAGGTTTAAACATTCTCATGCATTAAGGTACATCCATAAAATCTAGATATAAAAATTATCATTGCTCTACAATAGATGATGACCAGTAGCCACATCAGCAAGAACATCTCAGTCAAGCCTGAATTCACAGATAATGACCCAACTTGAATTCCTGTATTTGTATTAGAGAATACAAGACATGTTCAATAGTTCAAACCAAACCACAACTAGGGCAGCTTGTGTTGACTAGAATGGCTGCAGGATCTAACTTCAAATAAGAAATCATTTAATCTGATTGAATCAGTATTTGGAATGTGATGTCCTTGGTTTCCAATGTTATTTCTCTTTAGTATTCTCCTTATATAATACACATCTGTGTATAATGTGTGAAACCTTCTTTTGAGTTTATTTTTTTTAAAAGAATATAGCTTGTATACAATCAGTATAACAGTCTGCCATCAGCCAGAAGCATTTCTTCCAACTTTCTTGTGCTTGCTAGACCAAACATTCCAAGCACATCCCCAAGAGGTACACACATTGACATTCCACCATAAGTTAGTCCTGCAGAACTACTCACATTGACATTTCTCCATATCATGTTCTCCAGAGCTACTCTCATTGACATTCCACCATAAGCATGTCCCCCAGAGCTACTCACATTGACATTCCACCATAAGCAAGTCCCCCAGAGCTACTCTCATTGACATTCCACCATAAGCAAGTCCCCCAGAGCTACTCACATTGACATTCCACCATAAGCTAGTCCCCCAGAGCTACTCACATTGACATTCCACCATAAGCTAGTCCCCCAGAGCTACTCACATTGACATTCCACCATAAGCTAGTCCCCCAGAGCTACTCACATTGACATTCCACCATAAGCAAGTCCCCCAGAGCTACTCACATTGACATTTCTCCATAGGCAAGTCCCCCAGAGCTACTCACATTGACATTCCACCATAAGCTAGTCCCCCAGAGCTACTCACATTGACATTCCACCATAAGCTAGTCCCCCAGAGCTACTCACATTGACATTCCACCATAAGCTAGTCCCCCAGAGCTACTCACATTGACATTCCACCATAAGCAAGTCCCCCAGAGCTACTCACATTGACATTTCTCCATAGGCAAGTCCCCCAGAGCTACTCACATTGACATTCCACCATAAGCTAGTCCCCCAGAGCTACTCACATTGACATTCCACCATAAGCTAGTCCCCCAGAGCTACTCACATTGACATTCCACCATAAGCTAGTCCCCCAGAGCTACTCACATTGACATTCCACCATAAGCTAGTCCCCCAGAGCTACTCACATTGACATTCCACCATAAGCTAGTCCCCCAGAGCTACTCACATTGACATTCCACCATAAGCAAGTCCCCCAGAGCTACTCACATTGACATTCCACCATAAGCTAGTCCCCCAGAGCTACTCACATTGACATTTCTCCATATCATGTTCTCCAGAGCTACTCACATTGACATTTCTCCATATCGTGTTCTCCACGATGTTGTTGTCCAGTTTCTCCCAGTTGATCCTCTTCACGTTCATCCCGCCAGGCTCGATCTTGCTGCTGGGACCTGAAGGCAGGATGAGAACAATCCGTAGTCCATATGTTACAGCATGAACAACAGCAGAAGAGGTGTTACATGCAAAAACTGAAACCTACATTATGAAAATTGTTTTACTGATTGACAACGACACAAAATATTGACAACAATCAGATTTTATGAAGATGAACTGCAATTGGTCCTTTACTATCATCCATGATATTCCAAAGGAAGTCGGGTTTCACTCTTCGATTTGAAACATGGGTGTCAGTGGTCAGATGTTTATGAACACAGAACTGATGTCACGTGACCATAAGAGATGATGTCACATGGGCATAGTGAGTGAGTGAGTGAATATGGTTTTACGCCGCTTTTAGCAATATTCCAGCAATATCACAGCGGGGGACACCAGAAATGGGCTTCACACATTGTACCCATGTCGGGAATCGAGCCTGGGTCTTCGGCCTGACGAGCGAACGCTTTAACCACTAGGCTACCCGACCGCCCCCACATGGGCATAGAGCTGTAATCACATGACCATGGACATTAAGTCACATGGGCATAAATATGATGTCACATGGCCATAACGCTGTTTTTAATGAGCACAAGGACATGAGGCCGAGGCTGAGGCTGCTCATAGTACCATGATAACAAGTGTCCCTGTGTTGTCACTCTGTGAACTAAGTAGATTAATATCTCTAAGTTGCAGATTGATATATTACTGGTACAGTACATTAACTACAGTATTTCCTACTAGTCTATTTGTCTAAAGGAGGTTCAACCTGTATCAGAGGATATAGTTACACTGTTTCTGCCCAATGTCTACAATAGGTCTTGTTGCTTTACTTTATCATTAGCAAGACACTTTACCTGGAGGTGGAGGTGGTGGCGGTGGTGGCGGTGGTGGCGGTGGTGGTGGCGGAGGTGGTGGAGGTGGTGGCGCTTGTGCTGGTGCAGCAAACATGCCATTCCGAGCAGTGGCATTACTATTGGATCTGGAGACTTGGATGCTCTGGGCAGTTACGCTACTCCCTGACCTCGACACAACCCCATTGACTGCAACTTGGTCACTCTTGGTCACTATGGTAATGTTCTTGGCTGGGGACCTAGGGCCCAAAACGCCATTAGTCTGATGACTCTTGTTGACCACAGGTCGGTCAAGTTCCTCTGCCTCAGCAGCCATCACAGCATCTAGTTCCTTCAGGGCCACCATGGCCTTCTGGTTGAACGTGTCGCCAGAGTAGTTGGATAAATCCTTGTCTGTGTGATAGTCTGTTTCATCTGTACTATACATCACATGGTTGCCGACAGAGCTCTGCGACGATTCCGTCGACGTGGTATGACTCAGATTATTATGGATCTTTACTTGTGTGGGCATTCCATTTGGGATGTTGCCATGAGAACTGTGCCTCACAGGTTCTTGTCCCTGGTACCCAATCGGGATCACCGTTACAAACCGCTTTGAGTCTGAATAATCACCATTAGCCAACAGGGGGCCACCATTGGGATCACCTGCTAATAATGCAAAAAGACACACTTAACAAAACGTTGATTAAATGGACAATAAACATACAATTCTTCATGTAATGTTTAACAATACTATTAATCATCTAGACATAAATACTGACTATTCAAATTTATGTGATGAGACAAACATATCTAACTAGTGACATTTTCCTCACGTGCAACCTGGTAACCTACGTAACAGTGACAAATATGACCTGGGTTCCACAAACAGATCTCTTGGGCTCCCAATTCTTACCAATAAGGACCGTCCTGCTCATAAGTGCCTCCCTGACCTCTTGCACTGCCCTCCTCGTCTCCTCCAACTCCCACAGCAGCGCACGCTCAGAGTTCTCCTTGTGATCTTTGGATTTTGGACGCCACTCAATAGATTCAGAAGAAGCTGAGCTGGTCTTTTCTTCATCATCAGACGATGACTGAATGACCATGAAAATGCGCAATGGTGAGTAACTTAAGCTTGTTTTAGTTTGCCTATAATTGTTATGTTTCATCTATGTGATATAGCCCATTTCTCATACAGCAGAGGGTTTCACCGCGAATAACTGCACTATTGCTGATTCTGCGTTATAGTCACTCATTGAGCAGAGTGCTTGGAATCGAAAGCTTGTATATCATAGTTGTAGTCCTGATTATTTACGACAGTCTTTTGAAAGAATTGAAAGATATATGTCTTACCAATTCCTCCTGATGGTGGTGGACTTTCCCAGACCCTGGAACAAGAACAAGCACACTACACTATGTGGTGGAAAGCCTGGAAGAACTATAGGGTCTGGGAGACAGCACACTACACTAAGTGGTTGAACGCCTTGAGGAACTATAGGGTTCAGGAGACAGCATACTACACTAAGCGGTGAAAGGTCTGGAGGAACTCTGGGGTCTAGGCAATCTCATTAAAATCAGACCTCAGTTCTTGCTTCCGCTAAACAAAGATCTGAGGACATCCCATTAGGGGTCACGTCAGAAAGACCTTTCATCCGACCAATCAGAGCATCGCTTACCAGATTGTGAAAGTGACAGTTGGAATGTGATGTCTAATCATGCAACCTCGAAAAATTTAACTCCGAACGATAATTACAGGTTTAACGACTGAATCCATACAATCTAGACAATCTATTATCCATCCCAGAATGTTCTTTTGTTCAGGTTTCAAATTTGTAACCGAGAATCTGTCAAAATATGTTTCGAAGTGTAGCCGCCAATTTGAAATTAGTGCCGTAAAACATGAGAAAGCTGCCTTCTGATTGGTCATACCATTGGACGGTTAAAGTTCGCGCAAGGTTGGTCTGACGTGACTTGTAATGGTATGTCCTCAGATCTTTGTTTAGCGGGTCCTAGAGATTGGGGTCTAGGAGACAGAATAATAAACTGAGTGGTGGAGCGTCTAGAGGAACTCTTGGGTCCAGGAGACAGCACACTACACTAAGTGGTGGAACGTCAAGAGGGTCTAGGCATCTTCCCGAGGCAAAGGAGTTAACTGACTATTAAAGACCAGTTTCCACCCTTGCCGAACTTGGCTGGAATTGCTGGGCTTGATCGTAGCGCCACCAGTGGCTATTACGAGTTATGTCCCTTCTATGTCCCTCCTATTGACCAATCAGATTCCATCTCTCATATCACTTACACTTGCTTCAAACAAAATGGTGGCGCCCAGTCAAGACGTTATGATCGATAATCAAGATCTATATTAAAATGAAACGGGTCTTATATCATGAAGTGCATCAAATCACGTGAGCGCCTTCATTAAAAACATGAAGAGATTAGCAAAATATCTGTTGAGACCGAGTTGTCGATGCACATGCTTTGCAAATCCTGCAAGCGAACAAATTCTGTTTGGCAGTTTATGAACCAGACTTCGTTGCGCGATTTTGATTGGACTGTGCATAGACTTGTTAGTCCAGCCAAAATATAACTCCATAATACCAGCCTAGTTCGGCAAGGGTGAAAACTGGACTTTTAAAGTCAATTAACTCCCTAGCCTCAGGAAGATGGGTCCAGGAGACAGCACACTACACTAAGTGGTGGAACACCTTGAGGAACTCTAGGGTCCAGGAGACAGCACACTACACTAAGCGGTGGAACACCTTGAGGAACTCTAGGGTCCAGGAGACAGCACACTACACTAAGCGGTGGAACACCTTGAGGAACTCTAGGGTCCAGGAGACAGCACACTACACTAAGCGGTGGAACACCTTGAGGAGCTCTAGGGTCCAGGAGACAGCACACTACACTAAGTGGTGGAACACCTTGAGGAGCTCTAGGGTCCAGGAGACAGCACACTACACTAAGCGGTGGAACACCTTGAGGAGCTCTAGGGTCCAGGAGACAGCACACTACACTAAGCGGTGGAACACCTTGAGGAGCTCTAGGGTCCAGGAGACAGCACACTACACTAAGTGGTGGAACGCCTTGAGGAACAATAGGGTCTAGGAGACAGCACACTACACTAAGTGGTGGAACGCCTTGAGGAACAATAGGGTCTAGGAGACAGCACACTACACTAAGTGGTGGAACGCCTTGAGGAACAATAGGGTCTAGGAGACAGCACACTACACTAAGTGTTGGGACTTCTTGAGGAACTATTGGATCGAAGAGACAGCACACTACACTAAGTGGTGGAACACCTTGAGGAACAATAGGGTACAGGAGACAGCACAATGATATCAAATGGTCACTCCCTAAGGACAGGCTACTGGCCAGTGGTGGGATGGTGTCATGCAAAGAGTATGGTGGATGTGTTGTGATGCCGCCATCGGTAACATGTGGGACATCAGGAGGATGTGGACTACAAAATGTGAATGGTTGTTACACACAGCACAGGCTGCTGGGAGACCAAGGACAGACGCATGGGCAGAGCACTGGCCTGGGAGGCATCTTACTGGTCAGTGTTGGGGGACATATCTGTGTTGATGGACACACAGCTGGGTCTTACATCATGGTGGGACAAGAACACGCAGGCAATGGATTGATATGGACAATCAGCAAATTGATTCTTTGATTGGTCGTGTGGAATGGATTGTTGTTGTCAAAACCGGTGGCCAATTCTCTCTGTCTGGAGCAGTCCACCTGTGACTGCAGTCTCAGCATAGGAGTGAACGAGGTTTTACTCAGCTTTCAGCAATATTGCACCAATGAAGTAAATGATGACACAAGAAAAGGCACGACCTATTTCTGTCAGAAACAGGACCTGCATGGTCTTTTGTGTTGTCAAGATACTGCTCCAACCACTTAACATTGCCACAGGTGATTGAAACAGTTTCTTCCTCTGATAATGACAGATGTGCTCTGTCTATTCACAGGGATGGGACAGTGTTCAAGTGCATAGTGACACTGTGTCATGTGCTTCGACACATTCAGACTTATATTGATAAGTATTCAGAACGTCTGACAGTGTCATCAAAATCAAAATGTAGTAAGAGTAGTAACAATAAAGTTTTGTATGAATGAAATACTAGGCAGTGTTCGATGTTACAAATCAGCTTTTTAGATCTTACTTACATGATACATGTACTTGAAATATTTGTGCTGTAATCATGGTAATAATGTAGTAATTAGTTCTAGCTCAAACAGGACAGATGACATAACAAAACAAGATGTACAACTGTCAAGACAGAATCACAAGTGAAGACACACGATTACATGCTGTGAAAGTCTGAAATTCAGTAAACAAAATATGTTGTGCGCTTAAACAGAGCAATGTGACAGATTGCAGACACAACACCTATCTACCGATCTCAATCTCTTCCTGAACTGCAAGGTCATCGTGAAGGTCATCGTCAGCGGGACCAATGTAGGAATCCATTGCTGAGTCAGAAATCTGACTTGCTGATTGAGGAGGGTCAGAAAACAAACCACTTTGATTGACAGAAACCAATGTAGCGTCAGAAATCTGACTGACTGATTGAAGAGGGTCAGAAAACAAACCTCTTTGATTGCCAGAATCCATGACACATCAGTGGACACACTCCAATGAATACAAGAACCATAGCATGTGTAGTAGATTACCAGGTTGCAGTTCTAATGCTCAAAGGAGTTCTTGTGACTATATTCTAAAGATTATTATTTCTGGCAGGCTAGAGCCTTTATCATCTTGCTGAAGCAATTAATAGATTTCACCCAGTTGTTGAAACGTAAAAAATCCTTTCTTTTGCAACAGACTGTACCATACAAGGAAACCATCTTACTGGTTGCAGAATGAGCCATTGTGATAAAATCCTCTTGTTCGTATTAAATTGAGTGAGGCAAGGAATTTTGAATGAAGACAGGTGGGTGAGAATCTGATAATTAACTTAGCATGGACTTTGTTCATTTATTACTTTTATTTCAAAGATTCTTATGGATAATATTTCAGATCCCCACACAATAGGGTAGAACATGGAGACTTAGACATCAAAATATATTCTCACATTTTCAAAACATTTCCTAAAACATATTGATTTAACGCATCCTTTGCTTAAAGTGAAGCAGCCATAAACATCTTCAATTTACATTGCTTAATTGTTGTTGACAATTTTAAAAATATTTTATGCAATAAAGACTTAAGGGAAAAATTACAATGTACCTATCCAGGCTCTTTCTCTAATATTAATAACATCAGAAATAAGACCTAAACCTCTGTTATAGAAATACTGGAACTTACTTATGTACTGTTGTCGGAAATTAAGTCTCCGCTTGACAATATCTTGGTGCGACGACGTCAGCAGCGGCAGGATAAACTTCCACAATGTCTTCTTGGATGGTGTGTCCAGCATCTCTTCCAGCTCATTCAGCAGGGCCTTCACATCTCTGCAGAACAATGTCATACACATGTACAGGGCCTTCACATCTCTGCAGAACAATGTCATATACATGTACAGGGCCTTCACATCTCTGCAGAACAATGTCATACACATGTACAGGGCCTTCACATCTCTGCAGAACAATGTCATACACATGTACCACGGCCTTCACTTCTCCGTCATACACATGTACAGGGCCTTCACATCTCTGTCATACACATGTACAGGGCCTTCACATCTCTGCAGAACAATGTCATACACATGTACAGGGCCTTCACATCTCTGCAGAACAATGTCATACACATGAACAGGGCCTTCACATCTCTGCAGAACAATGTCATACACATGTACAGGGCCTCCACATCTCTGCAGAACAATGTCATACACATGTACAGGGCCTTCACATCTCTGCAGAACAATGTCATACACATGTACAGGGCCTTCACATCTCTGCAGAACAATGTCATACACAAGTAAAGGGCCTTCACATCTCTGCAGAACAATGTCATACACATGTACAAAGACTTCACATCTCTGCAGAACAATGTCATACACATATATATCATCGGATCATAGGTTTTCGGACAGCCATGGTTATCGTGATTACTCGCGATATAACGGGGGAGTAGCATCACACAGACATTGTAAATACTTACATGATGGCTTGTTTTTAAGAGAAAGTTGTCTATCATAAGTGAACGAGATGCTTTACAGTTGTTCATGTGATTAGAGAGAAAACTATGAATGTTTCTTAAGCGTCCGAAAACCCATATTATAAAAATGATCATTTACATTGGGTATTGATAGTTTTCTTTGGGAATTCAATATATTTCAATTCCCTTGGGTCCTTTCTAATGGACATTTATAGACGTTTCTAAAATAATTCTGACAAAAATGCTCTTTCACTCAGCTTTTAATTTGTATCTTCTGTGTGCTGATACGCAAGTATTAAATCATACATTGGGTAAGCATGCAGAGTGTTGTCATTCTAGAGATTGTTTGTTCTTAAATTTCAAGCTTATTTGTATGAACTTAAAATTAGGTATTGGTGATATATTTTGTGTATTTTACACAAATACACAGCTTATTTGGAGCTCTGCTGAGAGGTGGGCAGGGGCCAACTGAGATTTGTGAAATGTATCACCTAGACCAATGATGCAAGTACTGAAACCCTGGGCCATGGATGAAATTAACTCAAAAAACAAACACGCCCACCACAAGGGAAGTAGGATATTTGGTTTCTGCTAGCAATGCAAAACGTTAGTTAAAGTATAGTCCATGTAAAATGAGAAGGTTTTCAAATTTCAATATTTATAGATTTGAAAGGTTCTTCCAAATTATCTAGTGCAGCGATTTAACAGGAGAATCGAAAGGACATACAAAATGTTTAGCATATGTCAAAACACTTACAGGCCCTATGGGCTAGTAGAACTATAATTTTATTGGCCTGAGGTAATTTCTACTAGCCTCCTATCCCAAATGTGTGGATCGATTCTCATGCTATCAATCACTGAATTGTCTGGTCCAGACTCGATTATTTACAGACCGCCGTCATATAGTTGGAATATTACTGAGTACAGCGTTAAACAACAAACAAACAAACAAACAAATAGTGAACCATTAATACTCAAGACAGGAAGTATCCATGTAGCATCCTCTCAAAGGGTTAAAAAAGGAGAACTCTTTAAAAAACAATAAAAATAAAACCTATCTGTATGACGTATATATACCACAAGGAAATCATCCGAACAAAACCTATACCACAGTCTTGCTATGATCTCATTCACGAAAAAGAAGAAGTTTTGAAATCAATTTCCAATACATCAGAGAGAACAGCAATGAAAGCACAGACAATTTCTTGCTTCATGGCTCCTTTGAGATGCAAGGTTTTGGTGAAGTGAAGATAAATGGATTCCCTGGGAGATGATGGCCAGGGTCGGGTCACTCAAACAGCCCAACATTTGGCAATATTATCAGCCTTGTCAGGTCCAGCAATACACGCTCCACAGAGGCAGAACACACAATAGAAGTTACTGCACTATAAACAACATATCCCCATCACTGGGGGTTATGTTGCCATACACAGTGCTTGCAGGCCTCATGGTGCTGTCAACATGTGGGGGATATGGCTATTTATCACATAGGGATGTGGGCTAACACTCTACACAAGTGTGGAAATCATATACTAGTTGTTTAGCCTAAGGTCAGACTTTGATTACAGGTTTTATTACTGAAAGCTTTAGATGGTAGGTTGCAATAAGAAAAAATAATAATTACAAATACCTACAACAGGCTTTTAAAGTGGCTTTGAGATTTAATCAGGTCAGAAGAAATGAAAAAAAAAGGATGCTCACTGGATCTCTAAATAATTTGAAATGACACCAGAGTTTGTTTTTAAGTATTATTTTATTATTTCAGTTGATGCCAAAACAAAAGGTTTGCGATTAGTTTTGTCATCAAAATGTTTTACTATTGCCAGCATAAAGCCTCAGCAATACTGATTATATCTGTTTCCCGAGTTTTTAGTTTTTTTAAGGTCGGCAGATCAATAAACCAAGTGGAAAAATGTAAGGCCTCTGTGGACAAAAAGAGAAGTGGATAAAAAACTGATACAGAAACTGATACAGAAACTGATACAGAAACTTGAAAGCAGCTCTAATTCAATATGGTGCTGATGAAGATAATTCTGTGCCTAACTTTAAGTGCTTTGAGTGTTAGCCTGGCATTTTAATGAGATGGACATGATGATGAAGCTGTACACGTTGCCAGCATGTTGTTCCATGCTTATGAGTGTTATTACCCACGTGGAATGTTGAAGCCAGTTCCATAAAGACAGGATTATTAGTTTACACACACAGAAAAAAATGTAAGATACTTATACATGGGTTTGTTCATAATTATGTTTTATTTGCATTGCAAAAGTAATTGTTACCAAATGGAAGTTATGCCCTAACTTAAAACAAATTGAAGAACATTTCAAAAAGGCACGTTAATGAAAGATGTTTTTTTGTAAAACTAGGTTACACATCCCCTTACACAAATCTTTAACAATAATATTATCTAAGATTTTGAGACGTTATGTTTACCCTGTCACCTCTCTTAACTTTTTTTTTTTTTTTAAAGCCACACAAAGTCATATTCCAGCTTATATGATGAGTTGCTGAAGACCAATTCTAACCTGGATCTTCACAGGGAGTCTCATAATTAATTTCAGCTAAACTTCAAATCAGGCCAATAGGAAAAGGGAACTAACTCTTTACCTTGTCCTTCCCAAAAACTCTGGGCACAAATAGACATTTCGAAGATCCAAGTTTCCCTATAAATCTAACACCACCCAACCACCCTTTTTCCAATTTATTTGACTCAGCAACAAAACTGAAACAAGATGAAACCACAACTAAAATAATTCAGCCAAGAAAGAAAATCAATTCATTCAAGGAGCTTATATGAGAATATATTTAATCCATGTTTTCCCACCTGTTCTCTTCGTACATATGGAGGGAGCGCTTGATCTGTATTCGCTCCTGTGATGTGAGCAGGAACTCGATCTGCTGCTGGAAGGAGGCGGGCAGACGGGCAGACGTCCCGATGTGGGTCTCCCACCCCGCCTGCTGGAGACCATCTGACAAAACATTGCAATGTAGGATAACCAGTGCAAGCTACCATTTACACGAGGAGTATTACATACACCCGGACGACATGGTTAACATACATTCTTAATGTCAGTATTTTCATTACCATCAGGTGTGGCCCAGTTGTCAAAGGCGGCACAATTCGCCCCTTAGGCGTGACAGAAAACTGTGATTGTTGGTTCGAATCCCAGATTCTACCTTTTAATGTTTCTAGGTTTGTCAGCACCATATCCATGCTTGTGGGTTTCACCTAAGTGGTAAACATGTAAGACTTTGGCCTTTCCTCCTGCATCAAGGCCAGTTAGTTTGGAGAAGGGCCAGTAACTTTAAAAAGGAGCAAGCCCTGCTGGCTACATACAGATTTGTTGTTAAATCTACCCCTGTATACATAAGGCTTTGATGTATCAAAGAGACTGACTTTAGAAGTTTTCACAAAGCATTCTTTTTCAACATTTGAACAGGAGTAGGTCTTTGACCCAAGCTGATATTCTTTGGAGATGTAGATAGGGACAGTACAAACAAATGGTTAAAAAAAATTGTCTTTGGTCACAGACCTGCTCACAGTTTATTTTCTCTAAAGTATGAAAAGTTAGTCTTTACTGCACATTTTAGGCATTTTTATGTATTTGATGAAGCCGTAGTCCAACACTTCCAAGTGTAAAAACAGAAAACAGGCTAGTAGATCATTTAAACATGTCTGAGAATTTTTTTTACCATATTTCAAATTCGAAAATTGAACATTTCCAGTGGGCCAAGTTCTGTCCAGAATACTACTACCTGGGCAGCTAGTAATGTCACTGTAACATTATATAAAAACAGCAGTTGTGTGGAAGGCAGGGTCCCCAGACTAACAGGGTTTTACTGTATATCAAACGTGCCTCTCTCGGGACTGCTGACTCATCCCTTATTGCAGCTGATTCCTATCATTTGACTGAGAGGGAAGTAAATTGATTTTTTTGGTTCCATTTCTCATGTTTATGAAGTTAAGAAATTGTTTTTCATGTAAGAAATGTATAAATAAGTTTTCTTCTTACTTGCTGTCATTTGCCCATGGCCATTTATTTTCTGCTGTGTTCGCAAAACCTCTGAAACATAAAGTTCCAACAAAGTGACTTCATGCAATGGTCATTTCTGAAAATGAGAATCATCGGACAATCAGACACTCGTCAAGTGAGATGCTATTCTAGTAACACACTGTTCAAGTACAACCCCCTTCAAGTGAGACTCTCCCGACATGGGTACAATGTGTGAAGCCCATTTCTGGTGTCCCCCGCCATGATATTGCTGGAATATTGCTAAAAACGGCGTAAAACCAAACTCAATCACACTCACTCACGTCAGACTCTCTATAAGTCAGAACCCCCCTATAAGTCAGACCGTCTATAAGTCAGACTCTCTAAAAGTCAGAGCCTCTCTATAAGTTACAACCCTTTTACAAGTCAGGCTCTCCTCAAGTCAGACCCTCTATAAGTCAGACCCCCACTTTAAGTCAGACCCTCTATAAATCCGGCTCTCTTCAAGTCAGAACCTCTTCAAGTCAGACCCCCACTATAAATCAGACCCTCTATAAATCAGGCTCTCTTCAAGTCAGAACCTCTTCAAGTCAGACCCCCACTATAAATCAGACCCTCTATAAATCAGGCTCTCTTCAAGTCAGAACCTCTTCAAGTCAGACCCCCACTATAAGTCAGACCCTCTATAAGTCAGACTCTCTTCAAGTCAGACCCTCTATAAGTCAGACCCCCACTATAAGTCAGACCCTCTATAAATCAGGCTCTCTTCAAGTCAGAACCTCTATAAATCAGGCTCTCTTCAAGTCAGAACCTCTATAAGTCAGACCCTCTATAAATCAGGCTCTCTTCAAGTCAGAACCTCTTCAAGTCAGACCCCAACTATGAGTCAAACCTCTATAAATCAGGCTCTCTTCAAGTCAGAACCTCTTCAAGTCAGACCCCCACTATAAGTCAGACCTTCTATAAATCAGGCTCTCTTCAAGTCAGAACCTCTTCAAGTCAGACCCCCACTATAAGTCAGACCCTCTTCAAGTCAGACCCTCTATAAGTCAGACACTCTTCAAGTCAGACCCTCTATAAGTCAGACACTCTTCAAATCAGACTCTTTTGAAGATGGACACTTTTCAAGTCACAAGCTCTTCCAGTCAGACACTTTTCAAGAAGATGTTTATACTGGAAGTCATGAAATGTTTGTTTTCTAAGGATGTGAAAAAGGGGAAGTAATTATGAAGGTGCCAGTGCCGCTCCCTGATGGAGAAGCAGAGGATGCCATGCTGCCTCACCAGTGGGGTACCTCCCAAGTCGTTCCCTAATTGTCAGTGAATATGGTAAAGACATGGTGTATTGCTCATGGAGGTGCACATAACACACTCAGGATACCGTCTTCATTCCACACATTTGCTTAATTCTCTAGCTGCTACTTTGTCTGAACCACTTAACATGTCCGTGTACACTGAGGGCTTCTACTGGGCTATCTCATGCAGGCTGGCAGTTGGCAGGTGGAGCAGAGAAAATTACCGCTTCTCAAATGTTTCTTGACTGTTTTGGGTTAACTAGCATGTGGGTTCGAAATTCCTTTTGTGAATATATTTAAATGCTGGATACAGAACTGAATTGAAGGGAGGCTGATAGTAGTGGAGATGTGGAAGTGTGGATGAAACTCATGGAGCTGGGTGTGTATGTGTTACTTACCAAGCAGTGGGTATTGGTTGGGCAGGGAAGATGGATCACACACAACAGTGGGTATTGGTTGGGCAGGGTACATGGATCTCACACAGGAGTGGGTATTGGTTGGGCAGAGTACATGGATCTCACATGGCAGTGGGTATTGGTTGGGCAGAGTACATGGATCTCACACAGCAGTTGGTATTGGTTGGGCAGAGTACATGGATCTCACACAGCAGCGGGTATTGGTTGGGTAGGGTATATGGATCTCACACAGCAGTGGGTATTGGTTGGGAAGGGTAGATGGATCTCACACAACAGTGGGTATTGGTTGGGCAGAGTACATGGATCTCACACAGCAGTTGGTATTGGTTGGGCAGTGTACATGGATCTCACACAGCAGTGGGTATTGGTTGGGCAGAGTACATGGATCTCACACAGCAGCGGGTATTGGTTGGGTATGGTATATGGATCTCACACAGCAGTGGGTATTGGTTGGGAAGGGTAGATGGATCTCACACAACAGTGGGTATTGGTTGGGCAGAGTACATGGATCTCACATGGCAGTGGGTATTGGTTTGGTAGGGTAAACTCACCCAGCAGTACATGTTGGGGCAGACTAATTCGGTGAATACAGAACTCCTGATGCTGCGGAGGCAGACGGGCGATCACAAACATCCACAATGTCCTCTTTGATGGTGTGTCCAGGATTTCAGACAGACTTGTTTCAAGCTCCACCACATCTCTGAGGAAAAAAGGCACAAAACATAAAATATATGAAAAAGAATCCCTTACTAAATTGCAATGATACTGCAACTCGGCACTATCTCAAACCATACAAAAAATAGGCAGACTTGGGAGGAACATACCATACACAACATACAATCTGTTTTAGTTAAAAGATGTGAATAAATACTATTATATTTTTTACAGTACAAATTCATCATTCACCAAAACAAAACTAAAAGGCGACTAACGGGATCGGGTAGTCAGGCTCGCTGACTTGGTTGATACATGTCATTGATCCCAATTGCGTGGATCGATGCTCATGATATTAATCACTGGATTGTCTGGTCCAGACTCGATTATTTACAGACCGCCGTCATATAGCTGGAATATTGCTGAGTGTGGCGTTATACAACAAACCAACCAACAACTATACAAATAGTTATGGTCAGATTTCTTATATCACCAATACAGAGAAACAGATCACAATGTGAAACCCATCAACCCATAAACCTAGGATTCTTCCACCAAAGAGCATACCCACTGCTTTGTCTTACCATGTAATACAAACTATTACATGAAATCTGTTGTTTATCATTCAGTTTCATCTCCAGCACAGACACAACAGGGAATGAAGGTTTTTGTTTGAATTTATGTGGATCCAGATTGATCAATACTTTAAGCTCACAACACTCTCTGAAGAGCCTGTACTTGCCTGCCTTGTGGGACAATGTGTAACAATGGACAGGTGTATGTGAGTGGTCAAGTGAGTGGTTGGTTGAGTGGTTGGTGGAGTGGCTGGTTGAGTGAGTAAGTGGTTGATTGAGTCGTGAAGTACTGCTTGGTTGAGCGAGTCATTAAGTGAGTAAGCGGTTTGTTAAGTGGTTGGTTGAGTGAGTTCTTAAGTGAGTCGTTAAGTGAGTGAGTGGTTGAGTGAGAAAGTAGTTGGTTAAGTGGTTGGTTGAGTGGGTAGTTGAGTGGGTAAGTGGTTGAGTGAGTTGTTAAGTGAATGGATGGTTGAGTGGTTGGTTGTGTGAGTAAGTGGTTGAGTGAGTTGTTAAGTGAGTGGTTGGTTGAGTGAGTAAGTGGTTGAGTGAGTTGTTAAGTGAGTCGTTAAGTGAGTGAATGGTTGAGTGTGTAAGTGGTTGGTTAAGTGGTTAGTTGAGTGGTTGATTTAGTTAAGGTTGAGTGAGTAAGTGGTTGAGTGAGTTGTTAAGTGAGTCGTTAAGCGAGTGGTTGGTTGAGTGAGTAAGTGGTTGGTTAAGTGGTTGGTTGAGTAGGAAAGTGGTTGAGTGAGTTCTTAAGTGAGTGGTTGGTTGAGTGGTTGGCTGAGTGAATGAGTTGTTACTTGAGAGGTTGGTTGAGTGAATGGTTGAGTGAGTTGTTAAGTGAGTCGTTAAGCGAGTGGTTGGTTGAGTGAGTAAGTGGTTGGTTAAGTGGTTGGTTGAGTGGTTGATTGAGTAAGTTAGTGGTTGGTTAAGTGGTTGGTTGAGTAGGAAAGTGGTTGAGTGAGTTCTTAAGTGAGTGGTTGGTTGAGTGGTTGGCTGAGTGAATGAGTTGTTACTTGAGAGGTTGGTTGAGTGAATGGTTGAGTGGTTGGTTGAGTGAGATGTTAAGTGAGTGGTTGGTTGAGTGAGTAAGTGGTTGAGTAGGTTGTTAAGTGAGTAGTTAAGTGAGTGGCTGGTTGAGTGGCTGGTTGAGTGAGTGGTTGAGTGGTTGAGTGAGTGGTTGAGTGGTTGAGTGAGTGAGTGAGTGAGTGAGTGAGTGAGTTGGGTTGAACGCCGCTTTTAACAGTATTACAGTTATATCACAGCGTGTCAGCTTAATGTGGGAGGAAAGCCCGAAGTGATGCGAGTCTCAGATGTTTACCACTTCGGTGAAACCCACGAGCACAGGTATGGTGCTGACAAACCTAGAAATATAATCGGGGCGAACTGGGATTCGAACCCACAATCATAGGTTTCTGGCGTGCCCAAGGGATGGTTGGTTGAGTGGTTGGTTGAGTGAGTATGTGGTTGAGTGAGTTGTTAAGTGAGTGGTTGGTTGAGTGGTTGGTTGAGTAGGTGGTTGAGTGAGTGGTTGGTTGAGTGGTTGGTTGAGAGAGTTGTTAAGTGAGTGGTTGGTTGAGTGGTTGGTTGAGTAGCTGGTTGAGTGAGTGGTTGGTTGTGTTGTTGGTTGAGTAAGTGGTTGAGTGAGTGGTTGGTTGAGTCAATGATTGGTTGAGTGGTTGATTGAGTAGTCGAGTGAGTTAGTGAACGAATGGTTCAGTGAGTCAATGAAAACACCGAGAAAACACCTGAAGCAATCTATATACAATAAATACCTACTTGCCGATCACAAGATATACATACATGTCAAAACAAGGCAGACACGCTCCCTAGATCTACATACATTTCAAAACAAGGCAGACACACTCCCTAGATCTACATACATTTCAAAACAAGGCAGACATGCTCCCTAGATCTACATACATTTCAAAACATTTAGGCAGACATGCTCCCTAGATCTACATACATTTCAAAACAAGGCAGACATGCTCCCTAGATCTACATACATTTCAAAACAAGGCAGACATGCTCCCTAGATCTACATACATTTCAAAACAAGGCAGACATGCTCCCTAGATCTACATACATTTCAAAACAAGGCAGACATGCTCCCTAGATCTACATACATTTCAAAACAAGGCAGACACGCTCCCTAGATCTACATACATTTCAAAACAAGGCAGACACACTCCCTAGATCTACATACATTTCAAAAAAAGGCAGACACGCTCCCTAGATCTACATACATTTCAAAACAAGGCAGACACGCTGAGCTTCGCGGTGCAGTCAAGAGGTGGAAACACTAAAGCATGTCAGAAATTAGGTGTACATCTACAGCAGCAAGTCCAACACGAGTGCCAGGCAGTGAGAAGGGTTCACCAGGCAGTGTATGTGAGGCAGTAGTGGAAGGCAGTTTACAGTCAATGGGGAAACATTTGGCAGGAGTCAGTGCAGGCTACAGGTGAACTCAGCGAGGAGGAGCAACAGGAGCTCGGGACTACTGTCGTGCTTCACCTCCCTTAGTGACACGTGTGGAGCCTATCACATGGTAAGTGAGAGTGTTGTATCTCCCCGGTGTCAACATTGACAGATTGTTGTGAACATGCAGCAGTGTATAACTCTACATTCACAACTTAGTCAGGTCATAAACTGGGTTTATAAGTGAATGTCATATTTCTACTGTCTCTGTTCATGTAGAACAATAAACCCATTGCTGATGACAGAAACTAGACAGCACTGCACATGGTGATCATCAGGATCACGACTATTATGTGAATGGTTGGCGATGGATACGGCAAACTGAGGATTTATCTGATGACGTGTGTATGGACAGGAAATATGGGTATTGATAGATATGGTGAAATGAATATGTAAATTTTCTTAACATGTGTTTCAATAATAATTTCAGCTGTGGATGTTATGTTAGTGTTACTTAGACATACCCTTTTACCTGCAGTAAATCCCTGTCGCTGACACCCACACCTGCAGTAAATCTCAATCACTCACACACCTGTACTAAATATTCGTAACACCCACATCAGCAGTAAATTCCTGTCACCAACACCTGAAGTAAATTCCTGTCACACACACCGGCAGTAAATCCCTGTCACCCACACCTGCAGTAAATCCCTGTCACCCACACCTGCACTTGCAGTAAACCCCCAACACTCACACCCACACCTGCAGTAAATCTGTCACTCACAATCACACTTGCACTAAATCTCAATCCCTCACACACCTGTACTAAATTCCCATAACAGCCACCTGCAGTAAATCCCTGTCACCCACACTTGCAGTAAATCCCTGTCACTCATACCCACACCTGCAGTAAACCCCCATAACGCATACCCACACCTGCAGTAAGCCCCCATAACTCACACCCACACCTGCAGTAAACCCGTCACTCACCGCGTCACTTCATAGGTCTGCATTGATCTCTTCAGGTGAGATCTCTCCTTCGATGTCAACAGAAAATCAACCTTAAAGGAAAAAATACAGCACATTATACAATAACTTTATTAATAATTAATATTGATATTATTATAATCAATTTTACAAATAATCAACATTAACACAAAGAATTTGAACATACTACTAATACTTTGATATTTTTCAAACTTATAAGATTAAAATAAATGAATAAAAAGTAAGACTGAATTTGAATTAAATTCTTAGTTTCCAACCTACCCTGTGCTTGAATGTGCGACCCTCTTTATCGACAAACTTCTGATTGCTCAGCCACTCTGTGGAGGCGTGGCTTGATTCAGATGAATCCGTGGATAGTGAACTCAGACTGATGGTTGGTGCTGCAAAAGAAAGAGGGTGACAACTCAGAAAATTAAAAATCACCAACTACTACAATTAATACTATTAATTCTAGTTCAGTCATGGATCAAAAAAATTCTTCCACACTTTACTTCTAAAGAACACATCTAAACATCTTCATGCGTGTCCTGGGCGAAATGTGCCTCCACATCCAGCAGTGAATGGGTACCCGGTAGGGTGAGATGGTAATGTAAACATTCTAGTCCCTCACAGACAGCTTGGGTTGTATACTCCCAATGGTGTTGAGAATGAAATTCGAGTGCACACTGACCCATTGACCAGGGTAATAATGCAACACTCTGAGCATGCTTTAGAGTGTGGATTTGAAGCATATTATTATTAAGCCTGAAAAAAACCTAGGTTTTCAACAAACAAAATCTCAACTAAACTTCCAATCTGAAAGTGAAATTGGGTCCATATGGGGAAAACAACCCATTTCTTAGAACTGACAAATACATATATGACACAAGGATTCATAACAGTCTAAAGTGTAACATATGAATCCAATGTATACCAGGAGAGCTATGTGTATTGTTCAAGGAGTGGGGTAATGTTCCTCAAAGGGTATGAAGCCATGATGGGAATCCTGCTGCTATTTGCATCTTATCCCCATCTCACCCAGTAAACCGTAATTCAGTGCTGCACGTTTGGAAACAGTCGGTGCCAGCTGATCCCACTGAACCTGTGCAGCATTCCAGGAAGCATGTTGATGCCATTCCAGAAAAACGGGGGGGGGGGGGGGGGGAAATGACCTATTTATCCACCAACAAGTAACATCTGATAACATCTGTATTTCCTAACACCAGAATGATTATGGACAGTTGCATTGTAACAGATTAAAGTACCTTTCGCTTATTTTTTTGTATCTTATTAATACCATTAATCATGAACAACTTTGATTGGGGCTTCATGTGCAAAAATAAATTTAATTTAATAAGAAATTAAATAACTGTAAACATATGCTGTTAGAACTAAATAGAAAACACATGTCTTAATTTAAATATTTTTGCATTATTATTATTATTGATTATTGATCATCATCATCATCATAAAACAACAACAACAATTTTGAAAAGGACTTCAGATGTAAAAAGAAATGTCCATAATTCAATTTTAAGAGATTTAATCCCTAACCATATGTTTCCTAAAGTAGATTTATGTACAGACATTCTCCCATTACTCTACTCTATCACAGCTGCTTGCTCTTGGCAGTGTGAAGTAAGGTATTGTTTGTGATGAAAGTTGACATGCTCAGTGAGGAACAAGGGGTAAGCAGGCAAAACATCAAGATTGATAAACATAAACATGGCAGTTCTACACATTGTGTGTGCAGCTTGAACGACTGTGATGAGTAAACCACGGAGCATCATCAACACTACATCAGTTGTTTCTTCTGTAAAGTCAAACCTTGTTTGTCAGGACACCCCCATCTTCACGAGGCAAGGTAGTTAACTGACTATAAACATCCATTTTCCACCCTTCCACCCAGGGAAGTGAACAAAATTAGTTCGATGTAACTAAAGCATTTTTTATAATAGCTACTTGGCAATAATATACACCTTCTACACTAATAGGGGCAGTGGGGTAGCCTAGTGGTTAAAGCGTCCGCTCATCACGCTGAAGACCTGGGTTAGATTCTCCACATGGGTACCATTTCTGGAGTCCCCGTTGTGACATTACTGGAATATTGCTAAAAGTGGCATAAAACTATTCTGACTCGCTCCACACTGCTGTTTATTGTTAACAAATCTGCAATATACACAAGAAAATATGTCTTGTAAATTTTCAGGCTTAGTAGGGGGCACTTATAAAGAACACTTACAAATTGGTCTAGACTCGGTCAGGGACTCGGTCAGGGATCGCTAATTGGAGCAGGATGCTCAATACGGTTGATACGGGTAGATTTGAGTTAATGAATGAAAATGTGCCTTGATATATACTGGCAGAAAATGGTGTATTGTGATTAACTTCATACAATTATACATGTCACCCTAATATCGCTGGTAGGACTGATATTTGCTGAATCAAGTTTAGTTGGCATCAAATTCAAGAAGCACATCGGAGTCTTTTTTATAGAGAGAGCTGAACACGTTGAACGGTTCCAGGGTCAATATTTATGGTATTTGTGGTAATTACATCTATTATAGAATTTAAAAAGTGATCACATCAGATCAACTCCATTTCAGAGAGCAATCTTTTTCAGAGCAAAATATCTTAATCTAATATAAAATGTGTCTGTTAACAGTATTAAAAGTGAGTGTTTCTGGTCATGTGACGTCTGCTACTCACAGTTGAGTCCCCCGACACAGCGCAGCACCTCCAAGGTTGGCGCCGTCCCACTGTCCTTCAACAGCTGCACAAGGCGATTGTGGTCAGCACGCCTACAAGGCAAATGTAGCATCACTTTAGATACAACAAAGAAATGTCATTTGTAATTACTTTAATATGACGACATATCGGTAATAAAAGTTGTTTGAGCCTTTTTTTTTTATTAGTAAGTTTACAAATATCAATATAGGTGGTCGAAAAACAAAATACATTTTCAACCTCCAGTAGTACGGCTGCTAATGAATGAAAAACAAACCTGTTGCTCACACCATAAAATACAGTCACGAAAAGATACAGTAAGATGATCCATTGCTTTTTGGTTAGAATAAAGATTTTTTATTCACCATTTTTTACTTCTTACAAATAGCGGTGATAATTCTCATGTTTTTTTCATTTCACCTAAATGTAAAAAGCGCGACCAAAATGTTTGTCAAAGGTCAATAAACATATTTTTTTCTAATTCCAGTTTTTTTTAAAGTCAGTCAAACTCATAATCCCCACCTCCAAATTCATTTTCTTTATAATGCCCTAAATCAACTTTTACCTTAAGAAAAATAAGCAAATCACTTAGATGTAAGTTTGCCTGATGACTAATTAAATCACACCATGAGAACTTTAAAGTGCCTAAATGATGACTTTAAGAAGGAATTACAAACAATGTCTGTAATTACTTTTCTATATAATGCATCACTTTAACATTGTAATTGAACAACATATCAAACAGGCCATTTTTCCTGTTCTTAGTTCTAAGTGCAAAAGATTTATGTTAATTGTTTTTCATCAAAGTCGTTGTTTTGAACAAGCAGCGTATAAAGTATAGCACACCTGACATCGATGCCATTGAGCCTCATGATGAAGTCTCGTGGCTGAAGACCTGCTTTGTCGGCTGGACCACCTTCATCCAGGTTCTCAATGTAGGCAGGGTTACTTCCCTTGATGATGAAGCCAAAACTGCCATCATCTCGTATGACCTGGATCACTCTATAGAGGATATAAATATCATATGATTATCCCATTACATGGAAATATAGATCAAATCTTTTGAGAAAGCCAAAAAATCAAAATAATCCCTGCTGAATTAATTGTCTGGTACCTAGCTGTAATGCTGTATACAAAAGATAGGATTTCATAGTTGAGAAGATAGTTTGTCATATTGACAAATAACACTGGATGAACCTAGCGTCATTGTTCTTGGAGAAGTCTGTGAAAAGAATGGTAGCTTGTCTGGCTGCAGAAAAAGAAACATGGCTGCCAATTATTACCACAGCTGAGCAAGTTGTATATATCTAACATCAGTTTCTTTCACTTCATGACAAGTTCCTTTATGTTGATACATTAGCATTTTTCTTAATTTGACATTTGCAGGGGAAAAAATAAATTATTTAGGCATATTAAGTCTGCTGATGATTTGTGGAGTGGGTTATTCTTGAAATAATCCAACAGTAAGAAACATGGTGTCAGACTGGTGCATTGTGGGTTACAGTAGATAAAGACATAATAAGACACTCAAGGTCTGATTGCAGTCCCAGTAAGTTTGATTCAAATTGTTAAGTTCACACAAGTTTGTTTCTCTCCTAACTTTTGTGTACCAAAGCGACCACCTCCGTGGTCCAGTGGGTGGAGCATCTCCCAGGTTATGAAGGGTTGGTGGTTCCATCCCTGCGTCATACCAAAAGATGTTAAAAAAATGGTACTCGTTATCCTGCCTGGCACTCGGCATTAATGTTTGGTTTGCGTCAAATTTCATGAATAATTATGATAATTATGATACTTATTAATCATGACGTCAAAAGCAGGAATGGAAATGACTTTAGAATGTTTAGCATAGTCCCTCTTGAATGTCCTCCTCATTGTAAACAGTCTGCTCAAAACAGTCGATGGACTTAACAAAGTCATCTTCCTGAGGCCAGGGAGTTAATTCACTATAAAGGTCCAGTTTCCACCCTTGCCGAACTAGGCAGGAATTATGGAGTTAGATTTTGGCTGGACTAACGAGTCTATCCATAGTCCAATCAAAATCGAGTAACGAAATTGCACTTCGCGAGGTAAGACCCATTTATTACAATCTAGATCTTGATTATTGGTCAAATCATCTTGACTGGAACTGTTGCTTGAAGCAAATGCAAGCGATAAGACAGGTGGAATCTGATTGGTCAATAGGTCAGTTAACTCCCTCGCCTCCGGAAGATGAATAAAGTCAGTAATTTGCTTTTAGAGAATAACATTCTGATGACACAGCTTGGAAAACAGTTTTACATTACACTCAAAGCTTAGAATTAAGGATTGTCACTTGAGAATGGAAATCTATCTCGAAAAGCCAACGTCACATGGAATAATTTATCTATTGTAAAAGATCACTTCAAATTCCCAATTAATTTTCTTTCATCTTTTACGTGTACAATGGAAGTATTTGTAAAATATTTGCATCAGAAAAATGTCCCACAGCCTCACTCATTATCATCAAGGGTAAATTGTTTGGAATGTTTTTTTCATTCTGAGTTCCAATTAACGTTACCTGCTTAAAGAAATTTCAGAGCCAGTAAATCATGTGGTGTTTTGTTGCTGTTCTGCACAAAACCATCTGGAGCAAAACAAACCCTGGTGATTGAAATGTGAAGCACACCCTTCAGTCGGTAACTTCTGCCAGACTGCTTATTCTGTTCCTATTCACTGACTTCTACTATAAATACTTCAAAGCATTCTCGAACCAAACCAGCTGGAGCTGCATTTCATGAAATTCTCAACATTGCTTATATTTTTTCTTATCTCATCATTACAAAATGCTTGGGGGACACTTCTGAAATTTTGTGGTTTACAGATTCCATTGACAGTAGACAAAAACATCTTTTTAGAAATGAAATTTACAAAACCTTGAATTTTTATTTCCTGTTTCTCTTTGATGTATTAGAAAATTGAAAACAACCAAATTCAAACAAAAAGTAATTGTTAAGACTTTAAAAAATAATTGATCAAATGCTGTTTCTTGTCTCTGGCCCCTACCGTATTTGCCGTAATAAGTGTCATGGGTGCTTAGAAAATAGGGAGGGCACATATCAAAAGAATACACAAATTAAATTTGTTTTCAGAGATCGAGAGTGGAGAAGAAGATTGAGTTCAAACTTAGTAACCATGAAACTAAAACGCTTTTGATAATAATTACTAGGCAGTTACATACACTTTCTACACCGCTGTGTTTATTGTAAAAAGATCTGTAACATCAGCGTTAGAAATTGGCACTAAGTCCTGAAGTCCTTGCCAAACTGCCCAATGCTAAAGGTATCATGAGGACCAGTAGAAATTTGCTCTTTTTAAGGGCTTTGCTATATGTTATTATTATAAGGACTAGTTGACTAAAAATGTTAGTTTCTACAGCTGAATATGTACAAGAAAATATTTTGGGGTTCAGTACCAGGCGGTCATAAAGATTATTGATTGGTCAAGAAGTTGGTCAAGGTGCTTATTAGAGTGTGTTGTATAATATGGCAAATATGGTAGTGATTGGCACAAAGCCTTCTCTGACATGTGTTAAGACATACACATGTTACTCTAATTATGTCAAACATCCTGCAGTAAAACCCGGCAGAAATAAAAACAGTTGTTAGCAATAAGTTTTTCCCTCAATGCCAACCAATACAAACAACCTAATGTCAAATAACATGAAAAGAAAAACCATTTTGAGTTAAACAGATTAATATTTTTGTTATTTTTTCCATCAACAAACTGCTATGTTTGTGAAAATGTGAAAAACAGGTAACAAAAAAAGTGCGTTCTTCTACCTTCTGTATCCAATCTTGTGGGACAGGCCTCCGGACACATTGCTGGACTGATCACTGGGCATGTGAGATGGGTTCTTCATCTTCATCAGTTCTTCAAATCGGGGGCGGTGATATGGGGGCACAAAAGGTCTGAAAGACAAGAAAAAAATAAAAAATAGCCCAGACTGAAATGTTTTTAGCCAGGTCACATAAATATATATTTTAGGACTGGCTAAAAAGATCAAAAATAGGAATTATTGTCGATGGGAAGAAATATTAACGATTATCGATATGAAACAATTGTCATCGATAAATACTCCATAAACTATTGTGACGAAATAAAGTTTAGATTTACGAAACAGATTTGTCATTGTCAATAATACAGCGTTAGGCACTAGTCCTTACCAAACTGCCCAATAGTAAAGGTATCCTAAGGACTAGTAAAAATTGGCCCATTTCAAGGGTTTTGCTATATGTTATCATTGTAAGGACTATAGTGGACAAAAACTGTTAGTTTCTAACCCTGTAATGGGAATTGTTTAAGTAGAAAGGCAAGTGTTGCATCTCAAATGTCCACAAAGTAATCTGTGCATAAATGTGTCACTGCTCACCAGTGGTGGGAAATCAGTCGATTTCCTTTAACATGTTTAAGACTTTCTTGCATATTGGCTTAAAGTTTTTCTCCAATATTTATTGATAATCGATCTCTATGATCAATATCGATAGCCAGCCCTAATATTTTTACATACCACTGCATATATATGCAAGGAGACACAGCTGTCTGCATGAGTGTCTGTCTATATGTAATCATGGGTTGGGTGAAAAAACCTAACCTCCCTACCAATCCAACTACGTCACTTTGTCCGAAACAAGAGACATTTTTAAATATGGCCATAAAATTTTAGATGTGAAACAAAAAAAGAGAGTTGTGTCACAATTAGGCATGGCAGTTGTAGGCAGCTTGGATGATGTGTGTGTTTATGCAGCTTTACATGGAGTGCTGATATGCAGATGGTCGACTGAACACATAGAAGTGTGATGCTAAAACCAGCTCTATCTGTCACTTTGGGTTTTCTTAGGGAAAACAAATTTTGAGTTTTGATCATTAATAAAAATGATTTTTTCAAAAAGAAAATACAAAAAATTGGATTTTGTCAAAATCTGACAAAAAGTAGACATATTTCAAACAAGTTTGTACCTGATTTGTCTGAGAACCCGTCGTTGATGTGGAGTTTTAAGAATGACACCCAGTGCCTCACAAAACACATCCACATCCCGATCCTCGGCATACTGCTTCAGTATTCCCACAACGGCCATCTTCTTCTCATAGTCATCACCAAGGATGAGGTTCATCTGTAACACAACAATAGGAAGAGTGTGGTCGACAGTTAAAGCGGGACTAGCTTCTGTAACACAACAACAGGCAGAGTGTGGTGGGCAGTTAAAAGGGGGACAGGCTTCATCTGTAACACAACAACAGGCAGAGTGTGGTCGACAGTTAAAGGGGGACTAGCTTCTGTAACACAACAACAGGCAGAGTGTGGTGGGCAGTTAAAAGGGGGACAGGCTTCATCTGTAACACAACAACAGGTAGAGTGTGGTCGACAGTTAAAGGGGGACTAGCTTCTGTAACACAACAACAGGAAGAGTGTGGTCGACAGTTAAAAGGGGGACTAGCTTCTGTAACACAACAATAGGAAGAGTGTGGTGGGCAGTTAAAGGGGGACTAGCTTCTGTAACACAACAACAGGTAGAGTGTGGTCGACAGTTAAAGGGGGACTAGCTTCTGGAACACAACAACAGGTAGAGTGTGGTGGGCAGTTAAAGGGGGACTAGCTTCTGTAACACAACAACAGGTAGAGTGTGGTGGGCAGTTAAAGGGGGACTAGCTTCTGTAACACAACAACAGGTAGAGTGTGGTGGGCAGTTAAAGGGGGACTAGCTTCTGTAACACAACAACAGGTAGAGTGTGGTCGACAGTTAAAGGGGGACTAGCTTCTGTAACACAACAACGGGTAGAGTGTGGTGGGCAGTTAAAGGGGGACTAGCTTCTGTAACACAACAACGGGTAGAGTGTGGTCGACAGTTAAAGGGGGACTAGCTTCTGTAACACAACAACGGGTAGAGTGTGGTGGGCAGTTAAAGGGGGACTAGCTTCTGTAACACAACAACGGGTAGAGTGTGGTCGACAGTTAAAGGGGGACTAGCTTCTGTAACACAACAACGGGTAGAGCGTGGTCGACAGTTAAAGAGGGACTAGCTTCTGTAACACAACAACAGGTAGAGTGTGGTGGGCAGTTAAAGGGGGACTAGCTTCTGTAACACAACAACAGGAAGAGTGTGGTCGACAGTTAAAAGGGGGACAGGCTTCATCTGTAACACAACAACAGGCAGAGTGTGGTCGACAGTTAAAGGGGGACTAGCTTCTGTAACACAACAACAGGAAGAGTGTGGTCGACAGTTAAAGGGGGACTAGCTTCATCTGTAACACAACAATAGGAAGAGTGTGGTCGACAGTTAAAGGGGGACTAGCTTCTGTAACACAACAACAGGTAGAGTGTGGTCGACAGTTAAAGGGGGACTAGCTTCTGTAACACAACAACAGGTAGAGTGTGGTGGGCAGTTAAAGGGGGACTAGCTTCTGTAACACAACAACAGGTAGAGTGTGGTCGACAGTTAAAGGGGGACTAGCTTCTGTAACACAACAACAGGTAGAGTGTGGTCGACAGTTAAAGGGGGACTAGCTTCTGTAACACAACAACAGGTAGAGTGTGGTGGGCAGTTAAAGGGGGACTAGCTTCTGTAACACAACAACAGGTAGAGTGTGATGGGCAGTTAAAGGGGGACTAGCTTCTGTAACACAACAACAGGTAGAGTGTGGTCGACAGTTAAAGGGGGACTAGCTTCTGTAACACAACAACAGGTAGAGTGTGGTCGACAGTTAAAGGGGGACTAGCTTCTGTAACACAACAACAGGTAGAGTGTGGTCGACAGTTAAAGGGGGACTAGCTTCTGTAACACAACAACAGGTAGAGTGTGGTCGACAGTTAAAGGGGGACTAGCTTCTGTAACACAACAACAGGTAGAGTGTGGTCGACAGTTAAAGGAGGACTAGCTTCTGTAACACAACAACAGGTAGAGTGTGGTCGACAGTTAAAGGGGGACTAGCTTCTGTAACACAACAACAGGCAGAGTGTGGTCGACAGTTAAAGGAGGACTAGCTTCTGTAACACAACAACAGGTAGAGTGTGGTCGACAGTTAAAGGGGGACTAGCTTCTGTAACACAACAACAGGTAGAGTGTGGTGGGCAGTTAAAAGGGGGACAGGCTTCATCTGTAACACAACAACAGGCAGAGTGTGGTCGACAGTTAAAGGGGGACTAGCTTCTGTAACACAAGGTAGAGTGTGATGGGCACTCAGTTTGTTGTGCAATCTCAGTATACAGGTGTCTCAATTGATGAACACTGATGGATACATTCCTCGAACAAGGTAACTGCCTGATATGATACATATTACCTTGGACTTTTATTCGTTATAATTCCAAAATTTGTATTCATATATTCATTTACTGTAACAAGAACGCAGGAGGCCTCAACAACTACTGATCAAATTGTTCCATACGTAAAAATATCCCGCATTAGCGATCAGTTGTTTCAAAGTGCTACACCTATGGTTAATATTATTTTAAATATATAACTTATTATGAAAAAGCTGCAACTTAAATAGCTCGATATTGGAATATATTTCTGATAAAATAATAGTTTCAGATACAATATATCTGATTATTACATCAAAATTCTTTGAAGGTATATTATTGTGTTTTTTTGTACCTGAAAGTTTATCAAAATGAACATCTTACGTAAATTTAATAATACATGCAACAATTGTTATAAGGACATAATGGAACATCTTCCCTAAATTTAATAATACATGCAACAATTGTTTTAATGGAACCCCTGCCCTTCATGATTATTTTGAAGTTTTCAACAACAAAAAAATGTGTTTGTGTTTCATGTTTTTATTGCAAGAAATGATTACTTGAAACACAACCATCTTGAAAATATCCATATTTCAACTGTTGTCTTACAACCATATCTCCATATGAATATTAAAATTGTAGGTGCTTATATCTTCATCATTTGAGCATGAGATACACGCTAAATGTGTCCGAAACAATCATTTCCTGTACTATAATATTATATAATATTATAAACTGTTGTATAGCATGATTGAAACCATGCTTATCCAAATAATTCTGAATAATTATTTTATCAGACAAGAGAGCTAGAACATGTAGAAATATTCCATCCACTAAAAGGCTTTCCTCCTAAAATGGTGGCACTTAATGTCAGCCATCTGGTTCTTCAAACCATCAACAATCAATGGAGCTGGGAGAACCCCATGTCAGATTTAATTAGCTCTGAGGAATGCTTCATTAAAGTTTAAAGGGTGTCTAATAAATACGGGCAGCTTCTATGGGCAAGAACAACACAAGGCAATCAATAATGCTAGCTTTCCTCTTTAATCCTTATGCTGGGGACTGCTATCTCATGTCTACTTGAGGAAGCCATGGCTTGAAGTAGCTGTGATAATTTAAAGTGTAGTCCCGTGGAAGTTAACGTTTCAATCATGGAGCATGTCTGTGCGAGTTCTTTCCTCTCCATGGATGTGAATAGCATACAATTTTTCAAGGTATATTATTAATAATAAATCTTGATGCAAGATTTGACATTAAATGATTCTACACATCTGTTTTCCCTTCCAGGTCTAAAAGGAAGAACTGTAAGTTAAAACATTAAAGAATTGTACATGTTTTAGCATCTTAAGAGTTAATTAAAACTTATAAACATAGAATTTTCAGAGTCGTAGGGTAGCTCAGTGGTGAAAATACTGGCTCGTCACTCTGAAGAACCAGGTTTGATTCCTCTCATGGGTAAAAAAACCACACCAAAGAGTACAATATTTTTTATTCCCCAACTGTGATGCACATTGAATATTGCTGCAAGTGCTGTAAAATACTATAATAATTATGATGTTGTTGATGATGATGATGATGATGATTGTCATCATCATACCACTGGCAACATGTGGTGGGACGATACACTGATGCATAGGTGGATCGTGATATTTTACTTCCTGATACAAGTATTGATCACAGTCGCACACAAAGTAAAAAAATTGATTCATACCGCAAATATTTACTTTAATGGCAGGTTTCAAAATTAACATAAGTCCGCTAGTCTGAGACAAGAAAAGTCAGGAAGGATGAATTGTGGAATAACAATTTTACCATTTTGTAGATGGTATCTCTGTAGCAAATAATTTTTGGCAAGGTTGACGGAATGCCCGTTTATAATTTCAAAATAAGTTGCTGATTTGCTAATCGAATATGCAGGGTTACTTCACAATATTTTGATGATACACACAAGTTCTATTTTTGTATATCTGTAATGTTCATTGCTTATTTGATACGCTTGGATTTTATTTTACTGCGTATTTCTGCATTTCTGATGCGTATTTTATGCAGATATGCAGCTTATCCGGAGCTCTGGAAGTAGGTTGGTACAAGGCCATCTATAGTAATGTGTGTTACCCATCTCTATACTCAAATTCAGCAGAAACGGATCAGGGGACAGTAAAGTTTAGAAAATAGTGCCACAGCACTATAGCTCACCTGGATATGTAGTCAACAACTTAATGTCAACAAATATTCAAACATTTTCTGCATAAACACTGAGGACAAAAGTATTAACAAACATGAAGCAAGTAACTAACTCTCTATGAAGTTTTCAAATCCACAAGAATGAATGTACTGTTGTAGAACGTTGTTTCAACCTTCTAAGGTGAAAAAACCCAGACAGTAAAATCCTAATGATTATAACTAAACATGATGTCATCAAATGGAACCATACAGGCAAAGTTCAGCTCCCTCATTCTGGCAATTTCAAAGACTATGTTTCCAGAGCCAAAACAGCATTTTGAGAGAAGTAAAGATCATTAAAGTACATTTTGAGCAGAAGCAGAAATCAGATTCAAACCTCTTGAACAAAGTTAGACGTCATCATTGGTGGGAACAAGTATATGAAGCATCAGCTTCATTGGTCAAGTGTTTTCTGAGGAGATGGTTTCAGTGCTATTAAATGCAGTTTGGGAGAATTTAGGAGCATGGTCAAAGTGCAGAGATCAAATAAAGGACCATCTTCCCGAGGCAAGGGAGTTAACTGACTGCAAAAGTCCAGTCTCTACCCTTGCCGAACTAGGATGAAATTATGAGTTATATTTTAGCTGGACTAACACGTCTATGCATAGTGCAATCAAAATCCTGTAATGAAATCAACATAATGCCCTGCAC